CTTCATCTTCTTCAACTGCTTCGAACGTTTTTTATTGTGACTGCACACAAAACCAATTCCACTATTTAATACTCAGGACCACGTTATTGACTATGCCCAACTTGGTTCTATTACTCTTGATGACAAAAAGGAATTCCAAAATTACGCCTAAAATCGTTCACAAAGTAAGGACCCATCATTCTCGACATGAAAAGACCAAAACAAAATCATAAATAAGCACGTCCTAATAACAACGTTTCAGGTAAAGTTTCAAATTTGCCAAAGATTTTATATTCTGAAACGCAAGGATGAAATGATAAATCGAACCTGCTAATGTCGAGTCTGTTCTTGTAGCACCATAGCACACTTGTGTTCGACTTCACCACCGATTTTGACAAAATGTGATGAAGATTAACTATCTGTTACATAACGAGAAGAAAAGGTATTATAATTCTTCTCCGAAAACCCAAAAAGAAAGCTTTCAAGGAAAATGCAAAGTAGAAATTCTCTATGAGAACAAAAATTTACCGGGTCACGAGACTTGTCACCGATGATGACAAACATGGAACGGTGTCTGAGTTTAACACCGTTTTCAATCAGAGTCCTAATACGTTCGTCTACCTTCTTCCTCATTCTCACACCAATTTTGGTTTCCTAACTTTAAGCCCGAAACAAAATACAATTACACACAGTTTTGAGCTTTTTGAACAAAGCTATTGAGAGTTAAAGGCATGTTTTTTTCAGTTCTGGAGTTTCAAAACATGACCCCGTTTGCAGATAATCAGTGCTGTCTAATTGTGAGCATCTCAATTCGAAGCAAAGTTGCTAGCTTTTTAGGAAAATCAACGAATCAAAGCCTCGGGTTTTAGAAGAAACAGAGGAAAATTACATCAAAGGAAATTCAAACGGCTTCGATTCCTAGCAGTAAAATAAAAACCTTCGTCTGCGTAAATATTAGTAATGCGTGTGACGGAGAACGAACCTGAGGATAGAGGATGGTGACGGAAACGAGCAGGGAGGGTGAGAAAAAACAGCCTTCTTCCGTTTACCAAAGCAGAGAAGCGCGCCCTAAGTCAACCGTAAGTCAAAACCCTAAAACCCAGATGGTATCACACTTCTAAACCGAGGTCTAACCGGTTTAATCCTTTTCCGCAATTTTCCGGTTCGTAGTTATACGCGGCTTACTTCCTTGTGTGTACATGTGTGTGTTTAAAACCGAGTTGGACAACAAACAGACAAAAACTAGTTAGTTACTGTATGTTGGTTTCAAAATGGTATGATACAGCAAACAGACAAAAACTGAAAATATATGTTCTTTCAAGAATTCTTTAGTTTACCATATATTATTTACGTCACTTAATAATAATAGCCGACGATCTACCAAAAACTTAAAAATACGAATTATGTAATGTATACATAAATTAAGAGATTGATGCCTCCTGCACACGATGTGAATTGAATATTTACTATTTAGCAAATAATAAAGCACGCAAATAGCCAACTATGTATTAAATTAAGATAAATTATTTTTACTTGTCACTTAGTACACGTCTTCAGCAAATCAGAGCTTCTTCGAAGAAATATCTGGTCGATGGGTGGGTGCTCTACCAAATTATTTTTCTAGATCAACTGATTTATTTCAAATCAAGTTTAATATCATAAACTTGCATCTAACGCCGGTGTTTAAATTATAAGATCGAGAATCATTCAAACTGATAAAGTAATCGATAATTCTTGTCCTTTTTTTTTACGCAGAAAATATATTGTCCTTTTAAAAGATCATAAATTCGTAAGTACACACATAACGAATCTTTCAAACAATAAAAAGTATTGCATTATATACTTGTTTTGTTATAGTCAAATATTGTAACGATTAACACATTAGTTTTTTCTTTTAATGACTTGCTTTAAAGCAATACTTTCAATGATAATAAATTTTTATAATGGGTGCATATGCCATTTACTAAATTATAATCCATAATTGAAAGAAGGGCTGGTGGTACAGATGGCGAAGTCTTGTTGAACAAATGTTTAATCAATTTGGATCAACAAGCTAACCTTACCTGGCTTGGATCTATCTTTGTCTCCCATAACGTTAGATAACATTATCTCTTCTTTTTAAAATTCATTTCAAATTTGAAATATATTATTTTTAGAAAAATAGCAGCTATTCTCCATTATGACTTCATTTTCATATGCCATGATAACATGTTATGATAATAAAACGCAGAAAAAGAACATATTATGTGGCCACTTCGAATTTAAAAGCAACTTTTTTGGGCAGTGCGAATAGATATCATATATATTCACATGCATCTGGCTACAATTACCATTTTACTAAAATATCTTAAGATAATAAAAAACATTTTTGAGACAAATAAGAATAATAATCTCACTCACATGGTGGCATACTTGTTCAAAAAAACTATGCTAATTCGTTTGATTTTTTTACGGGTTTATTATGGTTGGTTTGTCGATGTTTTTAAATAGCAAATATTTTTGGTATTCCTTTAGCTATCGATGATAAGTGTAGGATATATTCTGCTACAAAATCTAAACTGAAAAAAAAAAAAAAAAATCATATACCCAAGCAATAGCCAGAAATTTCTAGAAATAAAAGAAACTATATCATAATATAATGCAATTTACAAATGTTTGAGGCAAATCCCACTTTGAACGAGAACTCGTGTTTACCTTGCTCATATATACAAGTAGCGATGTTCCAAACTAAACAAAAACATATTACCAAAATTAGGAAACATACGAAATGGACAATAAAGGAAAACCTTTTAAAAGAAATACAATAAAATCAGAGTATTATTGAAATGGGATAAGCATTCTAATTCACACATAAGCAATATGGAGTTCCGTTGGTGTAGGAAGTGACATGTGTTACACAGATTAAAGGGGCCTCCAACATTGGATGTTGGATCTTAAGCTTACCATTCTATCACGCAATTGATTAAATTATAACCTGCCGACTCCAATATTTAATATATATTATTTTGAAAGTAACAGACAATTATGAATCGATGAACATATCTAATTAGAGAGTTAATGGGAAATTTCGAATCAATCTTTCACCAAATCTATTGAAAGAATAAAATATAAGTTAAGAAATGTCACCACTAAAATTTATTTATTCGGTTTCTGGTAAGGGTATTCACAATCCACGGATTGCTCTCTCCTTCTTTCTCATAAAAAAAAAACATAAATTCAATTCATCAAATACATTCGCTTTAATTTGTGTTATGTGTTTAAATTGTTAAACATCGATTTAATTAGTTTGGAGCAAGCAGGTAGTAAACATGTAGAACCTCTATAAATTAATATTTGATAAATTAATAATTACTTTAAATTAATAATTTTTGCTGATCCCAAATCAGGTTAGTATAAAAATTAGCAAATTTTGATAAGATAATAAGATAATAATTTTTTTTGAAATTCCTATGTAAAAATATAGTCCCAATAATTAGATAAATTAATAATTATATATTTAAAAATATATGAATAATATAATACAGTAAAATATAATTATATTGTTGTTTCAAGTTTATAAAAATTGTTTGACTTATTTTTCAAATTCAATTATATGATATTTTCTAAATAAATTTTATATTATTAAAAATATTTTTTTTGTTTTTTGACAAATATTTTAAATTTGAATAGAAATATCTCTCTATAAATTAATAAATTATTAATTTCTCGATAAATTAATAATTATTAATTTATCAATTAATAAATTTTTGAAGTCCCAACATTATTAATTTATAGAGTTTTTATATCCAAATGATAGTTATATACCATATATATATGAGTATTGTGAAAATTTCTATGCATTTTTTGGTTAGAAGATGAAAAATTTAAATTTCGATGGCTAGGATATTGAAATACTCATAAGTTATTTATAGGTAATACTTCAAAACAGTATAATCTCAAAAATATGGGCCATCCATATTACAATGTTAGGGTAGTTTTGGTATATTTGCGTGGTAACGAAATTGGGAAATTATAAAAACATTTGGTGAGTTTTCAGTATATATGAAAAGTACATGTTAGTTACTCATTTCTTTGCAATTGAAGAATTTAAAGCAAAATTATTTTTTGAAAACATGAAAATTTTGTTATAACCATGAATAATAGGTTTTTTGTTGCTAAAATGATAGTTAAAATATTAAATCATGGAATTCATAAAGTTCATTAGCATTTTATGTTTTTAGGTTGCAAGGAAAAACATAAATTATGAATATATATATATATATATATATATATATATATCAATAGAATTCATTTACATGATCTATACATATGTCTATATGTATGTATAACACAACGAATTATTTGTTTTTTTTTTTGCCAGGGATTATATTAATATGTTGTTAAAGTTCACAACCTTGTAAATTGTAATGAATATATTAGTTTGCACTTCTTAAATATCACATTAGGTCATTTTTAACCTTTCAAAGCGTGTACGCACACATGCACGTAGAACGGTATAAGCAGTTGTATGCAGTGCACAACTACGTGTAACGGATATATACGTACGGGGTGGAAGTATATTATATACATTGTAAAATATATAAATATGCGCCAATAAGGAAGCACGTACGCATGACCATATAAATAGACCAAGCAACAAGAAAGTGAATGTTGTTAGCTTGTTTCCTCTACCAATCAAGCAAGATGCACCATTTAATTTATTATACAGCGGACAATAACTAAGGGAATGATAAAAAAAAATATAGGATCCTTGTCAATTAGCATTCGGTTAACAAAGTGAAGCAACAGGTAAATGATATTGTGATCAATACTTAAGATTTAAAGATTTTAAAAACAATAGTTCTACAGCATCACCTGCTGAAATTAATATTTTTTATAAAAAAAATACGTAAACCTAAATAAATAAAACTCAAATTTCATCAAGAATAAATACTATGTCTCGTTTTTTTCTTCTTCTTTTTTCCCAATAAAATACATCACTATAGAATTAGTATACATTCTCGAGCATATCCCTCTCTTTGCTATGCCGTATCTCCGGCAAAACCCAGATGAAGATCCAGCGACTTAATGCTTCTCTTCGCATCAGAACGAGAAGTCACATCTCTCTGGAACTGAATCATGTTATGTCTCACACCGTACATCTTACCCATCTCACCACTTTGATTATTAAGATCTTGATACGTGTCCTTATTACCGAAGCTAATCTGCGACGACCAGTCCTCGTTGAACACACCCATCTGATTATTATTCAGCTGCATGGAAGAGAAGGCGCAATATGACGGCGTTTTGTATTGTCTCTGAAACGACGTTCTTATCGGTTGTTGGTGGCTGGTGAGATAATATCCGATGCTGGCTCGTCGAGCTTGAAGCTGAAGCCTCTTCTTCTTTAACCTCTCCTTCTTGTGAGCGTTTTGGTGACCTCCCAAGGCTTGAGAATTTGCAAACTCTTTGCCACAGTATTGGCACTCGAGTCTTTTAGCTGTAAATGACGTCGTGTTATTCGTGGACGAGCTCACGCTATCCGCCGTCGTGACTTCCGGCGAACGATTACCGCTGATGAGATCGAAGCCGAACAGTTTTATGGTCTTGTCGGAGGACGAGCCCGAGGAGCTTTCGCCTGTACGAGACATTGTCGGAGAAATAGACATCTAAGTATGTGTATGTATGTGTTTTCTGATGGGTTTAGTTAGCTTTAAGTTGATGTGTAAATGATCTTCTTTATATAGCAAGGTCAAGAGACGGAGGATGTTTGATTTAATAATTTGTAATTAATGATGCATTGCATCTGTACTATAATATATTGTATGTCTAGGAGTTTTATATTGTTGGAGGGGTTTTATATTAGTCGTGAACAGCATCGACTAATATTTTGTAGGGTTTATAATAAAATTAGTTGTTTGAATCTAAGGTGTGACGAGAAATGATCTTGGAAAATAAACCTTGATAGGTACTATTATACAATATAATTGATACACTAAACACGGAATAGTTTTTATACAATTATGTGGATACCACGCGCCTAAAATATGTATAAATAATAATAAATTGGGATAGACAAATATTTAAATACTATATATTAGGACTTAATTGTCAACTTGTTTTATCTTTTGTCTTATGCATAATAAACAGTACAGTATACAAATTTGCGTAAGATTTATAAGCTTTACTTTGGATATTGTGGAAAAATACTTTGTCTAGTGCGTGAATAAAATAGTTAGATTAAGTTGAGATATGATGAATTTTAAAATGCATATGAAAAGGCAGGCAGCGATCACACCACTTGTGAAAATTAATACAAAGTTATATTCTAAGCTTAAAGTAAAGATTAAGATGTTAATATCATAGTATAAATAAAATGAAAAGTCAAAGAAAGAAAGAAAGAAAGCTAACCAATTTTAATACAAAAATGTCATTACGCGCTTAAAATTTATGATGGATATGCATATGAATTTTTGAAATTGTTTTAGGGATCAAAGTAATATCCTTCACCTTGCAGGTTATCAATGATATATTTGTATTTATATGTTTTTTTTTTTGTTAAATCGTTTTGTATTTAAATGTTCACTCAAGAACGTAAATTCATTATAGTTGACACGCATACGGCATAGCCAACGTAAATTTCAAGCGGGTAAAAATGACATATTTGTATTAAAATGTGCACACTCAATAATAAAAACAAACGGATTGTCAAACGGTGTTCTCAAGTAAAAATCAATATCGATCAATTTATTACTTTATGTGATGTTCAATATAGATTTTAGAAATTTCCCATCAACTAAAGCAGCTCGCACAGATATCTGATCATGCACGGAGCATGTGAAGCTTCTTTGTAATTCATCGCCATGTGTCTTCCACCTAAACCAAACCTTATTTGTCTAATTACCGTGCGAAAAGAAAGAAAAAGCCTATCTTGACCATGTTTAATGAATGCAAATCAAATTATTAAATTAATTAGGAAGAATTGTTAGTTGCCAAATGAAGGAATACAAGAAGTGGGCAATGATGCAAGCATCTATACTATACAACAAATATAAAATGAAAAATATATTCATATGTCTAATCTTCAAAACAAGATCTTGGGCAAATCTTCATAAAGCATGAGAAGACATTATTTTATACAGAAAGAAGAAATGGTATTAAAGAAAGGCATAGATTATTCTATTTTCAGGTGATTCAAGTCATGAGATAATATTAATTTAATAAATATAATTCTAATGAAATGGCATTTGGTTTGGACAGTTGTTCCATTAAGACCCCACTGCTCTTTAACTTAAAAGATAGATCAAGACAATTAATTAATTTGAAATAATAATAATAATTAATCGTTATTAGGTGTTGTAATTATGTTCACTCATACAACCTAAGATCCCTGATTGGTGGACTTTCTTGCCACCAATTGGTGTCGCATGCAATCAAAAGCTAGTTCCTCTCTCTCTCAGGTCCTTTATTTTATTTGATATTAGAATTCCAAATAAGTATGCTGCTTTCAACAATCATCTTATATTTATCCAATAAGACGTCGAATAATTTTAGCCCATAATAGAAATTATTTTACGAAAGTTTATTTATGGTGGCTTACTAGCTAGGTGGGTGGGTTGGTTTCTATAATATATTGATATAATTTGATTCTATATCTATAAACTATTTCCACCTCGCCTTCTTAATTGTTATATTTATTTGTATTGCCATCGAACAACTTAGCATCATCAATTACAAAAACTATTTCTGGAAAGGTATTTAGTCTACGGTGTCCGTAAACCAAACCTTCCATTCAACCATGTTAAATTAACGTTCAAATCTAGTATTGAGCCTCTGAGGCTCTGACCCATAAAAAAAGAGTAACTCGTTCTATATAATTGAAACTGTTGGTGTTCGAATTCAAAGATCAAGAATAAAGACATAAGAAAATAAAATAAAAAGACAAAACTTAATACAAAACTTAGTGGCAAGATAAACCCTTTCACCAAAAAAAACAAAAACTTAGTGGCAAGACATTCAATAAGAGATGTACTAGTCTTATTACCATATGAAGATCAGAATCCAGATCTACGTACTTAATAAATCAAAACTTACCATTCTACTTATTTTGAATATAAAAAAGTGACATATTGAAGACTGTCACATCACATGCATGTATAATAATATATACAAGAGAAAAGATTGATAGAATTAAGCTGAATTAGTTAACATTTTTTTAATTATAGGTCGAAGAAAATAGTTAAGAGTATCCAAATGTGGTCCCCGCAGTTTGCATATCCGATTAATCAATCCTTCTAGACGACTCCACAAGCACTTGAACATTAACTAAATATTATTCAGTATATTCTATGGAAAAATAAAAGAGCAAGAATGTCAAGACCGAAGTTTTAAAACTATACCATATATATATACGTAATATTTAATCTAAGCGAATTATTAATCTTTTAATCAGTTTGTAAATCTAAGGGACATTGACTTTTCAAAAAATATTATATGGTATATGATGCAAAGTTGTATATATACAACGCAATTGATTGGTCTACTACTAAAAAGAATAAATATTGTCTTTTACAATGTAAAATTGGAAATTCTTGTATTATAGAGTAGCTCCATGTAACTTCATTTTTCTGCTAAATATGTTGTTTTGAAACAAATTTATCATATATAATTAAAAAAAAAAAATAAGTAATTTTTATCAAAGAAGACGATAAATGGGCTTTAGGGAAAACAAAATTAATGTAAGAAGAAGAAGCTATGTGGGCCACGAAAATAGCCGTTGTGGAGAAAATCAGATCAAGAGCGATCGCGTGAGCGATGGAGAGAACCGACTCCTCTGCAATTAGATTTCTTCGCTCACACTCTTGAAATTTAGGAAAGAGCAAGCTCCTGTCGAAGATATCACGCCCGGCGATCTCAGGTAACCCGATTCCTTCTTTTATCAAAATTTTCATGAATTTTAGATTTTAGGGACTTGTTTGAAACTTGACTACGAACATTTGAGTTTACCGACACGTTACACTCCAATTTATGGCTTCTTTGAAATGTTCTTGAGTTTACCGAAATCATGCTTCTTTGTGCTTTGAGATCAGTTTTCTTCCACCGTGCTTTTGAAATTTCTAAGCTTGTTTTCTGCAATTCTGAGAATTATAGGTTATGATTAGTGTTATTTATTTCTGGATTTTTAGTTATGAATCGCTGGCTTCTGATTGTGTTTCTGATTTGCTGAAACATAGATTTTGTCATAAGCTTGTTTCCGTTTGTTAAGTGGTAACGGCCTTGTCCATCTTTGTTTGTTAAGTTTAATTATCCTTACGATTCTCTTCTCCGTGACGTTCGCCGAATTCAGAGAAGGAAGCTGAAAGTGAAGACGCCGTGAAATGTCTGCAGGATAAAGCCACGGCTGGAAAACAAGGACTGGGTATCAAAGACCGACCGAAGCAAATAGCCGCCGGTGTTCATTACCAAGGGAAGAAGACTTCGTTTGGTAACAGTAGTGATGATATGATGCCTGGAACAGGGAAAACCTCCACAATGGTCCATCATCCATGCTGTGAAAGATTTGTTGATCAGAGGTTCATCTATATTCTGCTTGCATATGATCTTACACAAACTCTGCAGTTGATAATCCCGATTACTTGGGGCAGCTCGTAACATATTCAGGCTTGGGCCTTCTTCTTCCTCTAGTAGTCAACCAGAACAGTCGTATTTATTACTACAGGTTTGTCGCTACTTACTAGTTGCTTTTTCTTCACATGAGGTCTTTGCCATATGGGCTGGATTTTCACGAGACTATATGATATGGTTTTCTAGATATGCTGCGTGCTTCTGAAGCCAGCGATCAGAATGCGATCAACAATCCAGTTGAAGCTTCCATAATAGCTGAGGTACTGTGTTGAGTATGCAACGTGCGTTTGAACTAAAAGAAAACATGGGCTTACTTTAGTAATGCGTTACTTAGATCGTGGAGGAGCTAGTTAACAATGGAGTGGATAGTAAAGATATTGGAATCATCACTCCTTATAACTCACAAACGAGTCTCATTCAACACGCAATTTCAACGACGCCTGTGGAGATACATACTATTGACAAGTGTCAGCTTTGGCTCAAGGACTCTTACCGTTCTTCTTTTCTTATGCATTTTGATTTGGCAAGAGTGTGTTCTTTAATAGCCAACGTTTTGATGAGCTCACATGGTTTAGGGAAGAGATAAATACTGCATATTGGTATCCTTTATGAGGTAGTTACGGGAGAAACCAAGGAGCTTTGCTTCTTCACCGCTCGGAGATTGACATAGGATCAACGTTGCTTTGACTCCAGCAAAGGAGGATCAATGTTGCTTTGACTCGAGCAAAGGCGTGGGGTAGAGCATATGGTGTTGAAAATAATGTTTTATTTTTGGACATTATGAGTTGTAACTTTGTTTGGTTTTCACAGGAAAAGTTGATAATGGCGGGATCACAAAGTTGACAATAAAAGCATTCACATATCCAGGACTCATGTCATATTCAGTGACTTATTATTATTCATGAAATAGTTGAAGTTTGGAAATTTCAGTTTTTTTTTTTGTCTTGACTAAAATGCATTGAGCCACACACAAAAAGATACGCACAACACAAACTACCTAGATCTAGAGGACCTCTTTATTTCATGAGGTCTGGTCTGCTCGGACATGTTTTAAGAGTTTATCTAATTTTTGGATTGTAATTGCATATGAAAGCCCTTGCATGATATATTATCTCCGAGAAAACCAATATTCCAACTACCTCACCTTTTAAGTTGCAGATAAGCTCTCCAGAATTGGCATGTTTATATCAAAAGTATGCAAAATAGTTACTCAGTGAATGGGATGTTTATATCAAAGTAATAGTTAATCAGTCAAAGTATACGAGGAAAAAGTCAAAATATGTAATTGGACAATATATGTGCAAATATCTCCTTCCAGAATTATTTATGTATAAATTTAAATCAATATCTTTTTAAGATTTAAGAATTACTAATTTTGAATTGCAAATTTAAATATTAATCCTATATATAAAATAAAATAAAAAGCAAAAAACACTTTATAACACCACATATGATTGTTCAGCGATGTCCACATACTGATTCAATTACAAATATTGGATCACCATGCCGAGTTTTATTCAAAACTGCAAGTTTAGCATAAGAAAGACTTATCCTTCTCCTCATCAAGAAAGATATGGATGAAGGTTATATCATCTTGTGGAAACATATGCAACACTTGACAATTTTTAAGACAAAATAATATTGACCTATATAATAACATATTCTACAAATTAAAAACTGAACCAAACGATAAACAATTAAACAAATGTAAGAGTGAGAATATTTACCATTTCCGTGTTTTTGTAGGCTTTACTCTATAGTAGTAAATTCTTATCTACAGCCACATGATAACATGTGACTATTATGCTATAAAGAAGCCAAACCCCAAACTACATTCTCCTTTGGTAAAAGGTTTGCCAATGAGGTGAACAACTAAAGGTATAACCGATTTATAAATATCGCTTAAACCACTACAACCTGCAAAACATTCAAAAAAGTTTGATAGAAAAAACACAAAATCAAGCTAAATCAGTTATTTAAATAACAAATCAAGGTAAGAGAACAGGCTACAAGAGATCTTTGAGCTCTAAAAAAAACAAATGAATAATTTTGAGCGCTTGCGTAATTACTATTGTGACAATCAAACGCCAAAATAGCATCTTATTTCACATTTGAAAAAGCTCTATTGGAATTAAATATGACATTTCAAATGTGAAATAATGTATAATTATTTGTTGAAATGGCAGTTTAATTAGTATTTTAGGTAAGAAAAATCATAAATTTGAACATACTTTTCACTATAATACTTTATTCATTTGCATCTTGAATTTTTTGTAAAAGCACGCATTTGTTCATTATCTTTGTGTATGTCAATTATAGTATCACAAATTATATAAAACCACTAAGTTGTGAAGTGGCTTATGTAAATTTGGAAGAAGATATAACTTTGATCAAGATCAATTTGGGTATGTAAAAGCCTTCGGTTTCCATTGTTAAATTAGGTATTGGTTAATAAGGGCTCGTTTAAATAAGAGCCCATTTGTGAAGCCCATAATAGAAATATATATTAGATAAGAACCCATTTTATTTTTTGGTCCTGGATACATCAAAAGTTTGGGCCGGGCTGTCGTAAGTCATATAAAATGATGTGGTGTCAAAAAACACGATTTATCAAGTGATGTCAAAAAACAAAGTGATGTCAAACTCGATGTAAATAGTTTTTAAGTATACGAGGAGAGCACAAGAAAGAGATTTTTAGAATGTGATGTCAAACTCGATGTGAGTTATTTTTACCAGAATTCTAGCTTTGTGTGATTAAAAATAAAAGCAAACACACAAATTACGTTTTTGAAAATGTGATTCTTTTTCATATAACAACCTTGCTGTCTTGGGATGATCAAAGCTATAATTCTGGTAAAAAAAAGTTAATTTGTGTGTTTGCTTTTATTTGTAGTACAACACGAGGGTTTAATAAAGACTTAGAAAATACTTAGAATCATAATTAGAATAAAATTAAATTTAGTAAAAGGAAAATGTCAGTGTCTTTATTTTTTTTAACTGATGCTCAAAGTTTTTAGAAGAAAGATATACTTTGATTTTATGTGCGACACGTCGATCACTACTATTATGGAATTTGTTTTTTGATAAATACTAGTATTATGGATTTGTTTTTGTTCAAACCTCGATTTCTAGTTGACATCATGAAGATTTGATCCATCATTCGTTGGCCCATACCGTTTGAAAAATCAATTCACAAATCAATCTTAAATTTCGCGTAATTGATTTATGAAATGGGGCATATCCATCATAAACTATTATTTCACACGCGTCACTGGGCATTTTTATGTTGCAGTGTGCAATTTTGGTTAATGTAGAAAATAAAAGTAGATGAAGACGCTCAATTCGGATAGACAAAGCTTTTTTTTTTCCCAATATGATAAAACTCTCTATCACTAATTAACTTCTAAGCAACCGAAACCTTGATTTTTGAGGAGTAATGAGATTAACTTAATCTTGGGTTTTGTTTTCATATGATGAAGAATTTAGACTCGTATCATATATTTTTATTACTAAAAAGTAAAGAGACTTTGTACCTATATTTTCCTATTAACAAATAAAAAAAAGTATTTGATCCAAACATATAAATAAGTTAAGTTGACAGAAAAGTCTAATTAGATATTTATTTATTTTTGTGAGAGAAAAAAAAACAGCAGGTTTTATAATATTAAATTTATTTTGGGTGGGAAAGACAAAGCAAAAGCAATCTCCAAGATTTGATACGCTGTGGTGTCTAAAGAGTGAAACAGCAAATTATGTTTGGAAAAAAAGAGGAAAAGTCCAATGCCTTAAAAAAGAAATGTTCGAACAAATATTAATGGGTCCCCCCCTTTAGATTTCCGTGGGTCCCGCGGATCCTAATTTTAATGTGGACGTCAATGCATTATTATTTATTTGTCCACCTTCCTCTTGTTTTTTTTTTGAACAAATTAAATTGGAAAATGATAATTCTCATAAATAATTCACTTTTTCTTTTGGATTGGAAAATGATAATTCTCATAAATAATTAGCTTTTTCTTTTGGATTGGCTTTTTGAATTAATTTATAATCGCAGCGGAGTTTAACGTTTGGATAACATAATAAGTTTCAAGAGTCAGATTGGTATTGTTAGGCGTATATATAGTAATTATTTTATCGTCAACCTATTCATCAGACCACGAATACACTTTCTTTTGGATATCTTAGACCTTTTTTTAGTGGAAATTTTGGACTTTGATTCGCCCTAATTAACATGTAGATGCAGTATTATTTATTATTTGTATGTTTGCATTGTGGCTATTATGATTTATGATTCCTTCGGTTTGGAAATACATTGTATATTTTAATTCGGATTTACAATATTTATTCTCTCACTGGATTGTTATTATCGCATGGTGATAAAGTAGAATACTGTATGACCAATTACATGGAACAAAAATATTGTGCAGTGATGTGGTACATTTATCTACAAAATGTGGAAAGAAGAACATAGTACATTTTTATCAAAACATGGAGAACAAACTTATAAACTCGGAAGTCGGGTTAGTAATTTGACCAGAAAAATCTCTCGTAAGACCAATCCGAACCGACCGGATTACATGCACTGATTGAACCGGTTACTTTAACCGCTACTATGAACTGTAATGGTGACCAAACCAGCTCTCATCTTCAGTGTTTTTTTTTCCTCTTCAACAGTTATTCTACTTTCAATTTCTTTCACTCACACACACGACGAGATATTGACCAATGTATATATATCTCATGATCTGTCTCTATGGTTTTTTTTTTTCGATTCCTTTGTACGGATTTCTCCTCTATTATTTATTCGATTTAGGAATATTTTCCCCTATGATATTCGCATAGGCCCCCACCGGATTTTCAGAAATCTCAATTTATTAATACTATTTTCTTCTCAAAATAAAGGTTTAATTTTTCAACCCTAAAAGCACGGCACAAAAGAAATAAAAATGTCTTTTTTTCCACATAAATATGAACCAAAGATTTTGTTGGATTTTCCTCGCTGGAGATTAAAAAAAAAAAACACTTAAAAGAAAGGATTTTTAAATTTTAAGAGCAAGAGAAAAAAAAATTCAGAAATATAAAAAACTGGGAGAAGAGGAAGAAAAGAAAAGCAGGTGTGAGCTCTCCTTCTTCTCCCTTGTGTCATTTTTACCCTCTCCTCTTAGTTACTACTATTATGGCCAGAGACGGTGGCGTGTCTTGCCTACGGAGATCGGAGATTATGAGCGTCGGAATGGAATCTGCGCCGTTGGATTTGGATGAAGTTCATGTCCTCGCCGTCGATGACAGCCTCGTTGATCGGATTGTCATCGAGAGATTGCTTCGTATTACCTCCTGCAAAGGTCCGTCTTCCTAAATGATTTAAAAATTATTTTACGTCTTCGATTTTTCTCGCTGGAACATTCCTAAAAAGAGGAGTAAATCTCCGGTGGTTCTGTTTCAGTCACGGCGGTAGATAGCGGATGGCGCGCTCTGGAATTTCTTGGGCTAGACAACGAGAAAGCCTCTGCCAAATTCGATGTAAGTCTTGAAATCTACAGAGAGAGCTTGGTTTTGGGAGGTTAGAGATATACATTTTGATTTGTTTTTGTGTAACGAATCTGTCGAATTTCAGAGACTGAAAGTTGATATGATCATCACCGATTACTGTATGCCTGGAATGACCGGTTACGAGCTCCTTAAGAAGATTAAGGTCTGAATTTTCCCGCCGTTTTCCCGATTCATATACACCTTTTTTTTTTCTGAACAATGTGGAATTTTCCGTTAATCTGAAACAGGAATCGTCCAATTTCCGAGAAGTTCCGGTTGTAATCATGTCATCGGAGAATGTATTGACCAGAATCGACAGGTACTTCGTTTTTTTTTTATGTAAAATTCGCAGACTTTTTGCTTGTATTAACTGTTGATTGTAATGAAAGATAATCTGATAATTTCGGCAGATGTCTTGAGGAAGGTGCGGAGGATTTCTTACTGAAACCGGTGAAACTCGCCGACGTGAAACGCCTGAGAAACTACTTGACCAGAGACGTTAAGCTTTCCAACGGAAATAAACGGAAGCTTCCAGAAGTTTCGGATTCCGTCCACGCTTCACTTCCTCCGCCGTCACCGCCGTTGACTCTCTCGCCTGATTCGTCGGACTCTTCTCCGCCGTTATCTCCGGTGGAAATCTTTTCCTCACCGCTTTCATCCCCAATAGACGATGAAGATGACGATGTGTTGACATCGTCGTCGCCGGAGTCTTTGACGACGCCGGAGGAATCGCCGATTCGACGGCAGAAGATGAGGAGTCCCGGATTAGATTAGTGTTTTTACTTTTCTGGGACCCGTGTAATATTTATCTCCGTTAACATTTTACCTTTGACGGTGTTTTTAATTGCACGTTGACTTGACGCCGTCAATTTATAGATGTCCTTTAATCTCGCTCCACGTGGGCCTTTTTCTGATTCTAAAAGTATAAGTTTTTCGAATTTCCTATATTTATTGTTTTAAGTATTACATTATGGTTTTGACTTTTTAAAGTTTTGATCAAGGCAAAATGGAAGAAAAAAACATTCATAATAGCAGCCATCGTTGTAAATATGAAATATCAACTCGAAAGGAAAACAAAAACCCATTCAATTAGTGATAACCTTTTAAAAAATTCTTTCAACATTTTACATTTCACGACTTGTTATGATAACAAACTCTAACATGCGTTTTAGACCCTAAATATTATAGAGCTTATCGCAATACATTTTTTTTTTTTTTTGCAACAAGGGTTGCTTATCACAATACATGGTGTCATACTGTCATTGGTTAGATGACGGTTTTTTTTTTCTTTTCATTTTATGAATTTTAAGATTTGGAGAATGTCATTTTATTATCTACTTTATATCTTTTATCCACAATATACATAATACGAGATTGAATGTGAATGATAGTAGAAGATATTAATAGTACAAACTGTTCGCACATAGGTATCATCTAAGAGCCTACCACTAGTGAAAAAAGAAGAAGCCTACCACATTATCCTATATTTGTAGTGTGATCTTACTTTATCATATAGAAAATATAGAGATATAGAAATCTTTACGATCAGTTGTCAAATCTTTAGAATTCAAAAAAAAAAAAAAATTTATTACCGACATGAAATACAAAGTAGGGTACGTTATGAAATACACTACCGGCAATTGCCAAAACTCCGGAAACATAAACCCAAAATTTACTGAAATCATTTTTGGCTTTAATATCTTTAGTTAGACTAAATTATAATAAAACCCTATATATTGTGGGTAAATAGAACTGCTATATTTGACAAGTAATTTAAGTTTTGTAAAATGCCATATTATTATCAAAAATGTGGACAGATCTATATATTCGAGAATTAAAGAGCTAATGGGTTTTCTTCCAAGTACAAAATAAAAATAAAAAATAACATCTGATTCCGATACATGAACATATAGTTGAGAGTCTTGAGACTTGAGAGCTTGATCAACTATCATGATACAAAACAAAAAAAAAACAGATCAGTTTTTCTTTCCTCAAATAGTCACGTATTAATTTGCTAACATAAGCCGACTCTTTAATATACAAAGAAGTGGATGCATCATTATGCATGTGTAAATGTGTAGAGAGTAAGCAAGAAAATTAGAAAATAAATATAAAATAAAAAAGAAGAATTTTGTAAGGCTGGAAATGGGCAATTCTTGTTCCCTTCTTTCAGGGCATATTTATCAGTAAATAGTCTTTATAGATCCGTTGTCTCTGGCACTCATATTTTGGTGTCTCTTTTACGATAGAATGTGTTTTTACAACTTCCGAGTAGAGTAGGGATATCCACATAGATGCGCGCGGTAGAGAGGTTAATTCATTAGAAACAAGTTTAATTTTTTTTATATATATTGCGTTTAACATGTGTTTTTCCGAATGAGTATTTGATTGGAAGTAGAGGTTGGATTGTGGTTGGCCGCAAATCTTTTTTCTTTAAATATATGATTAGAGCTAAAATATATGATTAAAATGGATTTAAGTTTCAACGAATGGTTACATCATCTGAAAAGATATATACTTCACAATCATAAATTTGGTAAATGAGCGGATATTTTCTTCATTAAAATGTATTTTTCTAAAATTTGTTAGCTAAGTACTTCGATTAGCTATAAAATCTATTGGATAAAGTTTTTATAATTTCTCCTTTAGCTAATATTTTCCTCTCCAAATATTATGGTCAGTCGTCAATTCTACTTATCAACAAAAAAGATCATATAAATTTTACTGTTAATGACATAGGCAACCACATTAAAAGGACGAAAATTCAATTTTTAAAATCTGCAGATGCACTGTATATATATACCAACAAAATCATTAATTATTGTCGACAGCAAAATCGCCCCCAAACGATACTCCTCACGTTTGGCTGGCGTAGTACTTAAAAAGAAAATGGAATAAATTAAACAAAATTTTCCTTGAGTTGCGTTTTGTCCCTTCATGTGGGGAATGAGCCTCTCTACAACCATATACTGTAGTTTCTTTCTCTTTCGTTTTTTTCTTTTGTCATCTTTGGGGTACTCTTGTGTCCCCATCACTACTGCATGTGTCTTTCCACGTTTTTTTGCTAAACTCTTGACATGTAGATTCTACTTTTGTCCCATGGCTAGTTTTCTATTCAAAATGTTTTATAAAATTAATTGTCGACTAAACTTTTGTTATTAGGAATAAGAAAATTTGAAAATCTGTCTATTAAAAAGCTTATTCCGACAGGAGATCATATCAAATTACACTAATCTCCGTTGTGTATCCTGTATCATCAATTCATCATCATGTCTTAAATGTCAAAACTGACTGAAAACTAGGTGTACATGACTATTATTGATCAAATCTATAACTATACAACTTTAATTTCGTTAAACAACAACTAAAGTTTTTCCCCTCCACAACTATTACATGTTTGTTGATTTAGGTTTCTTTTTTTCTTTCCTCCAGAAGTTGTTCCATGTATTCCCAAAAATTTTACCTTTTCTTTTTAGTTGAAATCAGAATATGATATAATCTTCATTTTGGGACGAATATACATGAAAATAAATTATATTTGTCGAAATGAAGAATTCAAGACTCCGATATTGGCAGCTTTTATATCATACCATATATTCTCTGATGATATAAAACTATACACCAAAAGGTCCAAAAAGAAGAGTGGTGATCATGAGTAGCCACATTATGATGATCCCACTCCATGTCACCTCAAAAACAAGCAAATTTATCTAACACCAGACCTTGGCATAATCTCTAACAGCCAAAGAACCTCAACACTAACATCTGAAACAAGAAAAAACACACAAGTTTGAGCATCGCCAGTTAAAATCGAAGATCACACAGCCTTTGGGTGATGTAAGAGATCAATTTGGATGGAAGAATTGGAGTTCGTACGTGTTTATATAGGCGGCAAGGCAAGAAGTTTGCAGTTGAGCATAATGTGAAACCGCGAGATACTCCTCTGTTTTGAGATTTCGCTGACTCTTTTACGCCTCTCTCCTGTTGGATTCGGTTTCCTCTGTTTGCGTCTATACAAAAGATCTGATGTGTTTCCCACATACTTCACCTACAACAGGTTGAACCAATGGGGCAAAGTAAGTTCGATTCATCCGCAAAGTAAGCGCAACGCTTTCCCAACACACAGAATTTCATTATATGTGGTTATACCTTTGAAGTGCTGCAAGCCATCTTACATTCCATCTCGTTAATGATGTGCAGGCCTTCCATCGCAGCAGGCATCCCAGAAGATTCATCTAAACCGGTGAATTTCTCCTTGTTCCTGCACAGAGTTTGCTTACACATTACAGCATAACCAAATAACAAATATATATACCATAAGCTCTTATCATGCTCCCATCACCTCTTCAGAAACACTCCGTGCTTCTCTTCATCATCGACGGATGTTAGAAATTTCTTTTGCAGATAGTCTGCAAAACCCGTCTCCATCGCTGCACCCGTTACTTCAGGATGATGGTTCCAGCTGTTCATAAGCTGAATCGAGAGACGGGTTTCTGCCGGTGACTGCAACCAGTTCCAACGTGATATTAACACACTACGGATTTCGAAAGGACGAAAATGTGAAGTTCTAAGAGAAACCTACATATCTGATCCCGTATATGTTTGCCTCATAGAGGAGGGCATGTGCATTCTCATGATACACTACATCAGAGAATCTTCCCGGTTTTCTGTAGTTCTCATATGCGTATAGTTGCAGAAGCTTGGTGTCTGTCTCATCAGCTGCAACCGCATGGAGCTGAAGCATATCCAAGACACCCCAATGGTCAGGAAAGAGAGAATAAAGAGAGAGAATGGACGCAGAGAGTCAAGAAGTCAAGAAATTAGTTTTTCTTACATGCTTAACAAACTTCTGAACTAGCTTGTCCAATGTGAAAAGAACATATGACTGTGCTCCAATAATAGAGCGGCATTCATCTTCAAACTTTGTGTTGTCACTAGAGCCGTCAAGTAAATTATAGAGTGCATCCATGAACCTAAAAGTGTTATGCTTCCAAACATCAGTAAGGAACCGATTTTCGATACAAAGCTAGTAACTTGGATGATAATATAATACCTGGAATAAGAATCAGGGGTTGTTTTATCTGGAGACTTCCCCTTCTTTTCCGAATATTTCTTTGCTGATTGTATCCTCTCGTACAACATCTGGAAAACCAGCAGAAGTACACCGAAATTAGCACCGAAGGTGAAAATCATCATATTTAAAACTCGAGAAGCTTTAAACAGTCCTTACTTGATGAAGCCTAAATAGCACATAATAGGAATCATTCCCGTAAAACACTCGGGAATCATTCTGGGAGCCAGTTTCACTAGCTTTCAGAGGCCAAGACACATGCTTGGCAACAGGTTTTACAGTTTGCAGAAACCGTTCTGAAAATGCAAAGTATCCATCTTCACCTTCATTTCCATTAGCCACCGTTTCAGTACAATATGCTCCCTTTTTATCACAGCTTTGTTGGTCTTTATTGCTTCTTCCATCGTCTATCGCCCTTTGTAAAGGCTTGAGGCCACTCTGTCCATTAACCTCAAAGTTGCCTTGCTCAGAAATCTCGGTGGGAGATAATTCACCCTCTTCTCTATCAACCTCATGAGTTCCGACTGATACTTCGTTAACCTTTTGATTTTCCACATCCTCCCCTATCTGATCGTTTCTGGGTGACACCAGTTTGGAAGGCTTGATAACCTGTAAATCATAAACCAAAATTAGGGCTATATCTACGAAGTCTCATAAATAAATAATATTTCGACTGATCTCTATTGATTGCTCATCAAGACGGTAGATGGGTAACTAAGGATGGTAGCTTTCCACTTAATTATATCAGAACAGAAGTGCACACGACCTGGTTTAAAAACAACTCCACACAAGGACTTACCTCTTTAGTCGCAGCTGCATCATTTTGCAGTTTATCGGGCTGAACTGTTTTCACTATATTGGAAGAGTCATCTTTCCCAGGAGAGCTTCCTTGCACTGTTGGATTATCTTTGTTCAGCAGTTTCGGAGATATTGGATGTTTACGCTTTGACCCAGAAGCGCTGTCCTTCACTACCATGCATGCATCATGCAATTCTTGGTTGTTTTTTAACTTTAACTCATCGTACATAGCCAGGTTACCTTGAGACCTCGAAAGAATGCCAAACATGGGCTCCAAGAAGGTTGTCCACAGCTTCATTACCTTATCTGATTGTTCAGTCGCACATATTTCTTCACAGTAATACTTGATCAGCAGATATAGGTCTTCGTGAATTTGTGTATCACAATAATTGAACTCCAAATCCGGAGTAAAATAGGGCACAGTTCTGAATGCAACAGCTTGAAGCAGATCTTCTTGATGCTTTTTCTCACTAATATCTTTTATCTCAGCAACTAAACCTGCATTTCAGCCATCAAAACAAGTGGTTCCATCAAACCTGAAGTAGGTGGGAGATCTTCACATAATGAACTTATATAAGACAAATAGAGAAGCTTACATTTTGTGCTCAAGTTCTTCGAGTCCTGCTGCTTGAAATAGAAACTACGATGATCTAGTGACTTATGGTGATTCTTAGCATATACTTCAGCCCAAACTTTCTGGAAATCAGAGTGGCACCTTGCCCATTCTTCTTGCTTCTGCTTTAAGCGCGTAAGTATCACCGGTAAAGCACTATTCATATTTTTCTTCATAAGGTCAATGACATCAAGCCCATTATCTCCATATAGCCGCTCAATGCATCTTAAGTTCATAGCTATTAAATACAGTTGCATAGAAAGTTGTTAGCACAAATAAGTGAAAGAGATACAAAATATAACCACCCTAGTGTTCCAAAATAACAACTTACCTGATAAGTGTTTTTCGATACATATTGTAGTGTCTATTGAGATTGTATTGTTGTTGATCTTTTCCAGAAGAATTTCCACGTGTTTGATGGCTGAACTCACAGATCCTAGTAACATATCCATTTCATACCTGAACACACGTTAGGAATGTTAAACAGGGGGATTCTATTGCCAAGAAAAAGTCACCATTTCTCCATACGAATAGAGAGAAGTCCCAACAATAAAGAAGATAACTTAAGCATGCCAAAGTTATAGGAGAAAATCTACTGGATATCGAAAGAAAATACAAAAACATGTATATACCAAGTGGATAAAGGAAATTTGTCAACAAGCTACCAGATCATACCTGTCATCCTCACACCGAAACAAGCTTTCTTCATACTGGTTTTTGCGCATATGACTGAATGAGTAATCTTCACTCCCTGAGGTGACAGATACCAGGTGGTCATTGAGTGTCTTTTTACCAAGTGTATTTCTGTACCTTGGAATCTCAACTGGATACTGCATGGACACAGACAAACCACATGATCATAAGAAAACGGAATGAGTGGATTGCAGTGTAGTAAAACGATATTATTAAGGAAAAGGAGGCACTCACATCCTTTGGTAGGAGCCGATAACTTGGCGTACACTGAGTGCATTCAGAAAGATCAAGTTCATTTATAGGTGTTCCCACATACTTCGTAGCAGATAGTGGACTTTTTTGATTTCCCATATCTTTACTGCCAGACGCTGCAGTTTTGTCAGTTCTATCTGCATCTCTTTCACTATCTTCTTTGTTTTCATAATCTTGAATTTCCTCGTCGTCCTCCGCATTCAAATAGCCTAGCTGGCCTTCTTTAACAAGGGAGTCTGCAAAAATTAACTACCTGAGAACCAAATATAAACTACTGAAACTTACGCCGTTAACAGAGACAAGACTGGGCATTATCACAGTATACAATATGAAGGTAAATTAAAAAGGGTTCTGCAAAAAGCGAACATAGTTGAACCTATGAACTAGATACAAACCACTAAATACTTAAGTCATTAAGAGAAAAAACTGACCATGGTCGCATAATACAAGATGACGGTACACCTCAGACACTTGCTTGTTTATACTAAATTCATTAGAATGAAAGACATCTTATAGAAATGTAACAGCCATCCAAATACTCACTTCCCAGAGAATTACCAGCGGAGCAAGCGACAAGGTTCTCATCCCCATCTTCTCGTTGATCAGAGTGTTCAGAATAATCTTCGAGCTTGCATCGTCGTTTTATTTTCTGTGGCAAATAAGAGTACATCAATATCTCACTCAAAAGCTGAATCATCAAGTTCCCTATATAAATTCTGTTTATATATTGAATCTTAATTTATCAGACCAGTGGAGGAAAGGATGTATGGCACATTAAAAATATAGCTAACTGCGCGAAAGATTCTATCCTTTAGAAAATGAATTGGAGTAACCTTATCAGTGGCAGGAGTTGCAGTGCCCTTGTGACGCGGTACTGCATTCCTCGCACTCGCAGAAGCAGATTCTGAACAATTAGGTAAGAAATTAACGAACTCCACAAGCAGATCTTCATGACCCTTGAACAGCATAGTAACCTACACAACAGACGATGATCAGAGAAATACACTAGAACTGTTGCTTTAACAAAATAAGATGTAAGGTAGAAAGTTTCAAGATTTAAACCTCTGGGAAATAACAATAAACATACCTCTTCGTAGACATCAGAGATGGACTTCCTTTCCTTTCGATACATGTTCAAGATGTCTAGAAACCTTTTATACGCATGTTCATCACCTCCGAACCTCGCCTGCAAATGTAGAGATTCAAGTAAACCTTGAGTGATTGAAAATCAACATTACTTCAGTGTGTCATTTACCACATCACATACATACCTTAATCTTGGTGACGAAACCGATAGCATCTTTGAAATCCACCCTGGTCTTAGGTTTCTCTTCCTCAGGCGGAAGGACTATTGTATAATCTTTGGGCAAGAAAGTATTAAAACCTAGGAGTAGGTCGTTGTAACCCTTGAACAAAGCTTTTATTTTTTCTATGACACCAAGAGTGTCGACTCTGCAACCAACATGAGACACCATGAATATACGCACTTCACACTGTGACATCCACAATACACGAATTCCTAGTGTGGCCTCTATAAGAAAGACAAAGTGAAACTAAACGGGAAGAGAAGAGAAGTAGGTGTACCTTTGAGCTTTAAAGTCCTTCATGACCTGAAGGAATGTCTCATATGTCTCTACATTGTCTTGAAAAATGTTCTTCACAGCTTTGAGATAATGCAGGGCATCACTTGTGGTTAATCCCCCCCTTATGGTTCGAGCTTGGCCGTTTCTGCATTGCACAAACAAATGTAACTTACTTTCAAACATTGAAATTGCAGCTACTACAGTGAAGAATCAAAAACCAGCTTAGTTTAGGGAGTTGTAAGCCGAAGAACATTATAAGCCTCAAAAGGATAATCACGACCTATAGACTAAATTAATCGCACGTTTGAAATACTAACACCCCCCAACAAAACAGTTTAAGGACAAATGGAAATTTCGAGTGCCGAACCAAAGCATAGTCTAAATATAAATTTTGAAAAGAGGAACCAAAAACTGAGATTAGAGAGAGAAAAATAGAGAGTTACGTTTCTCCTCGAGTAGAAACTTCGGGCCTTCGTCGCATTTGAGCTTCAGAGTAAACCTCTTCTCTAACTCTCTTCATCTATTCTTCCTCTTCTTCTTCTCCGGTAGACAAATTTCCCCAAACAAACAAAATCAGGCTTTTAGCAGCCAAACCCTGAAAATAATCAAAGTCCAGCAAAAACAATTCCGAGTTAGAAACGGATTTTCGTTTCCCCCTACTAATAGCAAACGAGAACCAGATCTACCATCACAGAATCAAACAAGTAAAGACCCAAAAAAATGAAAAATGAACAAGAGATGTCTGATTAAAACTTTGAAGACCAGATCACGTTACTCGAACGGTGAGCGGGATTTTCTCCGTTCCTTGGTGTCGGCGAACAGTTCGGCGCCGGAGATTTTCAAGTAGAAAACTTTCACAAGTAAAATAGCGAAAAACAAGGTTTTAAATGCTTTTGGAGTGACCGGGAACAATTAAGCATACATGTACGATGAGATTGGTTCTGGTTTGACGCAATCTCTCTCTCTCTCTTTCTGGTTCGGGAAGCGGAGGAGGGAAGAGGCCCCGTGAGTCGTAACGCAATGTTGGAGCAGGCGGAAAGAGGAAGAAGAAGAAGAAGAGAATGACTTGTTATATATACGGAGGATAATTTAACATCGATGTTGTATATTTTAATTTATATTTTCTTAACTAAAATCATGTTAATTGTATTTTAATTAGACCTTCGGAATCAAATGGGCAGGTTACGAAATTGAGCACTGTAATCCCCAAGTGGGCACATTTAGGGTTTTCCAGTTTTTCTTTTCTTGGTTTTAAACTGAAAGTTATATAAGCCTAAAAGCTAATGGGCTTTTAATGGGTTGAAGGTTATAGGCCGACTTAGGTTAATATTTGTTACCCACTTAACCAAACCGAGTTTTATTGGCCGACAGAAAAGAAAACAGAGGAGGAGTTTCTTACAATCCTACAAACTCAAATTCAATGATGAAAATAGATGATTTGCTCCTGCCTTTTTGAGGTTTGTCTTGTTTGAAAGCTACAAACAGAGAAAGTAAGAGAACTTTCTGGATGATTTTTATTTGCTGTCATTTTTCTTGAATATTCTTCAGTTTATGAGACAAAAATATGTGATGTCATGTGCTAATACAAATGCAACTAACGTTTATGTGCATTTATGTTGTAAGTTTCTACAATAAATCCTACTAGAAAGAAAACTAAATTTAATGAAGTAAAAGGAAACGTTGAATTCCTTCAGATTATGATAAAAGGAAGAAGAAGAATATTTAGCATAAATTTTATGTAATCATAAGTTTATACAACTGTAAATAGTAAAACACTTACAATCTACTTTCCTAACGCTAGGAAGTAGAACAAAGAGAAAGTATTCATTTTAGATGATAAACCCTTTTTCTTTGTTATATGCAGCGGAGAGTTTGATTTGCCCTAATACGAATGCTAAATGGTAACCGTGGTTAAGTTTATGGTTCTTATTTTTTTTAGCGTTATCATGTACAACTGTGGGCATTTGGTCTAGTGGTATGATTCTCGCTTAGGGTGCGAGAGGTCCCGAGTTCAATTCTCGGAATGCCCCCTTTTTTTAGAATTTAATTTGAACTGCAACTTCCACCTGTCTTCTCCTTATCCGTTGATTAAGCATATATATATGAAACATTATAAAGTTGACTGATTACGAACGAATGAGAGGAGGACATGGCGATGACATGTTTTGACATTTGACTGATCAAAATCCAAAGAACCATACCAATTTTGGGACAAATTCAAACTAGAACAGCACGGCTCCAACTTCCACGTGTCAGAAATCCCAATCCAATTCCTATCCGGTTTGTCCCCCAACAAAATCTCTCTTAATTCTCTCTGTTTTTGTCAATAATTTCCTAATTCACCAGAAATTAGACCAAAACTAAAGTTTAAAACCAACAAATCCAACAAAAAGAGCAAACCAAACTACCATCATAATCATTGGTAGAGTATCTAATACTATACTTGATCATAAAAAAAAAAAATTAAAATTAAACCGAATGTTAACCGGGTTATAACATCTGTATCCTCTGTCTCGTAGTTCCTTCTTTTTTTCTTTTAGTCTAAAATCCATTTTTTTCTCAGCCAAGAGAGAGAGAGAGAGAGAGAGAGAGAGAGAGAGAGAGAGTCTAAACACCAAAGACCAGAGCCAGGATTTGATCTCCGGCGATTCATTTTTTTCACCCGCCGTCCGTCACATAGGTTGAAGGAGCGGTGGTCTATCGATTTGTGGAGGAGATGCCGTCGAACGGAGATCTAGACCGTCAGATCGAGCAGCTGATGGAGTGTAAACCGTTATCGGAGGCGGATGTGAGGACGCTCTGCGATCAAGCTAGGGCGATCCTTGTCGAGGAATGGAACGTTCAGCCCGTGAAATGTCCTGTTACCGTCTGCGGCGATATTCACGGCCAGTTCTACGACCTTCTCGAGCTCTTTCGAATCGGCGGTAACGCCCCCGACACCAACTACCTCTTCATGGGAGACTATGTAGGTCTGTCTTTCTCCATCTCTCTTTGTTTTCTTATTTTACTTTGGGATTTCGACTCCTCTTTCGTTTTCTGGGTTTTACTTTTAGATCTACGTTTTTGGGTGGTTTTTTGGAAAGTTAGCATCTTTTTAAAATTTCTCAAGTGAGTTTCTTGTTTATGGGAATGAACATCAATCTTATTTCAATTTCTGCTGTGGGAATGGTAGGTACTGAATTTTCCCAATATGATAGTTATCTTCATTTGGACAGGCTCTCATGATATATTCTTGTTTAGTTAGAGGGAGTTAAAAAAGGTTATGGCTTGTATGTGCTTTTCACTCTGTTAAACTAACTAAACTGTAATTGTAGTAATTCATTTATCAATCATTTTGACATCGATTTTGTCCATAAAAGCCAACCAAGTTTGTTAGTTTCAGCTGCTAGTGAATGTTTATGGTTTCTCATTGTCTTAGTTTTTTTTATTATATGCAGACCGTGGCTACTATTCAGTAGAAACAGTGTCTCTATTGGTGGCACTGAAAGTGAGATACAGGGATAGAATTACAATCTTGCGAGGGAATCACGAGAGTCGGCAGATCACCCAAGTGTAAGCTTCTGTTTTCTAGTAAGCTTAATGTCTTGTTACTTCTGACTTCTGACCATGTTTTACCCCTTCGATTTCTGACCCTGTTTGATGTTCTGTTTCTGTTTCAGCTATGGTTTTTATGACGAATGCTTGAGGAAGTACGGAAATGCAAATGTCTGGAAGTATTTCACAGACCTTTTCGATTACCTTCCTCTTACTGCCCTCATAGAGAGCCAGGTTTGAGCTGTTCTGTCCTGTTGGTGTTTCGGGCATAATTTTTTTAACTACACCTTTTTGACTTTGATGAAATTTTATCAACTACAGGTTTTCTGTTTGCATGGAGGGCTTTCACCTTCTCTGGATACCCTTGATAACATCCGAAGCTTGGATCGGATACAGGAGGTACTATTACCTTCTTTTTCTTTGCAAAAAGTCCTTAGTTTGGATTGGAGTTAGAAGTGTTATGAGTTGTTTCCATCTTAGTATTTGGTTATGTCTGAAAGAGAGCAAAAGAAGATCTTATTGGTCATCTCTTTGAACTATGTATCTGTAGGTTCCACACGAAGGACCAATGTGTGATTTACTATGGTCTGACCCCGATGATCGCTGTGGGTGGGGAATATCTCCACGAGGTGCTGGTTATACATTCGGGCAGGACATCGCAGCTCAATTTAATCACAACAATGGACTCAGTCTCATATCAAGAGCGCATCAGCTTGTCATGGAAGGTTTTAACTGGTGTCAGGTATGTATATGTTCACGGGAGGGCCGTCTCAATTGCTTACGGTTCCAAAGGCAGAACTGGTCCGTCTCTGTTTTCATAACTGCGGATTGGATTGTTGACCTCACTTTTTTTTTGTGGTAACAGGAAAAGAATGTGGTGACGGTGTTTAGTGCACCGAACTATTGTTACCGGTGTGGGAACATGGCAGCGATTCTAGAGATAGGAGAGAACATGGAGCAGAACTTCCTGCAGTTTGATCCAGCTCCTCGACAAGTCGAACCTGATACTACCCGTAAGACCCCTGATTATTTTTTGTGATTTATTTGTTTCTTTTTTTTGTTCCGACCATGTATAATCTTTTGAGATTCCGGCTTTCTTACTTATGTATCATTGTAGATGTGCCCTTTTCTTCTTTTTCCCAAGTGGAGTTCGAATTTCCCTCAAAAAGAAAGAAAAAAACATCATTTTTTTGTTGTTCGTTGATGTGATTTCGGAGAAAAGGTTTGTAGGAGAGGCGTCTATATATATAAAGTTGTTTCAACTTCGAAGCTATGTCGAACAAGTACTTAGACCTCTTTGCAAATTAGTGATATAACCGAATAATTTTTTTTGCGTACAATAGCGAGAAAAGTCTGGTTCGTGGCTCTCCTTGTACGCATTGCAACTCCTAATGACTACAATACCATTACAAACAAAAACGCCTAAGCAAGGCCTAAACAAAACTTCCAGTATTGTGCAGAGACTGTAAAAAATGTGACAAGCCTAAATATACAACACAACTCATATACCCATTTCTTTGTTTTCCCTTCAATTCTTCTTCGGTGCTTTGGGTCGTGACCTCATACTAGCTCTCCTAGCCACGTCCCAAGCTTTCTGTGGCGCGTATATTCCCAGTTGAGACGCAAAGAAGGACTCATAACCAGGTGAATCAAAGGCAAAACCAGTGTGCTTTGAGATTTCCCGAGGCAATTGGGATATCGCATAGCTTCTCGCCTCCTCTGGTGTGAGCTCGTTCGCTATCTCAAGTTGATCTGCATTGCTACTATCCGGCTCGTGCCTGTGAATCTCTTGAACTATCTGATAATCATATGGGAAGTACCACCTCTCCACCCTGCATCCCCAGATTCCCAAATCAGCAAAATCTTTTGAGATATAACAAGCATATTGATCAAGTGTTTAGTTTAGATCCACGTTTTTGCTTACACTTGATAGATGAAATCTGCCAGAAGAGCAACAACAGGAACAAGCAGCAACGTGAAGTAGAAATAAAACGTACTCATCAGGACATATATGACAAAGTAGACATTCTCCTGCATACACAGAAGCAGAAAAAAAGAGAGTAAAAGATGAGATAACGAAATATACAAAGGGGAAGAATGGGTTTGACCCAATGTAATGGAGGAAGCAAAGCTTACATTCCTATCACGTGGCGTCGTAATCCCGCAGTACATAAAAGCAAAAACGAGCCATGCTAATATGCTTCCTCCAACTGTGATATGATGCCATCTGGTGATCGAGTTGCTCATTAAAAGGATCCGCAGGTTCACGGCTATGACCAGACAGGTGAAGACCATTGTGCTCACATCCCAAAGACCGAATATTTTGCCTGATGAGTTTTTGCCGTCAAAAGCTGACGCGGTTACGAAGAGATAGCACACCAACGACTGATACACAGCAGAAGAAGCCCAAACTGCCACAACTCTCCACTTGAAAAAGGAGTCGCGTATTCCCTCTCTATACAGTTCAGGGTATCTCTTTGAAAGGGATGCACTCACATCCTAGCAAATGCACAAGTCAGTTTTGATCAATCGATCCCGAAAAAGAATGCCCATGGTTATTATTTAAGAATACTTTTTAATATTATAAAGATTGGGGAACTCAGTACCTTCTCAAACAGCCCAAGGACAATCACAGGAAGAGCTGTAAAGAAAACGTTGTATAATGACTGGAACCAATCATCATAGAACCTTTGACCCGAAAATCCAGTTCGAAATGTGAACCAAAACTGAATCAAAGTGAAGGTAAGATTCTTGTAAAAGAAATACATGACCACCTGCCAAAACAAGACACCATTAGTAACAGGTAACAGCAACATTGTAAAAATAAGTTTGAGGTTGAGAGAAAATCAACCTTGCAGATCCTAAGATATGACCACCGTCCATGGACAAGAAGCAGATCCGTAAGAAATCTAAACTGAGCAATGGCAAAATCACTAGCCATCACAGCTTGCATTCCTTCCATCCCACTTATTCCTACACCAACATGAGCGGCTTGAATCATGCTAACATCGTTAGCACCATCACCAATGCTAAGTGTTATCTTTTTCGCCCCTTTTCTCACCAAGCTTGTAACCTGAAATTCACATTAGTACATTCCCACCAAGATCCTTAGAACAGCAGTAGTATAAACATTATTTCCGAGAAAAGTATATTTCAGGAACAAGTAATCTGAAATTACCTGCGCTTTCTGTAAAGGAGAAACGCGACAGCACACCACTGAAGTACAGTTCAAGCTCAAGCTGAGCAGAGTTATACGTAAGGTCGGGTCTAATGCATACATCAAACACTTCCCATCGATAACGAGAGCCAATTTCGGTTCACCTACAGTATGCAGATACTGTTGAGCTTCTTCAAGGCCCTTCTTTAGCTCCTTCTTTACTTCTTCCTTGATAACACGCGCAATTTCAACTTGGTTTCCCTATGTTTTAGATATTTTTTCAACCATTAGGGCTGTAGTGAATGATAATCATACACACGAATATAAAAGGCATCTGTATGACTTACCCTTTCTTCAGCTTCCCTGATTGCATCAGTTTCAGAACTGATCATAAACCGTTTCATATCATTGTTGATCAAGTTGCAAGCTGAAACATTTTTTTTTTTTAAAAAAACAAGGAGCACAAAATCAACAATGGAAGAAGGAAAAAGAAGAAGCAAGAGGATTTTTTTTTTTTGGTGACATCTACCATATGCTATATTAATTGCAGTTTCCATCTTGTCCCCTGTTAGCACCCAGATCTTAATCCCAGCTCTTGATAAGGTCTCTATGCAGGTAGGTACCCCTTCCTGAAGCTTGTCTTCTATTGCAGTTGATCCAATCAGGATAAGATCCTTCTCAATGAGTTCTGCGACCTGCACGGACCAAGATAAATGTTTCCTGCTATAAATTAAAGAGGATATTGCACCAACGAATTACTCTCACTGCTATATGATTAATACCAGCTCAACAAGTTCTTATTGCCATAAGCGTGGTAAACAACAAAGAAAAGTAGCAGTATACCTCATCTAGCTTCTTCTCACGGTCTCGTAAAGCAGACTTGGCCTGGATGAATTTTTCATTCCAACTATCATAGGCTTCAGGATTTAAATCTTTATAGGCCAGGCAAAGGGTACGCAACCCAGACGAACCAAAGTGTTCCAAGTGCTCTCCAGTTACTTTTCTGACATCATCCATACCGTAAGCCAGTCTTTCGAAAATCACAGTATCTGCACCCTGTAGACATTGTTCCAAGCAATGGTCAAATTTGATATGGAAGTACACAGGCTTTTCCAAATCCAACTACCTTGAAAACGGTTTACCTTACAGTAGAGTACAAGTCTCCCATTTGGAAAACGACACACAACAGACTGGCGCTTCCTTGTACTGTTAATGCATGGTGTAACATTTCATTAGTATGCTTAACCATGGCAAAGTGATAACAAGCTAACATTCCGCAGCCTTATACACCTGTTGAACTCGAGAACATTAAGAATCTCATAAGACACATCTTGGATTTTTCCCATCTGCTCCGTGTGAGACTCACGAACATACACCATAGTTGGAGTACGCCTGAAAATAGACGAAATTTGTCTCAAAGAAACTCACAGAGCCTTGGGAAAAAAAGCACCTTTTCTCAGCTCACAGTTAAAGAGATATATAAAACGTGTATTAAAACATATAACCTTATTAATTGACATTTGTTCTTGCCAGATTGCTTGCATTTTCAAATTTTCTACTGGAAATGAAATGTATATGAGAATAACCTGTAAAAGAAGAATCCAAAATTCTTAGCGGCTGTAACTAAAGCAGCTTCATCTGGAGATGCAGCTTGATAGAAGATCTTCTCGGGGGACTCATCACCTTCAGGAAGGACTGTGTGGCATATGGCTAGGCATCTAAAAAATTCCTACAAAGATTACAATACAATATACTTAAGCTAGAGTCATGCGCATGCCCACTAATAAGAGATAATATGTAACCCTCTGTAAATGGACGTTTTTGGAAACAGAGACCGAAGTTCAGGTCTTGCTCCAAGCCAAATCACCAACTTAAAGGACCGTTTCAAGTTAACATCTTAAAATTATATCAACTCTCAATCAATGAAAGAAACTATCAGAAGGGATATGATCCACTGTCCTGGCCTCTGGTTCCAGGAGAAGGCAACTCAGGGTTAAAAAATGTTTTCCATAACATTAAATGAACAACACATGCATAAATGTTAGTAAATATTTCATCACTTCTTCCAGAAAACATGTACTCAAGCTTCTCACATGGAACGAAGAACTTTTGTTTTAAAACTAGCCAAATAACTAATCACCTAGCAATTACAATTCTTAAACAGATTGCGAGTCAAATCTAGGATATGAAAGAAACCTTGCAAAGTTCAGGATTAGGTTCGTTTCTCCAACCTCCTCGCATAAGCCTAGGATCATCGAAATTAAATCCCTTTTCTCTAACAGCACCAGTCGACCTTTGTTCCTGAGAAAATTATGGCGTAAAACATTAGGGTCGAATGTTCAACAGTGCGTGATACAACATTTCTCACATGAGAAGAAATTATACCTCTTGAATTTTTAAGCCATCACGCTGTGCAATTCCTCTTTCTATTTCAGTAATACCACATCCATAACTTATTCCTCCAATTGAACATTTAAAAAACTCCATCAAATTTCTTGTCAGAGTTCCGGTTTTATCAGAAAATATGTATTCCACCTGAAAGATGCCAATAAATAGTAATTGCAACTCTGAATGTCAGACACGAGAAACGAAAGCATATGCACATAACATTTATTAAAATTATTTAGCAACAATCCAAATGCTTGCAAAAACCGGTTATATCAAACACATTTGACAATTGGTGAGTGGATTAATAGTTTACCTGTCCAAGCTCCTCATTCAAATTCGAAGTCCTAGCGGAGGCAGGAGTATTTGTCTCAGCATGATACATGTGAAGATCTCGGTTGATAAACTGAGTTGACTGAATAAACTTGATCATCTGTGTTACATTTTGCACCAGAGGAAGCATTTAAAATACAATTTTTTGTACTGCAGATAAATGAAGAAATCTGAAAAGACATACCTCGATAGAAACATATAAGGAGATCGGTATAATTGTAGAGAAAAGAGTGACTAGAGTGAAAAAGGTGAAGAATGCTATCTGTGGCACCAAAAAGTACTATAAGCACCAGCAATACGTATATACAAGAAATCAATTCAACTATGCAAGGTTATTACCGTCATTCCGTTACGGTATTCCCAATCTTTCTTATGCAGACCCAAATAATCGTGGTCACGATCTGTCACAATTGCACTGCATGATTTAGCAGATTATTTTAAATCAACGCCAGGTCTATGAACCAAAAATACGGCGAAATATCAACATAGTTTTGGATAAACCACAAGATTGATTAGAATCTATACCAGCCTATAGATCCAATCAGGCACATTATGACAAGGGCACAGAAGATGGTAATAATGAGCTTGTCGAGCTTTTTTTCTAGCGTACTTCTTTTGGAGGGAGCATTCATGGCATTCATCATCACCTGCATACATTGCATTCACCATAAAGTAGATCGGATTGTATACATAGCAACTATACAAGGATGCAGAAACAAGAAAATATCATCCAAAAGAATAATCATAAATGCTTATGCACTAGTTTCTTTATCAAAGCTTCACAGCAACTGACCTTAGTCTCATGACCAGTAAAAATCACCGCCCCAACAATGTATTCTGTGTTCCTAAGACTGCATCCCTGAGAATTGGAATGCAGAAGATTTATATAACCCAAAAATATAAGGTCTTGCATAATGACATCCTGTAGACATAAGGCAGAAACGGAACACACAGCTAAAAGCAGAAACAGACGATCATACACGCAATAAAAGCTGATCTGGAGAGAGAGGTAACGTCTGCTTTTCTACTATAAGATTCCCAGTGAAAGTGTACAGGGAATTATTAGGTTGCTCGCACTGAATTTCACCTGCATGGTAAAAGAGAGAAACACTGGATAAAATTGATGAATACTGCTCAACAGTTAACAACGCCACTACACTAAAAAAGAATGGCCTTAGATAAATGGAGCCTTCAGGTCAAAGAGAATTACTTTTAGATGTATTCAGAAGCAAATGGATGAAAGACGATAGTACAAGCTCAGATTCAGCTAAGGAAATCTCCGCAAGATGATAATCAACTCCAAAGGCTAACCTTTAAATTCAGAAGCTTTCTCTGGTGTCAAGTAATCCCATGTCCTTTCAAGGCCCTTTCTGATCTTTAAATTTGTTTCTCCATCTAAGTTTGCAGTCTGCACTCACAAAGGGTGCGCACAACAACACTAATATTAAATTGTATACTCGATAATCTTAATAAGCTGCTTTTGTGCTAGACAGGTAAAAAAATAATATACAGAGCAAAAGGACCAAGCACCTCTACGTAGCAGATACCATCCGGATTTGTGCTGGACAGGAAAAGAAGATCAGCTGGAAAAAATCCATCCTTCTTTATCTGCAGTTATAACAAAGAATGTTTACCAAGCTTATAGATTTGGAGTTCCAAGATAACTACAAGTTCTGGAATCTTCCAAAAAGGCCGAGGTAACTAAATCTAGTATGATAACTATAATTCAGGCAATGTAAACAAATAAACAAGTGTGTCAACAGAGTCTTGAGTATTCAGAATAACCTTGTTCGATAACATAGTAATTCATCACCTCTGACAGAAAACGATACCTTGATAATGTCTCCGACCTGCAACTTCCGCCAGGGAATAGGTACCCATTGCTGATCTTGCAGGACATCCACTGTACTGTTATTTATGGACATATCATTTTGAAAGCGTTTCTGCAACAGATTATTTGCAGAAGGATTATGGGTCCTGAAAACTCTTACGCATTGACTAACTATTTTCCAATACGGATATTAACTGAAGAACTATATTTCATCACAAGGAGGAGAGATGACATATTTCTATAATGTTCGAACAAGAAGAACCGGAAGTCAGGCCCTCACCCAGTCTTCAAAAGCCTCTTTAATAAGAGAGACGAGGAGCACCATCGACAGAGGAGCCACATTTGTTATTGGATTTACAGGGCTGCAGAAAAAACAGTTATTATAGTTACACTTTACTGACTGTGAAACATAATAATAAGAAGAGGATCATAATCTTGGTAAAAGTAAACCAAATTTCCAGCCAATTACTCTGATATTAACATGACACTACACATCCGTTTTCCATACCATTGAGCTGTGACTAATAGATCGAAATTCACATCCTCATATAGTAAGATATAATTTGTATTTTTTTTTCAGGCACAGTGAACTGATTGCAGAAAATGGAGACAATGATGATATTCTAGTACAAGAAATCATGATAGTAACCTTGTCAAGGCATGCCAACTAATCAGCTAAAATAAAATAAAAAACGTGGCACAATCACAAAATGTAAAAATCGGCAAAGAATGATACTACAAACAATGGTTTCGGTTGCTTTATGGCCAAGTGTTAGCAGATTACCAAACAAGCATACGTCAGTAGCCAAAATTTAACAACTGTAATGGAGCTAAACGTACCTTATTGGTGTCATTGATAGACATGAGATTCCAAGAAAGTAGATATTTGCTATGCGCCTAAACTGTCAGAAAGCACGTTATTTCTCGGATCAGAATAAACAGCGTCAAAGATCTGAAAGAGATGCAATTCATTGATCGAAATATGTTGATTTTCATTTCCCATTCAAAACCTAAAGTCGCATTGCAAACACGCCAAATATATCACAACCTAGTTGAAAATCAATAATGTTTTTTTATTCGGTGATATAAGTCTAACCGATTAATCTCATGGGTTTAAACTAAAATGACGTAAGTGAACAATCCTTAGGTACTTTAGCTATAAAGCTGCACTAATCAACAAGAAAAAAAAAACACTTACTTGCTCAAACAGACCTTTGGGCAGAAAGGTTAAAACATTATACTTCGTTGTAGAAATTGAATTACCCTGCAACATTGTTACCCAACATTCATTAGGAAAAAAAGGATCACACATTATCAAGAAGCTCATAACTTCACTAATGCTTATTTATGTAACCACCGATTACGATTTACGAGGAGCAGAAATGAAAACCCAAGCGACTAATATTCCGGCGTACCTTGAACCGGACGGGGAAATTAGCATCACGATCATTGCAGTAGACGGTACGGAAACTCGGAGCCTGAGGCTGTATACGGCCCAGCGTCACCGTCCGAGACGGAGCCCGGAGGTGATTCGTTGACGAGTCAACGCTTAATCCTCCCGGCCTAACCATTCGGATCCAACAGGCCTCGACCTTAGAAAAATCGAAATTCAGCTTCACTGTTTCCCTCCATAATTAACCCTCTGTGTTATCCGATTAACCCGAGCGCGAGATCCGTACCGACGGTAGAAACAGAGATGACCATCTCCTTTTTCTTTTATTTTTCTTTTTTCTTCTTTCTCTTTTTCTCTTTTTTTCTTTTTTTTTTTCTTTTTTCTTTTTTCGAGGTTATTATTATTTCTCACTTCTCAGAAAGGCGATTCTTCCTCGCGCTTGAAATTTATCTACCGAAATTCTATTTCTCGTTATGTTTTCTTACAAAGAGAGAGAAATTATCGATCTGTGTCGAACCGAAGAAAAAGCCCACACGCTTGTGACGGGCCCACTTGCTTTGTACCCTCACATTTGATCCACAAATGGTACTACCTATAGAATAAATTGATCCTTACGTTGCTTTCTATCATCCAATTCATTTTGAGACCGTTTTCAACAAAAGCCTATAGCACATGTATTAATCATTGAAACTACCAATACATTTGAAAATCTTCCAGCAGAATGAGAAGAGTTGTTGTTTCGCTCACTGTATCGCGTCGGATTGAAGTACAGTTAAAAGAAAATTAACAGCGGTAAAAAAAAAGGTTTGTACTTTGTAACACTAGAACATTATTTTACAAGAGCTAATAAGGCTCGTGTTCATTTCTCATTTTTTTTACTCGCAGCTTTGGAGAACCAAACCATCCATAGAGAGATTACGACAGAACATAAACACACAGAAAAAAGCATGTGGAAACTAACATTACTAACATGTTCTGAGACAGCAGCAACAGAGGAAATGATCCTCTCCCTTTTACTTCATGTCTAAACTAGGAATCTAAAATCTCTTTGCTTTCCTTCACAACAATATATAAACCTTGTATATGTATATATAATTATAATTGTTCATCCGTATGCTTCTTTTCGTGGCTAACAAATTGGAGATGGGAGTTTGTCTAGTGAATCTTTTTACTAGCTTTCTTTCTTATTACTAAATTGAAGTGTTTCTGTATTCACGATCTTCTTTCGAAACCACCTCCTACCTGCATATGCAACCACTCCGGTGATGCTCCTCTGCTGTATTCCCTTGTAGCTTGTGAGCCGAACTGCATCCCCGGATTCTCAAACGGCTGCTGATCAAACTGATATTTACCAATATCAGTAAATTAGAAATCTGGGAGTAAATATTGCATAGTGAACTATGCTAGCTTTGTTAACATGTGGTATTGATGTTTGAAGATAATAGTCTCTTTGAGGTTGGCTAAATCAACTGCATTCATAGCTCTGTCGAGTTTCATTCATAGCTAACCTCTTTTGGCGGGAAAGCCTCGATTCCAGGGTTCATTCTTGAGTTGACCGCTTCGAGTTTCATCGATAGAAACTGAAAAATGGAAGCAGTCTTATACTCTTATGAGATGCACAAGACATAAACAGTCCAAACAAAAAAAAAAAGCTATACAATAATAACCAATAGACAGAAGGCTTGACCTCAACTTGACGCTGCAGCGATTGTATGTAATTGATTATCTCATCTAGAACAAGAGCTTTTCCGATTACCTGAGCATACAAAGATTTGGGTGTTAGCAGCACTATGCAACTGATTTGTACTTGTGACTACAAAGGTGAGAAAGAAGAAGAGAGAAACCATGATCGCTTGGTATACCTTGTTACAACCCGGTACAAGGTCTTGCAAGATTTTCATCCGCTCGCTTATTTTCTCTCTTCTCGCCTGCCAACCAAGAAAGCTCTGTTACCGACTCTGGTCTCTCGATATCAAGTCTTCTCAATTAGCTCAAAAGCTTTAAAAAAATAGTAGTAGTATTATGAGAAGAGTTGTAAGTACTCTTTCGGCAAGACTGTGACTATCTGTCGCCTGTCCCCTTCTTGCTCTCACGTGAATATAATCTTTTGGAGGTTCAGGCAACTGCTTCTTTTGATCCAATGTTCCTGTTTCGGCTTTCCCATCACACACTTCATCTTCGCATCCTGAAGTCTTTTGCTTTTTACTCTCACCATCATTCTGCTCCATCCACACAATTTTTTTTAAAAAAAATGAAGTACTAACATCAGAGATGAGTTCCATAGAAGAATTTGAAGACAATCAGTCTCAATTACATAAGATATTATCGGTCTGATCTAATACAATCCTAAGCAGAGTAATTGAGCTCTTGATTCTGTTTCTTCATATTCTGTCTCTTTTGTCTTCAAATTCTATCAACATGAAGAAACTCAGATAATGCTAATTAAGCATACCAAATGAACAATACACAGAAAAGGGTATATGAAATCCAATGAGATTGTATTAACAAAAACACCAAATTCATATCAACAGATCCGTCAGTTTCAGAAAGGGAAAAACTTTGATGCGGAAAAGCAAACCGTACCGCGTCATTGCCGTCGCTCCCGGAGACGACCTTCTCCTCCGCTGCGTCCCGTCGCTTCCTAGCACCAGATATACCGGCTGCGACCACCGCCTGTGAGAGCGCGTGGCTCATACGTGCCGGATCGCCACAGTTATTGGTGCTAATTAGAATCGAGTCTGCGAACTGGTGAACCAAGCTAGGTCCACCAAACGAGACACCACTCCTCATTGACGAATGAACAGTCGCGCCTCCGTTGATCGGAAACGGCCAGATCTCAGCCAGGTTATACGTCCCAGCCTCGTTCATCATCCCGCCGGGATCCATAACCCAAACTCGAAGCCGCCTTATCGCGTACTCGTATAAAAAACACTCCTCAGCGAGTTAACTCAGCTGCTACCGATTCCAGCAAGTAAGCTCCGAGAGAGAGAGAGAGAGAGAGAGAGAGAGAGAGAAACTGAGGTAACTTCTTGAGAATGCGATCTCTCCTTAGACAGTGGAGTCTGATGCGCACTGTGTTCCTCTTTCGCGATTTTCTTTTTCTATATAAGTCTTCTTTTTTCCCCACTTTTGTGTATTTTGTTTTTGTTTTTAGTTTTCTTTCACTTACTTTTTTTTTCTCTTTCCACCTCGGGAGTTGCAGGCAAGTCACTTCATAGCGAGGTTTTCTTTTGTGGGCACCACTTTAATTAATCCTGTGCGTCGCGACTGTACTAGACGCTCTCTTTTATCCACATGATCAAAATCTATCGGTAATGAGAGCTTCCACGTGTGCATTTCTTGGGCTGAAGACTTGGGTTGACCGGGATGGACTAAGGGGTCTCATCACTTAATTTAGTTTATCCATTTATCCGCTTTGATTATGTAATAACTCAGACAAAATTATACAAACATCATTAATTAGTTATGGTCGTCTGATAGACAACGATGGGCTGTGAATTTTAGTGGCTTTCAAGAAATGATCCTATATGGTAGAAAGAAAAAAACTAATATGAGATTGTATAGTTTCTTTACCTTTACTTCAAATTAAAGGATATGAAAATCAATGGATTTCATATTAGATTCATTTCAAACACTAATAAAATCAAAGGATGGTAGAACATTTCATATATGGGTATTACTTATTTTGGTGGTAGGCGCAAGAGATCAAATTTCACTATTTGTGATTTTTCAATTGTGACTTTCTTAAACAATTCTAATATCGATTAGTTGCGTGCTGGCTTAATGAAACAAGAATTTTACTAATTACCGAAGTCCTCTTTACATTACATGTAGAGATTAGACCAAGATGGTGATTTTTTCTTGTGGTAAAATGTCCTAATGTTATATACTATATATACAAGTACACGAATCCTTTAATTATGGTAATTAAACCCATGTCTACTAGTATAATATCTCGGCTTTCTATTACTTTAATTGTTTATTCAAAACCAAAAGTTTGTGTTTAGTTTGCTAAATCACTTAGCAGTGATTAGAAGCACTAACTATAAGACCTCGTGATCATATATATATAAAGCGCCTAACGTTACGAAATTAGATACAACCACACGCAATAGTAAAGCACACACAAAAAAAGAAAAGAATAGTGATGACAAAGGCTTTATGGTTGAGAAAGACTTGTAGAATAGGAATAGCACTTTGTGCCAAACACTTCACTCTCTTGTTACCATTTTTGATGTCTAACGACTAATGCTCGTTAGGCACCTCACTCTCACCTTTAAAGCTTTCTGTTTCCCTTTCCTCTTTCTCATGATAGATAGAGGCTCAATCATTTTCTGACACGTGTATCCGTTATATTCCCGACAACTAATGCGAGCAAGCACCACGGAATCCTCGACGTACCATGTTCCGCCTAACTCTCTTTTTTTCTCGTACGTTAAAGGAAAAACGAAAATGTGACGGAAGTTATATACGTACATAGTATATATATACATATGTACATATATATCATCGGTATTTATAAGTGCCCTACTACGATTATGATGTTTGCTGTGTGTTGAAACGATTTGGATTTTAAGAAGGGGGATTTGGGACGGTTATGAGTGATTATGTTATTTATATTAATAAGGATGATGTTTTGTTTTTATTTAAATATGTAGATTGCTTTTAACAAAACTCAAATACGTAGAGGAAAATTAGGCACGTGGAAAATACGTTACTTATCGTGAGAATAGTCTCTTAAATGTCAACGTCACGATTCACGAGTAGTACTAGAAGAAACAAACACAAATACTCCGCGTGCTTAATTTCTGCGAAAGGTGGTGTTCTCATTCCCGCATTTAGCACACAAAGATTCTTTACTATAGTTCTTTTTGTTTTTGTTATAGGTTATTTGGTTAGTTTAGTTACGTAATGCATGTAGTAAATTCAACAATATCTTGAAATAATAGGGAAAGGTATTCGATAAAAGCTAAGAACAAGAAACTATTCAAAGAGATAATCGAATCTGTTTATTCCTATATACAAACATGAACATGTGTGTGATCATTTGAGATCTGACAATGCAACCTTTGAAATTTCCTATAAACTTTTTTTCACTAAATGTATCAACTCGAGTCCAATTAACCAACAAAATGTTTTCAAATTGCAAGGAATATTCAAAAATATTCACACACAAGCCAGAGCAAGAACTAGTCTGGAAGATTTCCCCCCTTCTGATTACTAAGAGGAGAGGTCCACATTGTAGAGTACAGTATTTTTAAATTAGGAAACGTTAATATATATCGTGTTGAAAAATATCCATAAAACAGTGTATTTAAAACACGTGCCTCTCTGTTTATTATTTTGTTTAATTTAAAGGTTATTATAAATTTTATAAAATAGAATTTTTATCATAACTAAATCATTTTTTTGTAGTGTTGTTATAACTTATATATTTAAAAATTAAAATTACCGTAATTGACACATGGTAATTTCAACAAATACAATTTTTAACTTTACTACAAATTGTCATCTTAATATATTTTGTCAAATGTTTAATGGTGAAACTACTAGAAGTGAAAAGTTAACTTTGAATTACAGTGGTTAGAAATTTAGAATGGATGATAAATCTAAACAGTTTCATTTCATCATTAAAAAAGGATAATCGTTAACCCTACTAACCACAAACATTTCGCAGCATCAATATTAAAAAGACTTAAAGCCCATTATGGATTTAGCCCATATAGAACAAAGTCGTCTCTCTGACAAACTACATATACTACTGGTTTTGAGAATCCCGACGACCTAATCTTCTTCTTGACATTTTCTCGAGAATCAAAAAACAGATTTTCTGGCGGTCAAAATTCAAAATCCCAAAATGGAGCTGCTCAAGCTGTCAAAATTCAAATTGCAGCTTCAGTCAATGATCGGAGAAGTGCGAGATCTGCGTGTAAGAAGAAAGAGGTTTATACATCTATGGATTGAGTAGTTTTTTGGCTCCCCAGTTTCTCTCTTCTTCTTCCACTTTACTACCGGCGATTTTGCAGGAAAGGGAGCGATCAGTCACAGATCACATTAATATCGTCAATCAGGTTCTTCAATCATTGTTACTGTACATGGCCCTTATTTTTTTGTTGCGTTTCTGAGTCGTGAATCGTGATCATGGCGATTGGTGCTTCGATACAGAAACAGAAGCAAACGGAGGAGGAATACAGCAGAAAAGTGCAGGAGTTACAAGCTGAGCTAGCTTCTTCTATAGAAACACAGGAGGCTCTAGAGAGGAAGGTTTGGGAGATTCTTTCGTTCTGCGAATCTATCTATTACAATAAGATATAAGGGAGTTTGTGATAGTTTAATTGATTTGCAGGTGAGTTACATCCAGAACGACTATAGTTTGCTGGAAAACAAGCAGAACGAATTGAAGACTACTATCCAAAACCTGCTTCAATCACGAGAAAGTTTCTTAAACTCTTACCAGGTGCTTGTCTCATAGACTCATACTACATCTGGGTAATAGAAGTAGCATAGAGAATCATCTCCCTGATGGGTGAACTGTTGAATGTTTGGCTCTAGGATTCGTGTAACTTCAATTAGTGAAGTTTTGGTGTGTTTGCAGGAGTCGTTTTGTGAAATGAAATGTTCAATTGAAGCCAGGGATAGGAAGATTGGCATCTTACACCAGAAGATCTCCTCTCATTTAGCATTGTTCGATTCGATTGAGAAAGAGGCATCGGTAATTAAAAAGGTCATACACGAAGTACAGGGCCTTGTGGACCAAAAAGAAGATGTAGGCATGTAGATCCCTGATCTCTTGCTAATTTTGCTAAAGGATTTGCTTCCAGAATCCTAATGCATTCACGGCTTCCCGCAAGGCACTGATCATGTTTTGCTTTTTCTTTGTATGATCCAGTGGCTGGCTTGAAAGAGAAAATGGACCATGTCTCCACATATGAAAAATTATTTATCGGTGAGTTTGTTATCATACAATTTTCCCTGATGCCATCCTTATTCTTGATAGGCTAATACCCTTGTGGTGTCTTGTTTAAAAGGGTGTTAAGATGAATATTACTCTTGAAATTTCCACTTTATTGTATTGATGGATCCTGTAGAAGTGTGTATGATGCGTGTTAATTTTTCTTTGCCTTTCTTTTCTCCACTAAGAAGTAAGAAGCTTTGCATTTAAGATATGTCATCTTAGTTTACTTGGCAAGTGACTCAAATTCTGTATGCTTACCCTTATGACGACGATGATTTCTTAACTTCTTTACTTATGCAGAGAAAATCAGCACTTTAGAAGAGAAAATAGAATATCAGGAAGCAGAATTGCAGAGCAAGGAGAATAAAATATCAGAGCTTTCCGCTCAGCTGGAAGCAACAAAGATTAAAAGCGAATATAAACTTCAAATCGAAGAGATATCCATAACAGAATTGTCAATTTGTACTGCAATGGAAGTAGTTCGAGATCTTTCCTCATAAAGAATTTGCCATACTTTTGTTTACTTGACCAGCCTTACTTTCAGAAAACTTTGAAGGTCAAAGATTTAGTTGTAGAGAACTTGATTGCCGAGAAAGAGGTAGGAAACGAGAACTTTATTACTTTCCAGCCATACTTTTGTTTGATTCTCTCTGCGTTCTCAAGCAGTCACTAAATAGTGTTTCCCAATGTTTAGGCATTGCATTCTGAAGTGAGGAGCTTAGAGATGATTTTACTGCGGATTCAGGAATCTGTCACCCTTATGACCAAAGAGGTGAGAGATAAATTCAAAATATCCTTTTTCTAACATTCCATCCTCGAACTTCAAATTCAAATAAAATTATTGTTAACTTTGAGTCTTCTTTCATCCTCTTGATATACAGGACAGAAGGGTGTTCACATCAATACTGACATTCGAACAAGATGCCGATGAAAGAAACAAAAATTCCAGGTATGCAAAATTTGTTTGTTTGTCTCCGTACTAGCTTAAGGGTGGATAGGTTGCATCAGCATTTTTTCCTAATGAACATGACATGATATAGTGAATCTTTACTCTATATGTTTCTACTTTAGGATGACCTCAGAGACGTCTCAATTTGAATAGAAAATAGTCCCATACCAATGCTTATCTCTCTGTGATTGGCTAACTAGGTACAATGATACAGTTGACAAAATGGAGGAACTTGCATGTGAAGCTCCTATTATGGGTTCCCAAGAAAATTCAGGTCTGGTCTCTTCTTTGTTGCCTTGTTATTTCCTTTGCTTATAATAAAATATTACCCGTAGGCTGTAGCAGAAATCCAGAAACAAAAACCATAACTTCTTCAACGACATCTTTCAGTGTTTGTCTATGTAAATAACTTTGTATCAGGGATTTTCTTGTAGTAGAATGGTATCTAGCTGACTTGCTGCATAGATAGAAGAAAAATTACGTTGATTAATTAGAACTTGACACTAACCACATTTTCGATTAGTTCCTTTTGCAGTAAACGTGATTTCATCAATGTCTCCACGGTGTCATCACCAAAACACAGAGTGCAGTTCTATGCAGGACGATTGTCATCAACTGGATTCGGCTCAGTATCTGCATCTTAAAACTGTCAGTGACCACTTTGAGACCAAGGCAAGTGAAACCGCTTTTCTTTTTTGTTTCTTGCTTACAATCGCTGATAGAAGAGAAACGCAAAAATGAAAATACTATCCCCAGGTTCTATGCCATTTCATTCCCTAGAATCAACTTCCTCACAACATGAGTCATCAGCAAGTGTACTATGTAGTTTCCCCAAGCGATCTTAGATTTTTGAAGTACCTTTTGCACTCGGATTCCTATGAAAATCCTTATTCATTTTTTTACGGACGAAGTAATTCCATACTTTAAACCATAAGTGTATGTAAATTATGTAATCGTCAGTGTTTTGCAGGACAAGTGCTGCGAGTTGCCTGATTAAAGTGTCTAACCACGATGCTTCAGTGTTTGCAGAGTTGAAGAACCGAAGAAATTGGTTCAATAAACTTCATCGTCGATGCCTTTTTGGCTTTTGCTTGTTTATGTTCATAATTGTGTTCGTCTCAACTAGTAGTTATGAAAACTCCATTATAACTCGCAAGCTTTTCATAATAATTTCGGTAATTTTTTAAGAATTAATGTATGCTAAGTTCTTTCATTTTATATTATGAATCATCTCATTTCGGAACGTTAGATATGTATAGATAATACAAATTTGAGTGGTTATGAATCCAATTTATTAAATGTTTATAGGTAGCATACGGAGAAAAATCTAAGCTTTTAATATCATCTCTATAGTCGGTTGATTGTTACTTTTTTATCTTTACTTTAGTGGATTAGGGTTTGCAATTGTTCAGCTATTTCTAGAAGATAGAAATGAAAAACGTACTTTAAATTTCGAGAATCGTAAAGTTATAGAAACTGCTAAGGATTATGTCAACAAAATAGATATGTAATTATATTAACATTACGAAACCCTTTATTTAAAAAAATTATATTAACATTATTACCATGTAGTTAGATTATTTGTTAAATGAGTAACACAACCTTTTATTCTAGGAAGCCTCATTCTCGTTAATATGTTTAGTTAAAGTCATTTTTTCAAAACTTGTGCAAAATTTTGGTTAAAAAAGAATTTAAAAAATACATAATTCTATGCTATTAAATCTTGATGCCGATTATGTTAAAAAAGTTTTTGAGTTATCTTAGTGAAATGATCAATTATGTATCTTATTGTTATGACAATTATTATGAATAAACACTATTAAAAAAATAATATATACCAGGCGTGAACATGTTGGCTGGTGAATTAACGAGTTTTTTCCCAAAAATTATTATGAATAAACACTATCAAAGAAGTTTGTGATTGTTATCATGTCCTCTAGAACAAAGTTCAATAGATGTGAAGTTGTTGCATTAGTTTGCGACGATGACATTACTATAGTGAAAATTAATCTTGGTGATGCTAATTTGACTAGCCTATTAGTTCAACTGGATTTATCAGGTCAAGTTCCTCAAGGTGATAGAGTATTTTCAATTGGTTCACCTTGTGGTTATCTTCAGTCATAAACTTGCCTGATTAACAGTAGATAATACTAATAGTTATTCCAAATTGAAAAATAAGTCAACATAAAAAAAATTATTTTAGTTTTTAATACTAAGATATAAGGAATCAGTCACTTGCTTCATCGATATCTTATATCTTGGTGCCAATCGTCTGGAATGCAAACAATATACTGAGAGGAAAGCTATAGTTTATAAAAGTAATTGAAACTTCGATTATTTGGCAACAGATATTTTGGAATAGAATTTTCTGATATATTTCTTCTTATATATAGAGGGAAGCTTGGACCGGTACATAATCTTTGGCTGGCATATGATGAATATAACATAATATCTATCGTATATTTTTCTGGTTGAAATGTTATCATCTACTATATAAATCAACAAACTCACGTATCAGTTAGTTATCATATTATTAATTTATTAACTTTATATTAAATTTGGTATATATTTTTTTTTTACTAATTATTTTGATATATGGTGGGCCGGTTATACGTATGTATAAATTTGTGACATTTGACAATCACTAAGCAAGAGAAAGCTCTTCGCAATGGCCCCTCGTCTCTATAATGCTTGAGACTGACACATTGTCGTATCGCATCATTATTTGCTCGTGACTTGTTCATTATAGCAAAATGTATTTTAATGTAGACTGGCATTTATGTCACAATAACACATCATACGATAAAATGCGTAACGCCAATAATAATGTTATGTAATTAGAAAAAAAAACAATTTCTTGAGTAAACATATAAATCAAGACAATAGAGTCTTCTCTACGGATTATAATTTTGATCAATTATTGATTTATATATTTTGTTGTTTCTTTGTAAATAGTCCAAAGGATTGTGGAAGTCTGCGAGGCGTGTGTGGAACATGAAAGCGTCAGTTCTGAACAAATCGAAACGACAACGAGATTCTGCCAACAAACAACAACCACACGTGTGCTGTTCTTCATCATATTCATTACTACTGTTACTTTTTTTTGTTTTTATTACCACAACACAACAAATCCAATTTACTGTTGAATAAAGCGGAATATATTTGATAAAAAGGTATATATAAAAAAAAGTATATGTTTCTGTCGACATAGGAAATGTGTTTCTTTCATTGCTTAATGGACATACCGTGTGTGTTTCTATAGATTACATGCCATTTGTAATTGTATGGTCGTTATATACGGCGGAAACTGGAAAGTATGAAAACTTACAAATTATATTCGTAGTTGTGCCATCTGTTCTTCATATATTGGAGAAAAAAATGAAAGAAAAAAAGAAGTGAGATGTAGATGATGGAGTGAGGGTCCATGAAGATGAGATTGTAACTTGTAAGATTGTCAGAGTCAAATGAAGTGAGGTGGACCAACTTTCTTTTTTCTTTTGTAAATTTTCTGTCATTCTACCCCGAAATTCAAACTTTTATTATATAACCCAAAATTTTTGTTCTCTCTCTCTCTCTCTTCATATATGTGTTCAAAACAAATTGTTTGTAAGTTTCTTCTCAAAAATTTCAATTTTGGATTTAGAAACAATTTGAAGATAGGTTATCAATAAGAACTATATGAAGAGAGGTGTTAACATTATTTATGCTTTCTAATCAAATATCGCGTATACCTAATTAATTGTGTTATACCATATGTTGAAAGAAAAAAACATACACAAACAAAGTCATGATTATTGTTGTACCTGACGATAATAATGAATTTATAACGTGTTCAGATTTGGAGTGTATATATAACAGAGTTTTACAAATTATTAGAAAGTATGCAATATGCCACGTTTTTCTTCTTCTCAATGCCATGCAATGTTTTTTTTTTCTATGTGTTTAGAAATCGGTATGAAAAAATAATCAAAATTTCTTATCAATATATGTATAATTAACACCTTATTATTGTTATACCATTCGGCATACGATAGAACAATTTAAATTTTATTTGCAAGTTCTTATTAACAACATGAAACCGCATCATTTTATAGTTTTTTCTATATTATTTACTAAAAACATATCTCTTACTAACTTTTTGATTTCTTTGTCAACACTACTACGATCAGTTTTGGAGAACTGAAATATACAATACACAACCATAAGTATAAAATTGTTTTTTTTTTTTTTGCCAATGCAGATTATTATAAGGAAACAAAAATTAAGAAAGTAATCTTTTATAAATGCCAGAAAGCCTTTAAAAAAAAAAAAAAGTAATATTTTATTTTCTGCAAATCTCTTAATACAGTATATGGTTTACAAAAATAGCACGACGCGCCCCACCATCCGCGTCGACCCAGTCGCTAGCACTCCACCATTTAAAAATTGCCACGCAACGTAGCTCAGTGATGCCCCACACTCTCTCTTGCATGGCTAATTTGTTTTGCTAAGTTATGAGTATGATTGTCACATCAAAACCTAACTTATTAGTTGTTACTTATTACCATTTTTTTTCTCTTGAGGCATAATTTTTTAAAAATAAATAATTGGTCAGATTTCAACAAGTGACAGATTTTATTTTACTAATTGGTAAGATAGATTTTATTTCCTTCCAACAAGATTTATTTTCTAATTGTAGTGATTTAAAATTTGCCATAGATCTCATAAATAGTAAAACTTTGGTCAATAAATAAATAAATCACAGTCCATCGAACTAAAATCAACACGTTTTACCTTTGAAATGACATATTTACTTTTCTTACTGCAACGTCTCACTATTTTTTTTGTTCTTCACCCCAATTGTTAAAAAAATAGACCAAATTCGCGTAGCATTAATAGCAAAAAGCCAGTAGTATTAATAACAACCCAATAAATAGACGATCAAGCTCCATATGATGATGATTAGTGAAATTTAACAAGGTTGTGGTCAGACCAGTCCTACCGACTAAATCAGATCCGGTTTAAAAGTCGGTTTATTTCAATGGTTGAAATTAAACGCGAAAAAAATAGACATTTAGAATTGCTTGGAAGATGCCATTAACGCACCGAAGAGATAACTCTTTTAACTACTTCTCCTTTGATATTTTTCCAATTTTATTGACTTTCCGAATCTCCCAAAAATCTAACAAAAGAAAGATTATATTTTTTACCAATTTTTTTATTGTCTGCTTAATACCTCTGTTTTTGTTTGTTCTTCGCAAGGAAAAAAAAAACCTTTCCTTCACCAAATAATTTGTCCCTTTCTCAAATCTCCATCTACCAAGTGCCTTTCTCCCTCTCAATTTGTGGGTTTTTCATTTATAGTGGATTCGAAGATGACAGATTCTATTAGAAGAAATTGATCAGAGAGAGAGAGAAACGTATCTCTTTCGATAAATTCTGGGTTTTTTTTCCCTCTCTCTCTCTTCAGAAATCTCGGTGATCGTCTATGGAAGATTGCAGCTAATTTTCAGATAGAGAAAGAGAGAGATGGGAGGTTGCGTGTCGACGCCGAAGAGCTGTGTGGGAGCGAAGCTGAGGTCAAGTAAGCGAAGGAAGAGTCGTAAGAGACGAAAGATTCAAAGGAAGAGAGCCGCCTCTTCTCGTTTCTCTGACGGATCTCTCGACAATCTCGATCATCCTCGTAACTTCCCCAATCCCAGTTTCAGAGGTCTCTATTCTTCGATTCTTAGCTCTGTTTCCTTTGGGTTTCTGGGTTTTTATTTTTCATTCTCCCCTGCATTCGATTGAGTTGCTCGAATTTCGATCCTGATTTTCCTTTCGTTTGAATATCGTAAAGGTTTAGTTTTTCTTTTTGGTGTTGCGATTGGATTATTGGGTTTCATTAATTGCAAAATTTAGTATCTGAATCTTTCAGATTAGATTCTGATTATAGATTGCTTAAAAGCTGATAACTGTTGATTTTAAAACACTTCACTGTTTGATATTAAAATAATTGTTTATTGATCAAACTGTGAAGCTTTTCTATCTTATCTCTCTAATGACGCCTTTTTAAAAAAATCTTTGGTAGCTAATCAAACTATCACAATGTGATCTTATAATTTGATTGGTGTTAAAGAGAAGTAACGTGTTACCTGATCCTATGTTTCTGCAACAGCAAATGGAGAAGAATCATGGTTTGAGTCCAATGCCGCATTTGAAACAGATGGTGATGATGATTTCCACAGTGTCAATGGAGGTAGATATATATATTTTTTTTTTTACTACATTCATTCTCTAAGAAGAGCTATGCATGTCCTCTTTATATATGGATCTTCATTTCTCTGTTTTTTTTTCCCTGTTTTTCAGATGCGTTGTCTTTAAACGGAGGTGAGCGTGAATCAGTCTCGAGTACTACGACCGGATCATCAACACGAGACTCAGACTCAAACTCAAACGACGTGATGTCACAGTCGAAATCAGACGGTGACTTAAACGACGCAGAGCAGCCTGATTTAATAGACTCATCTGCAGATGAAGGGAACTTGGAAAACTGCAGGATCTTACCGAGTAATTGTTTGCCTTGTCTGAATCCAATAACTGTTGTTCCTTCTGTTGAAAAAAGAAGGTCTCTTAGCTCTAGCCCTCCCAGTTCGAGGAAAAAAGCGTCTCTTAGGCTATCTTATAAATGGAGAGAAGGTCATGCTTCAGGGGCCTTGTGTAAGTTTATTATCTCTCTCGTAATTGGATTAGTGGGTTTGATCTCATATCAAAGAACTCACACCTTGTCTCGAAAATTGTTTCAGTTTCTTCTAAATTGCTGTTGAAGAGACCAGTAGCGGGTTCTCAGGTTCCTTTCTGTCCAGTCGACAAGAAAATGCTGGATTGTTGGTCAACCATCGAACCAAATAGCTTTCGTGTCCGTGGCAAAAGTTATTTCAGGTAAACCATTGTAGTGACCATACTAATTTCACTTATGATTACTACTAATTCAACCATCTTACCTAACAAGAAGCTATATTTTTGCTTTTGGTGAAGGGAGAAGAAGAAAGAGTTTGCACCTAGCCATGCTGCATATAATCCTTTTGGTGTCGATGTTTTCTTATCGGAACATAAAATACACCATGTCGCACAATATGTCAAACTTCCCGTCACTACAACATCCACAAAACTCCCATCCATCCTTGTTGTGAATGTTCAGGTACGTTCTAGTTCTGCTGATATTCGTTTTATTGGCCTTCTTTATGGAATTTCCCGTGATTGTTTCTCTTGCTTTACGGTTGTGGAACAGATTCCCTTGTATCCAACTGCAATCTTCCAAGGTGAATCTGATGGAGAAGGAATGAATATAATTTTATACTTCAAACTTTCGGATAATTATTCAGAGGAACTTCCGCTTCATTTTCAAGAAAGCATTCAGGTAACTGAAAGCTCGATTCGGTTGGTTTCATCTTCTTCATGGCGCTGTAAATGCTCTTTGTATTAAAACCCGTGTTGTTTTCTCTCTGTTTTTTTTTGGACTGCGCAGAGATTAATAGATGATGAGGTTGAGAAAGTTAAAGGCTTTCCAATGGATACAACAGCGCCTTTTAGAGAAAGGCTTAAGATACTGGGACGTGTTGCGAACGTAGATGATCTCCATTTGAGTGCTCCAGAGAAGAAGCTGATGCAGGCTTACAACGAGAAACCTGTTCTTTCGCGTCCCCAGCACGAATTCTACTCGGTGAGACCAAACTCTTTAATAACTTTTTTTTCTTTTCCTTTCAGGAATATGCTTAGTAACTAACGAACTTTGGAATTTTTACTCTCTGTAGGGTGAAAATTACCTTGAGATCGATATCGATATGCATAGATTTGGTTATATATCCCGGAAAGGCTTTGAAGCATTCATAGACAGACTCAAGATCTGTGTTCTTGATGTTGGCCTCACAATTCAGGTAGGTTTTTGTTACAAGCAAAGTTTTTTTTAAGGATCATATGAGATTTTATCGCTTATGTTGAGGAGTTGTATGTATGAACAGGGGAACAAACCGGAGGAGCTACCGGAGCAGATTCTGTGTTGCGTCAGGCTAAATGGGATTGATTTTATGAACTATCATCAATTAACTCAAGAAATCCTATGACTAACACCATTTTTTCTCCTCCTTTGTTTTCCTTCAAAAAGAACACACAAATCTAAAAGCATCCCTTCAGAACCCAGGAATACATAAAAGGGTGATGATTTTCAAGTGAATATATAAAAATTTGAACCCCAAAGTATTATCTTCTACTTGAATGTGAGTCTGTATTTTATATTTCTACCTTTGAGAATCGATTGCAAGTTGCAACGGCAGTTAAAGATCACTGTATTCACTCGTAAAACAAAAAAAAAGAATGCTCTTTTAGATCATAGATAACATTTTAATGTTTGACCAAAAAAAGAAAAAAAAAAGATAACATTTTTAATTTGCTTTGTTCATATTGAGAAAATAAATTAGGGGAAGATGCAGGTTTTGCAAATGTTTCTTCATAAGTAATTTGGTCATATGCATTTTGTTCATGTTAGTGGAGAGAGAATTCTAGAAATATGGTAAGACTTACCATATGGCGAAGAAGGCTTGGAAGAATTTGGACAGCTTTATCAACGAGTTTTGTCAAAATGGAACACGATGATGTAATAAACTCACCCAACTTTATCAAAGCTTTTTTGTGTAGTGTATTTATCAAAGAGGATTTATGTATTTATCAATCATTTTGCCATATAAAGACACAATGTAAGAGGACAGCTTTTTGGGTCAAGTTTTTCTTGAATAAGTGTGATGCAATCATTGATTTTTAATGTCCAAAAACTTGAGAGACCATACTTGTGTTCCTATTTAGAAGTTGAGGTTTTGTTGTTTGTTACAAAAATTTAATCAAACTTATAAAAAATAAAATCCAAAATATTTAACTCTTAGATCAATAGTTTTATTCATAGACCAATACAGTTTTATTCATAGAAACATATTTAGACAATCCATTTATATCATATTTATAATATTTATATCATATTTATTAAAGTCACTATCTAACTCTAATTCCATTTATCTTCTATTGTTATTCTGCATCATTTCTTTTTTGGTTTTTTTAATAAAGGGCCTAAAGTAAGAGTTGTACTCCGACTTGAACTGCTAGCTTCGCCTTGATCTGTCTGATCTATCTCTTTTGCATCCAATGATGGTCTATTATCATAATTTGAAATCTTGAGTACACATTTTAGCACTTATAAGATATTTAGTATATTATATAGCTACATCACAATAACCTGTTTTGTATAAAACTTTTATGATATGGTGATAGCAATTAACATATATATAATTTAGAGTCAAATTTTAACATATTATTCTTTTAGTTATGATATACATAAAATTTATTTAAAACATCAGTATTCATAAAAACATTAGTTCAACAGATATATTAAGAAAATAATTGATTAATGAGAATTAATTTAGGAAAAAAAAAGAAAACGTACTCTACCGATAAAATGAATTTGGTACTGTCCCAATATAATTTAATGAGATCATTATTTTTGAGACCTTTTTCATTTCTTATTTTTGTCCAGCCGTTTCTGAGATAATACCTGTCATGAATCTCACAAAGGGTAACATCATATGAATTATTACCATCCTTAATTTTGATTCGAATACCTTCTGTAGGCATTGTTGTTTTCATTTTTTGTAATATGTTTTCGATTATCACTTTTGGTAAATACAACATACCATTTCTAGAAAGATCAGAATTATTTAACCTTTTTACTATCAATATATTTTGATCCATTATTCTAATTTTTTTTAATAATTTTACGAATGTAATTGAAAAATGCTTTAATAAAATAAAATATCCGAGGAGTTTGAAAAACCCAACCCATATATTTATATATAGTTATCACCCAAAATTATGTTTCTTATATTCTCTATTTATATTAATAATATTAATGCTCTTAACAAAAAAATTCTAAATTTAGTTACTTGCAAGGATATGTTTTCTAAGTTGGCATATGTTATTTTTCTAAACTTACAATTTTATAAATTTAATTAATTAATTAATTAATATTATTTATTGTGTTCAATTGTATTTATACCAACCTTGATTTTTTTTGTTATTAAAAAAGATCTTCCTACATACATAGAAGGTAAATTTAATACAATAGCAAAAAAGGTAAAATCTATTAATATCATAAGAAATCATTTCCAAATACTCTAGAACTGAGTATTTGATACTCATGTTTTTGATATATATATATATATATAAATTTAATAACGACTATAGTTGTTTTCAACATTTCTTTTTGAATTGTAAAACACAATTAATAACAAAAAATCTAGTTGTTAATATACAGTGTGATTTTTATAATTATTTGTTATTAAAATTAGAAATCACAACAAATTTTGTTTCTTCGTACAGTAAGTATATTAATACTATCAAAACTCAAAAGTATATTAATCACTATAATTGCAATAGTCTTCTTATCATAATAATGAATTGATTTTATTAAGAGTTTATTGGCATATGATCATTAATGGACATAAACTAACCAAATGGCCCATTAATTTTCTTATTAATTTAAGAAAATAGTCTTACATGTTTTTTTCTTCAAAAAATCATTTGGATAATGTGTAGATTTCTTTTGTTTGTTTATGCAACACATAATTTGAAGATAAAATATGATTCTATTTTCAAATAAGTTAATTTTATAGAGTATTTTTTTCTTCTAAAATTTTACCCTTGCTACATCTGTGTACGTTAAGCTAATTACAATTTATTAAGTTAATATTTTTATTAACATACTTTTTACTCATTTTCTTTTAAAATTGATACCCAAACATATAATCTAAATCTATTGTAATAGCTAGAAACTTAATTTCTACTAACATTATCAAACATTGTCTTTCAAAACACTCTAGAAATTGTGCAGATATATATATATATAATTATTTAATTTCTTACAGTAACTCCAATTCATTTAAGTATTAATTAAATATTACAGTAATCCAATAACAATAACATGAATTTTACTAATAAATATATAAAGATATTATTTTATATGTAACCCTTTACATTTAGGACGTAAGAAAAATGAAAACTTAATTATAAGTTGACCTGGTCATATATTTTGTAATTACTAACTTATAACTCGACTATGATATATATAGTTTTGTACTTTGTGCTTATAGTGCTATTATTGTGTCATAATCTGAGTGCACAGCTCTTAGAATATAATTAGAATAGAATGGTATCTTTATCAAAATGATAGAAAAAATATTGTTAAAAAAACTATAGTCATTAACGAATAAGGTTCCAACTTCAAATTTTATAGAAGAGTAAACATTGAGAATAACTGTATAATTAAGAAGAAGTGAAAAAAATAATGGATTTGACAACCTTGTGGGGAGATTGAAGAAATCTTAATGAAAATTTGCTTAAACTAGCTTCTTCTTCATTCAACTACATTCATCGAGAAGTGAACATGTAGAGTCGTGATCTCTCCTTCGTAGCGCATGTTTATGTACACCTTTTGCTCTCGCGTCGCGTTCAATATATTAACAACGCAAAAAGAAAAATAAATCATTAGTAATAAATTAATAATATAAATGCATTTATCGTAATTCAGCAATTAAGAGTCGCAAGCAGGTAGAGAAGTCCTCCCATACCAACAAAATAACACACAAAGGCCGATCTTTGGGCTGTCGTCGCTCTGGCAAGTTGCAACTGTCTTGCTTTTCGATTCCGGCGAGATTGCTCCGTCGGGTTTTCAGATCGAGCTCTTCGTTTTCAGGTTCCAATTCTCCCCTAATCCTTTTTGCCCCACGCCGAACCTATTCGTTTCTCTCCCTTGTCGGGCTATTTCACGCCTGAAACCTAATTTATATTTGTGAGGCATATTGGTCTGATCGAAGAACGAGTGACCTTGTTCGTCTTCTTACGTCGAATTCAAAGCTACCCTTTATATTGCTGTATTGCTTCTTCCTTGCTCAAGTTTCATTTCCCGATTAGTCGATAACTCTCTGTTTCGTTTCGCATAGTCGATTTCTGGGTTGCTGATTTTCTTCTATTTTTCTTCTACAAGCTATAATTTACTTTGGCTGGGCCCTGCGTTGTGAAACTACAAGAGGAAGATGTTTGGCTCATCTAATCGTATGTGATCCTATCTTATACCACATGTTGGTTTCAGTAGCATTCTATTTCTTTGAAAAGAAAAAACTGACCTTGTGATGTATTGTTCTAATAGCTTTCGGACAGTCATCGACTAGCAGCCCATTTGGGTCGCAATCTTTGTTCGGTCAGACAAGCAATTCAAGTAGTAATAATCCCTTTGCCCCAGCAACACCCTTTGGCACCTCTACACCTTTTGCTGCACAGACAGGGAGTTCGATATTTGGAGGCAATTCAACTGGTGTGTTTGGTGCACCTCAAGCCTCCTCTCCATTCGCCTCCACCACAACTTTTGGAGCTTCTTCATCTCCAGCATTTGGGAATTCCACTCCGGCCTTTGGAGCATCTCCAGCTTCTTCACCTTTTGGTGGTAAGTACCTTATAATATGTTCCACTGCACATTATTCCAAGTTTTGTGGTTTGTTAAATGTTTTTCACTACCGTATTTACTTTTTTTTGTTGGATTCTCTTTCTGCTGGTTTTTCTTGGCACTAGCTCCTGGTTTCCTTGTTGTTTTCCTTTCTTTAGTTCAGTTTCTCGTTAGTCCCTACGCTAAATTGTTTCTTCTTCTTTCAGGGTCTTCTGCTTTTGGGCAGAAACCTTTGGGATTTTCAACGCCTCAGTCGAATCCTTTTGGTAGCACAGCGCAGCAATCGCAACCTGCATTTGGAAACAGCACTTTTGGTTCATCTACACCTTTTGGTGCCACGAGCACACCTGCCTTCGGTGCATCAAGCACGCCTTCCTTCGGTGCTACAAGCACACCCTCGTTTGGTGCATCAAGCACGCCTGCCTTTGGTGCCACAAGCACGCCTGCCTTCGGCGCCTCAAACCAGCCTTCCTTTGGCGTCGCAAGCACACCTGCATTTGGCACGTCACCGACTCCAGCCTTTGGCAACACTGGCACCACGTTTGGCAACACTGGCTTTGGTTCTGGAGGTGCTTTTGGAGCTTCAAGCACCCCTGCTTTTGGTTCATCAGGTACTCCTGCCTTTGGGGCATCAAGTACTCCTGCCTTTGGGGCATCCACTACTCCTACTTTTGGTGCATCGAATACCTCCTCCTTCAGTTTTGGCTCCTCCCCAGCGTTTGGCCAGTCCACATCAGCATTTGGCAGCAGCGCATTTGGCTCTACGCCATCTCCCTTTGGAGCTCAAGGTTCTCCCTTTACCATGTCCCTACTACTTATTGTGTTAGTCATTTGAATAAAGGGTGACGGGATATGTTTGAATGATTTGTTTTGCAGGTGCGCAGGCTTCAACCCCAACATTTGGAGGTTCTGGTTTTGGTCAATCACCATTCGGTGGTCAACAACAAGGAGGCAGTCGAGCCGTGCCTTATGCACCGACAGTTGAGGCAGACACAGGCACCGGTACTCAGCCTGCTGGAAAGTTGGAATCTATTTCTGCCATGCAGGCATACAAAGATAAAAGTCATGAGGAGCTGAGGTGGGAAGACTACCAGCGAGGAGATAAAGGTACACTCGAGCAAACAAATCTTGTACTACATCTTCTTAACTCTACACTTTTGCACTTTGTTTTAACCAATATGGAATCTCTACACCTTCTTAACTCTACACTTTTGCACTTTGTTTTAACCAATATGGAATCTCTACATCTTCAATTTTCAGGTGGACCAAATCCAGCTGGCCAGTCTCCTGGAAATGCCGGATTTGGTGTATCAGCTGCTCAGCCAAATCCTTTTTCTCCATCACCGGCGTTTGGTCAGACACCAGCAAATCCAACAAACCCTTTTCCGAGCGCAACATCTACCAACCCTTTTGCCCCTCAAACCCCAACAATTGCCAGTTCGGGCTTTGGAGCGGCTACCTCAAATTTTGGTTCCTCGCCCTTTGGTGTAACAAATTCATCCAATCTTTTTGGGTCAACTTCATCAACTACCACATCCGTTTTTGGATCATCCTCCGCTTTTGGAACAACGACATCATCGCCGTTATTCGGTTCATCAAGCACTCCTGGATTTGGGTCTTCTTCATCAATCTTTGGTTCAGCTCCTGCTCAGGGTGCAACTCCAGCATTTGGCAACACCCAGTCATCTAGTCTGTTCAGCTCAAACCCCTCGACCGGGCAGACTGGTTCTGCATTTGGACAGACTGGTTCTGCTTTTGGACAGTTTGGACAGAGTAGTGCTCCTGCATTTGGCCAAACTAACATTTTCAACAAACCTTCCACTGGATTTGGCAACATGTTTTCAAGCTCTTCAACATTAACCACGTCTAGCAGCTCTCCCTTTGGACAAACAACGGTGATTTTTCTAATTATTTATCTACGTCTAGCAATCTCTTCGCAGTGTTAGTGCTTATTTTCCCTTGTGATCTATTTATGCCTTCTAATCTTGAATCATTTCTGCAGCCTGCTGGTATGACACCCTTTCAGACAGCTCAGCCAGTTCAAACATCAAATGCTTTTGGTTTCAACAACTTTGGTCAAACGCAAGCAGGTACCTTGGTCGACCAAGTTAATGACGTTATGATCTTATTTCTAGATGCTAACTCTTGTATATTCATCGTCTAAAGCTAATGGGACTGGAAATGCTGGTGGACTGGGATTTTTTGGTCAAGGCAACTTCGGGCAAACGTATGGTCTTTCTAGCAGCAGTGCTTGCACGATTTCTGTTTTCGCTCGTACCATGAGTTTCGTTATATGGAAGTTGTACTATCGGAGCTTCATTTTCTGTTTTTGTTTTTGTTTTTGTTTTGACAGGCCTGCTGCTCCGCAGAACTCTGTTGTTTTGCAACCGGTTGCTGTTACAAATCCATTTGGAACGCTTCCTGCTATGCCTCAGATTTCAATAAATCAAAGTGGAAATTCACCTTCGATTCAATATGGAATCTCCAGCATGCCTGTAAGCCTACTCTTCCTTCTGCAACATCCTGGTCGTGCATTTTCTTTTTAGCTGTTTTGTTTATTATCTGCATATTTTCATATACATTCCTCAAAATTTCTCTATTCGATTCCTCCTTCATTTTCCTCTTTGTTCCTAATGTCTTTTTTTATTTTATTTCCTGTCAGGTTGTTGACAAACCTGCTCCTGTTAGAATATCATCTCTCCTGACTTCTCGACACCTTTTACAAAGGCGGGTCAGGTTACCAGCAAGAAAGTACCGTCCTGGCGACAATGGTCCAAAGGCACGCTTCTGTCTTGTGAATTTTTGCTCAAATATTAACTTTTGGTGCAGAGGTTCGTTCTGCATGTCTAAATCTTAAAATGGTGTTTGTAGGTTCCATTTTTCACTGATGACGAGGAGACCTCAAGTACACCGAAGGCGGATGCTCTTTTCATTCCAAGGGAGAACCCTAGAGCTCTGGTTATACGCCCAGTTCAACAGTGGTCTTCAAGGGACAAATCAACAATTCCAAAGGACCGCCCCACTGCTCCACTACATGACAATGGTAAGTACCACAGAAAAAATTACCCAAAAGTTTCAACAAAAAGGTAATGATTCCTGGCTCTTTTTAACAATATTATCCATATATTTCAGGTAATAATCAAAACATTGCTGGTGATGCAGCAAACCATGACAGTAAGTATATAAATTATGATATCTAAAAAAAAAGTTTTTTGCTATGTTTGAACCATTCTCTAACTGGCTCGAGAACAATATTCACAGTAAATGATAACGGAGAAGTTGGTTCTGCCGGAGAAAGAACTCATCAATCAGTCAATGGAAATCAGAAATCGAACGGCACAACACGCACAGATCACGCTGGAGAGAAAGACCGTTCCTACAGAACACTAGGCGGACACAGAGCCGGAGAAGCCGCCATTGTTTACGAGCACGGTGCGGATATCGAGGCGCTAATGCCAAAGCTACGTCAATCCGATTATTTTACCGAGCCACGAATCCAGGAACTAGCGGCTAAGGAAAGAGCGGATCCAGGTTACTGCAGGCGGGTTAGAGACTTTGTAGTGGGACGACACGGTTATGGGAGCATAAAGTTCATGGGAGAGACGGATATTCGTAGGCTAGATTTGGAATCTCTGGTTCAGTTCAATAACCGGGAAGTGATTGTATACATGGACGAGAGCAAGAAACCGGCGGTTGGGCAAGGTTTGAATAAACCGGCGGAGGTAACACTGCTGAATATAAAATGTGTGGATAAGAAGACAGGGAAACAGTTCACTGAAGGAGAGAGAGTGGAGAAGTATAAGACTATGCTTAAGAGGAAAGCTGAGGCACAAGGAGCTGAGTTCGTGTCGTTTGATCCAGTGAAAGGCGAGTGGAAGTTCCGGGTCGATCATTTTAGTTCATATAAGCTCGACGATGAAGACGACGATGGAGTTTACTAGGGTCTCATCTCAGTGTTTCACTGTTGGAATTGTGCAGTAGGAGATAGTTTCCTACTCCACTGGTTGTGTGTTTCTTATACCTTTTCTTCTTACGTTTGTTGTTGTTCCCTTATAATTTTCTCTGTTTTATTAGAATCTCATCTCAGTGGTACACTGTTGGGTTTGTGTATTAGTATCTGTTACGATATGTGAAACGATTTTGTTTTTGTTTTCTATCACATACTCACTCGAGACTTGCAGAGGTGAAACTTTGCCCTAGCTCTGTTACTTGTAATCCAAGAAATTGAATACCCCTAACGTAAGAAGCTAATTCAAGCGGCGATATCAATACCATCAACTTGTGCATTTTGATTTGATTATAAAATAAACTTAAATAGAATTATAGATGTTGATTATTTTGTTGAATTATCACATTAGTCAGTGAAGACGAAACAGAGGGGCTAATGAATTAGCAGATTAGTCAATTACTGGTGTAAGATTTTGCAGAGGAAGCAGAGGGGCTAGTGACGTCACGATCACCGTGGCCACCGAAACTGGCTTTTCCGCTCAACATCTTTATCGCTATCTGTGCTACTTCCGCAAACCACTCTTCCTCCGGCAACGTCCTGTTTCACCATCATCCATTAGTCATCAACAAATCAATTACAACATGTTTTATGTTGAAACGTATAATACGTACGTATTAGGATCGAGTCCAGTGGCTGAAACTGCTTCGATGGCTCGAGCTATAATGTTCTTGATCACTTGATGAAGGTTTCTCGACAAGTACCTTCCTTGTGAGGCAAAGATCATCACAAACTCCATGTCTAGATAAAACTGTTGGAGACCAAGTGGACCCAATGGTTTATCTCCTGTCTCCATCTCTTCCCAGAAACTCTGATCATCAGAGATCCAAAGAATCACTGTCTCCGTCAGTCTCATCAGCAGTATCGTCGCGAATCTCTCTCTTCCAACAAACATATCGCTCGCAATCGTCGCTATTCTCGTCAATTTCGCAAACAGTTCCTGAAAGAAGCAGAGAGCATTTTGGTTTATCTCAATTCTATGCTTCGTTTCTAGATGATGTTATTTTTTACCTGGAAAATAGGGGAAGGAAACCATTCGGGCTCTTCAGTGGTTTCGTCCATGAGTATATAAATCTCAGAGCTGAGACGAACTTCTCCTTCTTCGGTGAAGATGAGTTCGAGAGCATGCTGTCTGCAGAAGCTATCTCTTAACCGATCAACGGATCTTTGAAGCTTTCTCTTCCATTCTCTTTGCTCTGGTCGGTTCTGTCTATCCGAGGAAACTCCTCTTCTTGGAGTGGATTGGTTCGTACCCTGAGGCAAGATCCTTGAAGCAGAACGCGGGATTAGCTCGTCTGCTAAAAGAAGCGCATTGACTAACAAAGCCGTTTGTTGTGACTCAGTTTCAGCTACTTTCACTATTCTGTGAACTGGATTCTCTTCGTTCTCAGCTGAACCGGGCAACGCGTTGATCAAGAGGTCGACGTACGAGTTAAACACCTGCAAAACACCGTCTAGTGCAACCCCGTCTAACTGTAATGCTTCGTCTAGCGGTCCAGCATCCTCCAGAAATTCCTAAATCCATAGAAAATAAACTAAACTTAAAGCAAGAAGAAAGATAAAGATTGTGTCTGGATTAAAAAGAATGTTGCTCACCTGAACCATGGAGTTGAATCTCTGAGCGCTTATAGAAAGCTTAAGATGCGGTGCAACGAGAGTAGTCGATGAGGCGCGTGATCCTGTCGGTGTATAAGAGAGAGACCAGTCATCTGAAGCAGCTAAAGCGGCGCTGCTCTGTTCAATTCTCTTGAGATTTCCAGTCAGTGCTTGCTCCACGCCAGGCCTAAAGTGTTTCAACAAAACAGGGGAAAGAGCTAAACCGCGAGACTCCAATGAAGAGCAGTGGGATGCACAGAGTTGGATGCACTCTGCGGTTACCCTTAAGCTCCCTGCAGCAGCAGATGAAGCCAAGGTGTGTCTTTTCAGTAACAGAGCAAACGACTCTGCTTGTTTAACCGCCCACGTCACAAGCTCTGATGAATAGGCCGGATCCTCCCCAACAACTGCCTGAGAGTCGCTCGCGGCTTGAGCAATCGTTGAGAAAACAAGCTGAGAGAGAGCAGCAGCGAATGCTACACCGTAGGAAGTGTTTGAAGCTCTCAGGCTCTGAATGTTGGCTTGTAGCCTCCGCTCGTAAGACCTGAGAAGCAATGTGTGGGCTCGAGAACCGTCTCCGAGTTTCTTGAGAGACAAGACCGCCGATCTAAGCTCGCCTGCTCTTGTAGAAGGTTGGCCTATAGCTTCAGCCAGCTGGTCAGCCAGCTCCTGTCTCTTTTCTTTGATTTCGTTGTTGAGAGAGAGGAGAGTGCTGTGGCTGAGCGTGCGTTTCTCTTGTGCCTCTATGGCCACTCGACGCCCTTCTTCTAACGCAGCCATGGATTCCTCAACTCTCTTCTCAGCTAAGAGGACTTCAAGCCTGTCAAAGAACTCGACGACCCAAATCTCAATTTTGGAGAGCTGTTTGTTATCCATGTCGTAAAGATCTTCGTCTCTTAGGTCATCGGCGTCATCAGCGCATAAAGAACTAATGTGAACGCCATCAGCCAAGCCGTGAACAAGAGCTGCTTGAGCAGAGAGAAGGTTTCTCATGGAAAGAAGCTGTCCTTCAAGAGCTGATATCTCCTTGGATGTCCTGGAAAATCAAGAACTTGGAACCCTAATTAGCAACAACCTAAAGATATATATCTACTCTCGAACAAATGATATAAAAAGATTTTAGAGACCGTATAAAAGCGGCATAGTTTGCGTAGACGCTCTTACGCATCTCTTCCGCAGAAGCCTTCTTCAGCTCAACGAGGTAAGAAGTCAAATGTCTCGTCTCCTGTTAGCAAAACACACACCAATCATCAACACAGCGAGTACCATCTCATCATGCCAAGCATTTTTACAAACACTTGGAGAGACAAACTGAACAATGCGGTAGTCAAAAAGAGAGATCAAATGTCATACTAATTAAGCAAAGTCAGAATCTAGGGACGATCTCTTGATGATTAGAGAGGAGAGAGGGAAAACCTTTTCGTTCATGTGCTGGCATTTGGAGGTGACATAAGCTTCGGGATCGAAAGTGGAGACCTTGAAAACCTTGAGACGATCACCAAGCGTCAGATTCGATTCGAGTTCTGCGGAATTGCCGATGCTCGACGACATCGATCCTCTTGCTCTGGCTTCCATTGCAGCGAGCTAATCAAATCCAGAGCTAAGAAGAAGTGAAAAAAACAAATTGACGACGAAGGGAGATGATGATTGTTTTTAATTTTAGGATTCGTTCATTGCGACGGAGAAGGCGGCAAATTTTGGGTACAGGAAGGCGAGTGCCCTTTGACTCTGGGAAACACGGAAGCGCGTGGGACTCACCCTCCTTGGCATCATCTTAAATGGGCCTGAATATATGCTTATTGGATCCTTGTTTTGTCCAAATCAGTTGTCATCATGGATTTCATTTATTTTTGTAGAATGTGATATTTAAGTAACAAAAGGTGAACCAAAGTTGCTAAATCAGAATATTTCGCTAGTTTCAGTTAGGATCAAGTTTTTGTTTTATTTTTGAACAAGTAAAAACATTACTCATTCAAAAGTGTAGTATTTTCCATGCTTTACAGTACACTATAGACAAACGTATCTATTTCCGGGATTTTCATTCGTTATTAGTTTAACCAACGACACATAAATTACATAATTCTTGTTCGTAAGAGAATATTAGAAACGAAAAGTCGACTTGTTATTTTTGAATCTTTGATAGCATGCAATGCAAGTCTGTTGCAATTTTGCGTGGCTTTTAAATGTCTTTTGGTTTTGAGTTTGTAGCCTGTTTTGGTAAAAATTCAAAAAGATAAACTACTATCATCATTCAATAATTAACAAGAGACACATATTAATTCCGAAGCTTATTGTTCTTTCAGAGAAAAGCAAAAGGAAGATGTTTTACAAGAGAATAAAAGAAGCAAACAAAGAGTAGTACATATGAAAGGATCCAAACTTAAAACACACACACCTAATGATTATGGTAGTATTACCTTCATATGGATTTTCAGTTTAAAAATAATAATTAAATACTTAAGTATAAGTATAACCTCTGCGAGTTGACTAATACTACCATAATCATTAGCATTCTTTGCAAGTGTTTAACACTATAGTGAGTTGATTCCTTATGAGCTGGAAAGTGGGAGAAAAAACAAATAAGATAAATGGACTTATGGCAAAGAGAGAACCAATAGAGAATTTTATAACATGATTTCACACAAAGTTATAGAAAGAAGAAGCAAATATTCGATCTATCAAGCTTTCTCTTCGAGCCACTCCATTCTTTGATGCTCCCCAATTGAATTGGCTAATGCGAGAACCTCTAACTCCTTTAAAGCAGACTCATCACAGTCCAAAAAACAACCCATGACAAAGGGTACACCACCCATTCTCCTGCTAATGTAAAGAAAAGGCACATATTTAGCTTAATATTCCAAATTTGTAAGTAAAAATATAAGTTATGGTGAAGCAACAAAGTTGCTCGATATAGATCAGGATACAAATCATAAAATATAAAGAATGAATACCCAAAATTCACGAGGAAATCCAATTTTTTTTTTTTTATTGAAAGTTGAGTATTTAGATACCAAAAACAAGTTATTAAATTCAAAGTTTGTTCTTAAATATAGCTGATCTGTGAAATAGTGTAGTACAGTACATTAAGTTGACTAAATAAGAGAGTATGCTTACTTGAGAACCAAGGAAGAAGAATAGAACCGGAGTTATAAAGGAAGAAGCAATCGGACGTGGTGTTGATCCCACCGGGACAGTTGCAAGCGAAGGAGCTAGTCTGAGTGTTGTAGCCACAAGCACCGTTACTACGCTCGCATGCACCGCAGACGACAGGGTACTCATCGAAGACGTTGAACTTGTACTTGAGTGCGATTCCATAGTTCCAATTCTCCGGGTGGGATTCTTGGGCCGGACCGAGATTGTAGAAACCGGAGTAAGACGAGCACTTGAGTTTCTTCAGATCCATTTCAAACGATGGTCCCAGGTCTAGAGGCACGTAGACGCAGCACGTTGACACTTGGAGGTTTATCAGACTGATCGCCCTATTATAAAAGTAACAAACCGGCTTTAGAGAGCTTAGATTTTTCTCATACTCATCATTTTTAGTTTGTAAACACAAAAGCTTACGTATACAAAAACCACTACTAAACCGGGTTCATAACCATTCAAAACGGTGAGGCCATATGACTCATATCTATCTTTCCGAAATTATATGATTCATATTATTGAGACATACAGTGCATTAGAGTAAAATATATCTATTTTATGCTTACTATACTTTTTTAACAGCATAACTGATTTTAAATTATTTGTTTTTTATACTAAATCTCTAATTAGTAACAGAGCTTTAAAAACAAACTTCGTTTAGATACACGGCCGTACAGACCGTAAAGCGATTTTGGGTTACCTGCAATTGGAGTACAAGAAGGTGCAAATGGAGGAGCTTTGACGGTCACAGAGCGAGACACGTCCGGTACCGTTACTTAACGGCGTGAAAACAGGGGATTCGTCAATAGAACAGTCAAGGAGTGTGAAAACGGTGTCGTCGTGGAAAGAAAACGGAGCGTCCCAATCCAACCCGAATCCCTGGCTGGGTCGGGTACATGCACACGTCGACATGGACGAGTCGGTGACGTAGATCATTTGCTTGGCGTAGTCGACGGAAGTGATAGGGTAACAGCCTGTGTGGGTGGTGAGCGTCAAAGTCTGTTGGTCCGTGTCGCACGTGATGTGACGTGTGAAACGTGGGTCGCCGCAACCCGACCCGGTTCCGAGCGGGTATTTGATGGGTATTTGGCCGCATGTTTTTTGACAGGCTTGTGAGGAGACATGAGTAGAAAAGAAGAAGAAGAAGAAGTAGAAAAAGAGAAAGAGGAAGAAGGAAGAAGACGAACGCTTCAAACTCATTTGCTAGACTTTTCAGAGAAAGAGGGAGAGAGAAATGTGAATTAAGAAGAACATATGAATTGAGTGTGTGAGTGAGTGTAACCTAATAATATAGATGCATGCTAAGATGAATGTTTAATAATATTTGCATATTTATATGCATAGATGTTTACAGGCATAAGCATATCAATTTGTATAAACAGTATAGTTTTTCTTTCTTGTGTTAATTAAATCGTAGATTCTTTTGGTTGGGTGTCTATGTGTACATCTTAGATTAATACCGGTGCGGATTACAGCATTAGATGATGACATGCACAAACAACATTAACACTCGAATTTGAATACACTGTAAAATACTAATATGCTTGATTATAGATTATACACAAGCACAATCAAAATTTTCGCAAGTGTTTAACAATCTTGTTTAAACTGAATATTAGTCTTCACTTTAGAGGTTTGTAAAATTTATGGTCTAACGGTGGAAGTTCTGAGAAAAAGTTATAAAAACGAAAATCTTTTTAAAATTTTGAAAGTATGATGAAGTGTATAGAAAAACACATTTAATAAAGTACATATTATTTAGATATTAAATACCTTTTAAGTGTCCCAAACTCACCAGAAAATAAGGCATAGAAGACAATACAATACATATATAATCGCAAAACCATCATTAGTGTCATCAAGTGCCCATTCTCACTAAAGCTCCCACCCAAGCAAGGAAAAGGGCAGGCATAACGGAATATATTCAAGGGAATATAGTAAAGAAACCTAAAGGCTAAGTTAAAGTTGCTAAAAAGGAAAAATTCCCAACTTTAGTTTGTTTTTAATTCAGTGAAGATAGAATGCATCTTGCAAAGGCATTATTCTGTTTGGTATTCTTCTCAAGGATTGTTCTGGAAGCCGATCAATTTTTATTTATTTATTGTAGTTGTAGTACAAAATTCTTAAATGGTACATTAATAAAAATGCTACCGATACATCATCATCATACGTGGAAATACAAATGTGAATACGTGAAGATGAACAATTGCCGGAGGTTTTAATTGATGCCACGCATATAAATGGCGTCGGTGATGGACCAACATTTCAACGTTTTCCCAACCATATATGACACGTGTCAAACTTCAATTGGCATTTCCTCATTATCTTTCACCTCCATCAAATGTTGAAACCTACCGCATCTTCGATCCCATATAATGCCATACCGTCGATACCGATCTAACACAAACGCTTCAACGTGTCATACCAAAGTCCTTGTCTGTTTTGGATCTTGAGGAGAAAATGGCGAGCGACCAAGTGAAACTGATCGGCGCATGGGCGAGTCCCTTTGTGATGAGACCGAGGATTGCTCTAAACCTCAAGTCTGTTCCCTACGAGTTCCTCCAGGAGACGTTTGGATCGAAGAGCGAGTTGCTTCTCAAATCAAACCCGGTTCACAAGAAGATTCCGGTTCTGCTTCACGCTGACAAACCGGTCTGTGAGTCCAACATCATCGTTGAGTATATTGATGAGACTTGGAGCTCATCTGGACCGTCCATTCTCCCTTCCCATCCTTACGACCGGGCAATGGCCCGGTTCTGGGCTGCTTACATCGACGAAAAGGTTCCCCCTCACTTCTTTAACTTGGTCTTCAAGTTATTATTTAAATATTTGTAGGGTTTGTTCAAAAGAAAAGAAAATACTTGCCGTAGTTCGTTACAATGTTATGAAATAATCTAATCCCTTTAGTGTCTGTATATGTTGGATGAATAAAGTGGTTTGTCTCTCTAAGAAGCATCCAAACAGCTGAAGGAGAAGAAGAGAAGAAAGCGGTGCTAGCTCAAGTGGATGAAGGGACAGCGATTCTCGAGAAGGCCTTCATCGATTGCAGCAAAGGAAAACCCTTCTTCAATGGTGATCACATCGGTTACCTCGACATTGCCTTCGGGTGCTTCTTGGGTTGGTTAAGAGTCACCGAGTTGGCAGCTGGTCATAAACTTCTTGATGAGACCAAGACCCCTTCTCTGTCCAAATGGGCTGACCGGTTCTGTGATGATCCTGCTGTGAAACCTGTCATGCCCGACACTGCAAAACTCGCTGAATTCGCTCAGAAGATCTTTGCCAAGCCACAGCCCTAATCAAGTTGATGGTGTGGATTTGTGGGATGAGATCTTGCAAGAATAAATGAAGAGGGTTACTTATTTCTAGATGTTTTTTCTACGTTTTGGTGTGCGTTATAGTTATTTTGAACTTTAAGTTTGTACCATACTTGGTGAATGAATCTTTATGTGGATTGAGAAGCAAGAGAACGATATCTAGCAAAATCCCACATTGTAATGATAGGTGATTAACTATCACTAAGTGGCTAATTATCACTAAAGCGTTCCATACTGTAAAGGTGGATGAATAGTAAATAGCTTCTAAGTTCAAACCCACAAGCTAGCTTTTGAAGAAAAAATAGTTCTTAATTCTAAGGTACAGCAATTTTATTAGTCCTCCTCACAAGACAAAAAAAAAAATCGTGTCAATCTAATATTTTATTCATTATAGATTGCTTTGTTTTTATTTTAGTTTGGGATAAATAAGACATTTTAAACTGCATACCTTATACTTTGCCGTCTCAATCAATGTTTTTTCGTGTTTAACACATCTCTACCCTACTACTCGTCATTTCCAAACACGTGAAAATGGTCCCAAGTGGATTTAATGGTTTCATACTTTCATAGTTACCACGCGTTATTGCATGTACTGTCACGCGTCAATATATTCGCCACTCATTTGCATTTTCACTATTCATCACCCTAAACCCACTAAACTGAATCGTAAAACATCTTAGCTTTATTCATACGAGCTAATCTGGGAGATAAAATGGCGACCGGCGACGTGAAGCTGATCGGCTCATGGGCGAGTGTCTACGTCATGAGGGCGAGGATCGCTCTCAACCTCAAATCTATAAGCTACGAATTCCTGCAGGAGACGTACGGTTCTAAGAGCGAATTGCTCCTCAAATCTAACCCGGTTCACAAGAAGATCCCGGTTCTGATTCACGCTGACAAACCGGTTTGCGAGTCCAACATCATCGTTCAGTACATCGACGAGGCTTGGAGCTCATCTGGACCGTCCATTCTCCCTTCCCAGCCATACGACCGGGCCATCGCTCGCTTCTGGGCTGCGTACATCGACGATAAGGTTAGTTTCAGTCGCTCTTGTGGGTTTTATTTTATGATAATTGGGTCTAAACAGCAAGAAATTCAACATGCATTATGTTAAAGATAAATATATATTTGGAATTACAATGGAATTCGTGGAGTTTGATAATAATTTAGCATGTTCCCAAGATTTGCCGGATTTTTTCTGCTTATTGTTGGTTTAATCTGGTCAAAAATCTCTAACTAACACGATTTAAACCGGATAAGGCCGTTGGACCAGTCCTGCTTCAACTAACTTCTACCCGTACTATATAAAACAATTTTGTTGAAAAAAGACTAAACATTTGGTTGTGTATCTTTCTTAATTACTGTGAATGGAAGTGGTTTATTGCTGTGAGAAGTATCCTGACAGCTCAAGGAGAAGAAGAGAAGAAAGCGGCCGTAGCTCAAGTCGAAGAAAGGACTGTGCTCTTGGAGAAAGCGTTCATCGATTGCAGCAACGGGAAACCGTTCTTCAACGGTGACCATATTGGTTACCTCGACATCGCCCTTGGGAGCTTCTTGGGTTGGTTGAGAGTCACCGAGCTGGACGCCCATCATAAACTTCTTGACGAGACCAAGACTCCTTCTCTGTTCTTATGGGCCGAGCGGTTCCGTAATGATCCCGCTGTGAAGCCTCTCATGCCCGAGACCGCAAAGCTCGCTGAATTCGCCAAGAAACTCTTCCCCAAGATGCAGGCTTAAAGTCAACTAGGATATGGATACTCTTCAATGCATGTGTTCGTTGGAGACCAAAATTGTAAGAATATCTATTGGTTAGTGGAAGTATGAAACTGGCTTAATCATGACGTTAGTTTTTCTACGGTCCAATGTATTCAAACCTAAGTAAGAGACTAAACAAATATTATATTCCTAGTTCTTCAATTCAGCCAGTTCTTGTCTATCATAGAATCAGCACATTGAGTGTCACATTACATTAAACAGTATTTCATCACAACACAAGGTCTCAGTATTTCATCACAACACAAGGTCTCTTTTACTTTTATGCATTCTGATACACTATTATTGTTGTGGTTTAAGTGGTTTGGTCCAGTTTTATCATTGTTTTTGCTTCATTCTTTTATCGTCTAGTAAAACAAATACTAGTTGTTTCTGGTTTAGGCTCTATATATAGAATCAGCTGTTGTCTCAATATTTAACTTCCTTTTAAAGCTCTCAAGAGGATATATTGTCTAATTAAAATGGCAAAGGAAGTGATAAACTTTTTACCATTTTGATAATTCACCATAAACCATAAGATGATGAAGTTAAAGAAAAAGTCAACTGTAAATGCCACGTGGCTCCATTAAGAATATATATCATTCTCCTTTGTCATGTTCTTCTACCTTCCACGCACTCCACACTTGTGTTTTTTTTGGTTCTCACGCCTTCTCTTCCAATTTCAGATTTTACTGGAAACAAAATCTCGATTCCGTCTCTCTTCTTCCCCTGAAACATCTGTGAAATCTCGATTCCATTACTCGGATTCATTTCCTTCCTCTGGAATTCTCTATTGAGCATCCTTTCAATTTTGGTTTTGACTTTTTTTGGGTGAAAGATTGGGATCAATGGGGGTCGATTACTACAATGTGCTGAAGGTGAGTCGAAACGCAAACGAAGATGATCTAAAGAAGTCTTACCGGAGAATGGCGATGAAATGGCACCCTGACAAAAACCCCACGAGCAAGAAAGAAGCCGAGGCTAAGTTCAAGCAGATCTCCGAAGCATATGACGTCCTGAGCGATCCCCAGAGACGCCGGATCTACGATCAGTACGGAGAAGACGGGCTCAAGTCCGCCGATTTACCTACTGCCGCGGAGACGGCGGCGCAGCAGCGGAGTTACTCGTCCAGCAACTCCGAGTTTCGGTACTATCCGCGCGATGCGGAAGATATCTTTGCAGAGTTTTTCGGCGCATCTGGGGATAACTTTGGCGGAGGTAGCAGCGGAAGGACACCTGGAGATGGTGGCGGCGGCGGGAGGAGGTTTAAGAGTGCAGAAGCAGGGAGCCAGGCGAACAGAAAGACGCCGTCGCCGGCGAATAGGAAGGCGCCGGATATCGAGAGCAAATTGGCTTGCACACTGGAGGAGCTGTACAAAGGTGGGAAGAAGAAGATGCGAATTTCCCGCCTTGTTCCCGATGAGTTTGGGTTAGTCTCTCAACTTATTCTCCTGATCTCGTCAATGCCATTGATCAATTTCCTTTGCTGCCTTAAAAATCATTCCTTTGAGTTGGATCTTCTGGGAAACTCAATCAAACAGTCAGTGGTTTCAGTGAATGATTGGGTTTTTGCTCATCTTCCGTGTGTTAGTGTTATCTTTCTCGTGTGATTCGTTGCTAATTTCTCTGTGACTGATGATAATATTATGGTGAAACACTATAAGCTTCGATTTTTAGACCTGATGATGATGATATCTTTGTTACAGAAAGCCAAAGACAGTCCAGGAGATATTGAAGATAGACATAAAACCAGGTTGGAAGAGAGGCACGAAGATAAAGTTCCCAGAGAAAGGCAACCAAGAACCAGGTGTCACTCCTGCTGATCTCATATTCGTGGTAGACGAGAAACCACACTCGGTATACACAAGAGACGGCAACGATCTAATCGTCGAGAAGAAAGTCTCTCTGATAGATGCTTTAACCGGTCTCACCATTAGCCTCACGACTCTGGACGGGAGGAACCTAACAATCCCGGTTCTGGATATAGTAAACCCGGGTCAGGAGATTGTGATCCCAAACGAAGGAATGCCCACTAAAGACCCTTTGAAAAGAGGAGACCTCAGAGTCAGCTTCGAGATCTTGTTCCCGTCAAGGCTAACGTCAGAACAGAAGAATGACCTCAAGAGAGTTCTTGGTTGAAGCTAATGAGCTGACATTTCAGTTTTCGAGTAAGCTCTTGATCATGTTTGACAACGGATTCTACAGGAAGCTGCTAGTCAATTCAGTGTACATACACTTGAGTTTTTATTTCTCTCTTTTTTTTTTTACTTGGCTGTGTTATAATAAAAATCCTCATCGAATGAGGCTGTGGAGATCCGAGATCTAATAATGGCTGCCACGGACAGAACGGATCGTATTGAGGTAGAACTTGAGCTAGTTGACTCGGCGTGCTAGTGGTGAAAGAGGAACAGAGAGACAGTAATCGGTCTGAAAAGCAAAAGATAGACGTTGGAACCTTTCCTGGTCCGGTTTGGTTTGGTAGGGGTGCTTCGATCTTGAAATTGATATGTATTCTGATTACGCATTTCGTAACACAAAAATGATTCTGGACTTTTAAACATTAGAAAATATCCTAGTAATTTAGGTACTGTACAGTGTTGTTTTGAATAACCGGTCTTCTAGCCCGAAGCGAATACTAATCATCGGCATGTCATGTGTTTTATTTGCAGTAGTGGTATGGGACTCCATATTTAATAACCAATCTTTTGTAACACTGATTTGGAAAGCAAAACCAAAATATCGTTGGATTCATCCATTAGTCTTTTAATTATAGTCTTCTCTTAAATGTACGAAGATACCTTTTTTGCTGCCGAAATTTAGTTATTTTTTCGTGGAAAAGCTAAGGAAAGAGACGGGAACCAGTGCCATGGCCCCCAAGCTTTTGTTATTTGAATATGAACGCGTTTTAGTTTGTAAGCATATGGCTATTGTCAAAGTCTTGTGGCCGAGAGTCAAGAAGAAGTGAAAATTCAACATCACATTAGATACCCGAAAAGACCACAACCACCAGTGTTAAGATTGTAGAAAAAAAAATGAAAAACAGAGACATGTCAGTTTCGAATTTATTTATTTTTGTTATCGTCAGAAATGTCAACCCTTAAGTCATCATATATACAGCCAGTTGGAATCTGCAGAGATTTCTTACTTTTGCTCTAGATTTTGTTGAGAATTCAAAGATGCAGCCCATCTTCCAAGCGATCCAACGAAACGACATTCCAGCTTTTGTGGGTTTGGTGGAAGAGAGAGAATCGTGGCTGGAGGAGAGAAGCGAGGAACAACACAGCAACACGGTGTTGCACACGGCTGCGAAGCACGGACATGGAGAACTCGTCTCCAAGATTATTGAGCTCCGACCTTCTCTCCTCTATTCCCGCAACGCATACGGAAACACACCTCTGCACCTCGCTGCTCTCCTTGGAGACGTAAACATAGTCATGACGATGTTAGAGTTTGGACTCGAAACCTGTTCCGCACGCAACAACAGCAACCAAACACCCCTCCACTTAGCTTGCCGCAGCATTTCCATGGAGGCTGCTAGACTCGTTGCGGAAAAGACTCATTCAATCGGCCTCGATGAACTCAAATTCGCCATATCAAGTGGATCCACTTGTAAGTTTTTTCTCAACATTTTTTTCGTAATCTTGAACAAACTCACTGGCTCACTATTGTGTTGGGACCATTGCCAGGTATTGCAGAGATTATACTGGAGAGATTCCCAGACCTTGCTAGGGAAGAAGCTTGGGTGGTCGAAGGCGGCTCGCCATCGACGCTACTGCATCACGCGTGTGATATAGGAGACCATGAACTCACAAGTGTATTGTTAGGTCTCGATCAAAGACTAGAAGAAGCTCTTAACAACAAAGGTTTATCACCTTTGCATGTGGCGGTCCTCAGAGGCTCGGTTGTAATCCTGGAGGAGTTCCTGGAAAAGGCTCCATTGTCTTTCGGCTCTCTCACGCCGTCAAAAGAGACTGTCTTTCACCTCGCTGCACGAAACAAACACATAAATGCTTTTATTTTCATGGCAGAGAGTGTGGGGATCAACAGCCAAATCCTTCTCCGGCAAACAGATGTAAATGGCAACACTGTCTTACATGTCGCTGCCTCCATGGTTTGTGGTGCTCCGGTGAGTAGTTCTCTTAATTTGTCGCTCTCCCCTTTTAGAGAAAAAAATGGAATTAAACTATCTCCTCTTACATATATTTCCCTGCTGGATAAATTTGCAGCTGATACGCTACATTGTTGGCAAGAAGATAGTGGATATCAACTATAGGAACAAGATGGGTTTTGCAGCTTACCAGCTGCTCCCTCAAGAAGCCGAAGACTTTGAGTTGATATCAAACTGGCTGAGGTTGGATACCGAGCCGGATTCTGATCAGAAGAGTGAAGAACACGATATCCAAACTAATCGATTCCACAAACGATCACTGGAACGCGTTAAATCTTTAGAGATCTCCGAAAGCTCTAAAGAGAGCGAGGTAATAAGGTTGCTTAGGCTAATCGAAACAAGCACATCAGAGATGGCACAGATAAAGCGAAGCAAGCAAGGGGCAGTGGAAAGAGGTCGCAAGAGCTTGGAGCATGAGATGCATTTAGAAGCATTGCAAAATGCAAGAAATACCATCGCCATAGTCGCAGTCCTCATTGCTTCAGTTTCTTATGCCGGTGGGATAAACCCTCCGGGAGGCGTCTACGAAGATGGGCCATGGAGAGGGACATCGATCGCAGGCAGAACGACAGCGTTTAAAGTCTTTGCAATATGCAACAACATCGCACTCTTCACTTCCCTCTGCATCGTTATTCTTCTCGTTAGCATCATACCTTACAAGAGGAAACCCTTGAAGAGTTTACTGGTGGCCACGCACAGGATGATGTGGGTTTCTGTGGGGTTCATGGCAACGGCTTATGTTGCGGCGTCTTGGGTGACCATACCGCATTTCCACGGAACAAGATGGTTGTTTCCGGCCATTGTCTCCGTGGGTGGTGGATCGTTGACGGTTCTCTTTTCCTATCTCGGAGTTGAGACCATTGCTCATTGGTTTAAGAAGATGAATCGTGTAGGAGATATACCTGTTGATTTGATTAAAAGCAAGCGTCTAAATAAAAGTGAAGGAGACAAGCCTTCCTTGGCAAGGACCATCTCAGATTTGGCCGTCTCCGGAAAATCAGGCTATTTCACCTATTGATTTATTTTCAAAACCTGTTTCTTTCCGACTGGATCAAGATGAGTATTTGGAAGGAGAAAACAGCTAAAGAAAGTCTAGGGAAATAAAGAAGAAGAATGAATAACTCTTGTATAGCAGTGAAGTATGTCTATCAGTCTACTCTATGGGTTAGATTAACTGTATTTTTAGGAACTGTGTAGCCGAGTACGGAGAGACATTGAGATTCTTGTTTTGTTCTTACATTAGCCCGAGTGAAAATGTCTCGTTTGCTTTCTCCTATTCACTTCAGCTCATGAGATTACTGCAAAAATACCAACCATTAACTTAGAGAGGCAAGAGACTCACACAAGTAAATTAGATCAATTTCAACATGTACTGACCTGAAACATAGTAGAGCAGAACAGAAATAACTCTTGTCTGAAACAACCTATTCTCACTTCTCAAGCCCTGAGAGCACGCTGTAAGCAGGGATTTTCCGAATTCCAGCTTGTACCATGACTTTCCTTATCTCTTCTGCTTCCGCCCAATTGCTTTCCAAAGCACTTAGTGTTGATAAGGCCACATACTGGCCACAGTGTTGTGGCTGCAATCCAATAAGCATTTTGCCGACTTTATTCCCTAATTCAACATCCTCATGAATCTTGCAAGCGCCCAAAAGAGCTCCGAGCACGCAAGCATCAGGCTCGAATGGCAAGTTCTTTATGAATTCAACTGCATCAACCAATAATCCGGCTCTACCAATGAGATCAACCATGCAGCCGTAATGCTCTGATGTTGGAGTGATCTTGTACTCGCGACACATGGAAGTGAACAACTGGATACCTAAGTCCACAAGTTTAGATCGAGCACAAGCCATGAGTACTGCAAGTAAAGTGATCCCATTCGGATGCACATTCCTCGATTTCATCACCTCAAACATCTCCAGCGCTTCTTTTGGTTTACCATTGGAAGCAAGAGCTGATATTATCGCATTCCAAGCGCAAACTTTTTTATCACGAATCTGATCAAAAGTGGTCAATGCCATCTCCAAGTCACCGGCTTTTCCATACATATCGAGCAAAGCAGTACCGAAAGTAGTAGTGATGATGATCTCTTTCGTCATAACATATCCATGAATCTGCTTCCCCAATCGAACTCCTCCGTGATCCAAGTTAGCGCAGGAAGAAAGCACACTAACGAAAGTAGCCTCATTCGGTGTTATTAGTACATCATTCTCTATCATCTCTCTAAAAAGCATTACAGCTTCGGCATGTAACCCGTTCTTACCAAACCCGTTGATAACAGTAGTCCAAGAGACCACATCAGTTACAGGCATTCTCTGAAATAACTCGAAAGCAGAACCCATCTCTCCGTTTCTTCCACAAGCGTCAAGCATGCTGTTACAAGCCACATGACAAGGGTGTACAATTTCATCAAACATCTTCCTCGAGCTTCTCAAATCTCCAATTTCGCCATAGAATCGAACAAACGAAGTCTGAACAAACCGGTCCCATAGAACACCCCGTTTGAGAGCTTGGCCATGTAAGGCAACGCCATAGGAAACAGAGAAGGAAGAGCAAGCTGCTTTTATGAGAGAAGGGAATGTAAGGTCGATTGGTCGGACTTGGCTTGCAAGCATGTGAGTGAAGAGAGCAAGAGAAGTCTGGTACTGTCCCGTAGTGAGATAGGATCGAATGAGAGTGTTGTAAACGAATATCGTCTTCCATCTCGAAGCGACTAATGCGTTGCTGGTGAAGAGGACGCAGTGAATCTGCTTAATCTTGTTTGAGGAGTCAAAGAAACGTTGGAGAAGATGAAGTGCGTCCTCAAGAGACAAACTGAAACTCGAGAAGGAACCACAAAGCATGTGATTTGTACAAAAAGACTAAGCAATCTACAAACCAAACAAAAAAACGCCGACTTTAGTTTGCAAATTCAAAGAAGATAGGAAACCCACATACAGAAAAAAAGACGAGCACTTAAGCAGAGTTACTCACTAAGGAATATGTGTGATACGTATATCGCATCTAGCGAAACAACTCGTCGTAGAAGATGGAGATAGAGATTCGTCAATTTGTTAGAAAGATACAAATCAAAAGTGTGAAAGTCTCAAAATTGTCAATCGGCTTCAGCCCCTGAAGACGACCAAGCTATGTCGGAGCTACAGACTATTGAAATTAGAAAACTTTCGTAGTTCTTCTGGGTAAACCAAGTAGGGTTCTCCGGTTTGGTATGGTTTAAATCCAATTTATGTGGGTTTATAATTGATCTTATCTTCGATTCTCGGTTACATAATTCGGTTTCGGTTCAGGTTAACCGAAATTTCACCCTAAATCAAAAGTTCCACTAGAAGGTTGCGATTTACAACTCGCGCGAGTCACGACTCAAGAGCGTGCATTCTTCTGTTTTTCCGTCGATTGGAATTTTTTTAGGCGGACAGTGCTAACGCTTTGGGAAAACAATGGAGCGGCAGAACGATAAGGAAGAAGGAGAGCGACCCGAAGAAGCGGCGGGAGGGAAGGAAGAGTTTGAAGAGAATCAAGAGAAAGCGGCGGAGATGAGCCGTAAGGAGAAGCGAAAAGCGATGAAGAAATTGAAGAGAAAGCAGGTGAGGAAGGAGATAGCGGCGAAGGAGAGGTTGGAGGCGGAGGCTAAGTTAAACGATCCGGCGGAACAGGAGAGGCTGAAGGCGATGGAGGAAGAGGAGGTGCGGATGAGAGAGAAGGAGCTCAAGGAGTTCGAGGAGAGTGAGAGAGCCTGGAGAGAGGCTATGGAGATTAAGAGAAAGAAAGAGGAGGAAGAAGAAGCGAAGCGGGAAGAGGAAGAGAAGCGTTGGAATGATTTAGACGAGTTGAGAAAGCTCGAGGTAGTTCCTTGTTTGTTATCAATTTCTTCATTGAAGCTCGTGTTTGTTTACTGTAAAACTGTGGAACGTGGATCGAAATTATAGATCCCGAATCTAGGACACAAAAAGGGTTGTTAATCAACCAGCATATATTTATTAGGGATATTCAGATCATATGGATGCTGTATCTAGCTCCCATTGGTTGCTGATGAATTCATGGAAGAGATGTTAAGCTTGAATTGGATTTGTATCTGTGACTTTTATTTACATACCCTTTTGCTTCTTTGGGCAGGCTAGTGGGAATGATGAAGGTGGCGAAGATGAGGATGGTGAATATGAATATATCGAAGAAGGGCCTCCGGAAATTATATTCAAGGGAAATGAAATCATTCTCAGGAAGAACAAAGTGAGGGTTCCAAAGAAATCGGTGGCTCAGGTGGGTGGAAATGAGGTACTTGACCATCATCTAGTTGAACATTACTTCTTCATTATCTTGAGTTTTTTTTTCAAGATTTCCAATGTAGAGTTTGTTTTGAAGATTGCTGCCAGGCCTATATCAAATCCTTTACCTCCGGTAACCGAAGCTTCTCCCAGTTATCATAATGTGAGCTCTGCTCAACAGATTCTGGATAATGTTGCACAAGAAGTACCCAACTTTGGAACTGAGCAGGTGATTGTTGTGTCCCTTTGTTGAGATCGTATCACTCTATGTGTACCATTCTTATGTTCCTTTGAGTAATTCTGCTTCGTTTTTTCTTGTTCTATCAATGCCCAGGATAAAGCTCATTGTCCTTTCCATTTAAAGACTGGAGCTTGTCGGTTTGGCCCGCGATGCAGCAGAGTTCATTTCTACCCTGATAAATCGTGCACTCTACTTATGAAGAACATGTATAATGGTCCTGGTACTGCTTGGGAACAGGATGAGGGGCTTGAGGTCTGTAATCGTTGTCATCTCGAGATGCTTGTATCCTGATAATAATTAGTTCTTCTCTATTGCCTGCGGTTTTCATTTCCTGAATCGAAATTACCACAGTTTCTCTGCCTTTTTTTGTTTGTTTGTCTTGTTTTGCTGTGTGCTCTGGATTTTTGGAATTATGCTTTTTCTTTGTTATTGTTACCATCTTCTTTAACTTACATCAGACATTGATGGATTCCCTTCAGTGGAGGTGCATGATTATAACTTGGGCCGGGTTGGAGTCACGGCTCACTTCTTTGTATCCTACTTGATTGATAGATAAGCTAGTATGTGCACATATTGTTGTCCGTATTAGTACCTCTCTTGCCGTCATAGCAATACTTTAGAGTAACTTACTTTAACTTGATGTCTTGTACATTTGTAGTTATTGATTTCTATTAATCTCCCGATTGAGTTTCATTTATTGTGCTTTGTGTGTCTTTTGATTCCCACGTGGGAGTGAGGGATATGCCTAAGAAAGGCTTAATTTTCCTGAATTAAGAACATAACAGTGTCCTTCATGCGGGCTGGCTGCTTCGGGCTAGTAGTGTCTGAAAAGGAACTAATGCTCTTATAATTTCGTAAGGCTGTAGCTATCCTGGTTTGCTTGATATCAATAGTTTTGGACGTCACATGCATTCGCCTGGTTTTCTTACGATTAGTCACGTACTATAGTTTACTCTTTCCCTCTTTTTCCCGTTTTCCTTGCAGTATACAGATGAGGAGGCTGAACGTAGTTACGAAGAATTTTATGAAGATGTTCATACAGAGTTCCTGAAGTATGGAGAACTTATTAATTTCAAGGTCTGTCGATAATTTCATGATCTCCCAGCTTCCTCTCCTCTCTTCTAATATCAGCCGTCATTTGATCTGAGTGTTAGTTTCTGAACCTGCAAGCCGCACTTGGCTATCTATTGTGAAAACTAGTGGCTCCCTTCATCTCTTATCATTATCGAATGAGCAACTGAAACATCCCATGTTTGAGAATAAAACTTGTTGGTAGATATGTCCTGTCTTTTGACCTTCTGTCCTACCCTTTCTATTCTCAGCAAGAAAATTCTATGTCCATTGCAGGTGTGTAGAAATGGCTCATTCCACTTGAAGGGTAATGTATATGTACACTACAGATCACTGGAATCAGCAATTCTTGCCTACCAGTCCATGAATGGTCGATACTTTGCTGGTAAACAGGTAAATTGTTTTTCTTTTAGAGTTTTTTTGATAAACTATTTGGGCTAGTGAGCTGTTTCCTGTGCAATATTGTTAGCATATATCTTAGTTTCGTCCTCAGTATTCGTATCTTTGTGGCATAATAATGGAGACACATATTTAGATTTCAGTTAGTCCAGCCTGTGTGTATGACGTTTTGTCAGAGGTCTCATTGTTCGATGATATTTGCAAATCCTCATTAGGTGAAATGTGAATTTGTCAACATCTCAAGATGGAAAGTCGCCATATGTGGGGAGTACATGAAGTCGAGGCTTAAAGTATGACTCTTCATCTGGTGCATGCCCTGGGATTTCATTTTCTGGCTTTATCAGTAGTTCACGATTTTCCTTATAAATTTGCAGACTTGCTCTCGTGGATCTGCTTGCAATTTTATCCATTGTTTCCGTAACCCGGGTGGAGACTATGAGTGGGCTGACCATGACAAACCACCTCCAAGATTCTGGATTCACAAAATGACCGCTTTATTTGGATATTCCGATGAATACTTGAAGCACACGGAGCGTGAATATTCGGGGTCGTTAAATGATTTTAGATCAGATCAAACGACAGATTCACATAGGTAGCTTCATATAATATTGACTTTTATGTGTCCTAATCTTTGAACAATTTCTTAGTGTATTTCCTGCTTGTTATGGTTATGGAGCGTCATGCTCATGTGTTTTGTTTCCATGTCAGGCAACCTTCAAGAAGATCGAGAGGTCATGATCATGTGAACGTTGGATCTAAACCTTCTTATAGGAGCCATAAGAATCACGGTGAAACTCGGGACAGTAGTCGTGGACACAAACTTAGTAGGCATGACGAGAGCTGCCATGGTGATGAAAGTCCTAACAGTACTCGAGACGGTAGTTTGGAGAGGGAGATGTACAGAGAGCGACGGTATGCTAAGGAGAGATCGCGTCATGAAAGCAAATGGTCTGAGCACTCTCATGGTCATCGGGTGATAAGGAAAAGAATCCATGGTAGGTATTCCGATGATGAGTCGTCTCCCGATGGAGATGACTATGGTAGGAGAGAGTTGGGTCAAAAACGAAAAGCTAGAAGAGGCACCGATTCAGAAGTTGATGAAAAGAAGATACGAACCCACAGGAGTTCAAGAAACGACAAAAGGGAAGGATCATCAGCTGATGAGGAGGAGAGTCATGAACATGACAGGGTTCACGCAGTTGGTGGTAAGTCGCAGAGGGAAAGACGGAAACATCGACATGAAAGAAGCAGCTCAAGATTTTCGGACGAGGAATATTTTAGTGAAAGTAAACGACATCATCCGGATCAAGGATCAGACTTTCGAGACGATGGAGAAAATGACAAGAAGAGAAGTGTGGAGACAAGTCCCAGAGAATATCAGTCAGATAAAGTTAGGGACAAAAGCAAACAGGGACATAGATATAAGGCCCGAGGTTCTGACTCTGATGGAAGCAGGAAAGGCAAAGGACGCCGAAGAAGCTCGGGAAATGGTGTAAGCGTCCGAGAATCGCAAGAACTCAACGCGCATGGAAAGAGAGAGAAAGTAAGTGGTTCATCAAGTTCAGATAAAGAAGAAACACAGAAAGAGAAATGTCGTCGCCATAGAAAACGAGGAAGGTCACAACACTCACACGAGCAGACTTCTAAGGAACCAGAGGAAGTCGAAGGAGAGCGTTGGAGACCAATGTGATATATGGTTCCTTTGACTCATTGGTCTCATAACCACCTCTTCAATTTCTCTTTTGTAAATAAAATACATTTTAGGTTTATTACTTGCGAGTTTTTGTTAAAACTGAAATTTGGTTATATCGCAAAAACAAGAATAAATATTTTAATAATTCCATGGTAAACAAATGAATTTATCATACATGAAAATAGTCGGCCATTTTTCTTGGCGGCACATTTTCGCACCGAAGAAGAAAGAGAAGATAATCGGGCACTGGGGTGCACGATGACGATAGCGACGCCTTTCAGTGGGGCTGCGAATTCGGTCGCGGCGGCGAGGACCGTTCTGATAACGGGAGTGAGCAAAGGTCTGGGAAGAGCCCTAGCCCTCGAGCTGGCGAAAAGAGGTCACACTGTGATTGGATGCGCTCGTACTCAGGAGAAACTCGCCGCTCTTCAGTTGGAGCTCTCCTCCCCGGCCAATCATCTCCTCCTCACCGCCGATGTGGTAATTTCCGCTTTTCGGACTCTCTTTGCTTGAATTCTTCCGTTTTTTTTGTCGTATCTGTGGTATAAATTAGATTGGTAATTACCGGAAACGAAGGAACTTTCTGGATACTGAGTGATACTTGTTCATGACTGCTGATATTTTGTTGCTTCTGCTGCGAAGTTAGCCTTTCTTTAACTTACCTCGATTTATGGTCTATATATGTTTGCAGAAATCAAACAGCAGTGTAGAAGAGATGGCACACACAATTATGGAGAAGAAGGGTGTCCCAGATATCATAGGTCTGTTTAGAACCTTTTCTTGATTAACACTTTGCCTTTACAGTCTTCAACCTTTCCCTCAATACAACAGCTTCAAAGTTCCAGCCTTGTGTCTTTGGGAAATTTTTTCTTAGGCACACTGTGGCGTCAAATTTTTTTCTTCCTGTAACTTTTTTGTAGTCTTTGATGTTGGTAAATGCACGTTTCAGTTAACAATGCCGGCACTATCAATAAGAACAGCAAGATTTGGGAAGTCTCTGCAGAAGATTTCGACAATGTTATGGATACAAACGTTAAAGGAGTAGCAAATGTGCTGCGCCATTTTATACCTTTGATGCTCACACGGAAGCAAGGGATTATTGTGAACATGTCTTCTGGATGGGGAAGATCTGGTGCTGCCCTGGTGAGTTTCAATCATGAATCACAAGCTATCATCGTATGTTTTTGTTCTTCTAGTTACAGAAAACTAAGACAGTATAACATAGGCAAGTATTGATTTGGGTGTATCAAAGCTGATCCCAGTGAGCTTAACTTTTGAAACTGAATCTGCGTCTGCAGGTTGCACCTTACTGTGCGTCGAAATGGGCGATAGAGGGTTTAAGCCGAGCAGTGGCAAAGGAGGTAGGTGAAGGAATGGCAGTGGTTGCATTAAATCCAGGCGTGATCAACACAGAACTGCTCACGTCCTGCTTTGGCAACTCAGCTTCCTTGTACCAAGCTCCTGATGCTTGGTAAGCAACACCCAACCTCCTCACAACTCGGAATCAGTTTCTCATAACTCGGAATCATAATCCTGCGCTGTATGATCTCTGTGATGGTGTTTTGAATGGATTGTTTGCCTGAAACCCTAAACCTTTTGCTAATGTAAACCAGGGCTGTGAAGGCTGCAACTATGATTCTGAACCTTACAGCCGGCGATAATGGCGGATCTCTTACGGTCTAACAACTAAACTACGCTTTTATTTTCAACTTCACTGATATGGATAGTGAGCTTCTTCAGCAGCTGAGGGTTATAAAATAACCTCTGATTCGAGGCTTTGATTCGTTTTTTTTTTGTTGTAACCAGATTGTTACTATGTAACGATGTAGTTGCCACGAGATTATAATCAACCAATTGCCTTGTTATTGTGTAACGATGTAGTCAGTTTTCCCATGTAACGATGTAGTTGCCACAAGATTACAATCAACCAATTGCCTTGTGCTGAGACTGTCCGAGAAAAGATGGTTCCGTAAAAAAATTTCAATTATTACAACATGGTGACAAAGAGACATGCAACAGATAACTGTATTTCAATAATAAGACATGACAATTTACACGAATTCTGAAAACGAAAAACAAAGTAAGAAAATGGGAATTTATTAAGGTGCTACTGTTTATTGCTCCTTATTGACCGTGACAGTTGATAAACTGAACACTGGGAATGTGTTGGACTTTGCAGTAATCATCCCCACCTGGCACCAATTTCTCCGACCAGTCCCTCTTCATTCTCTCAATCTTGAGTTCCTTTAAGGATGTTACGTAAGAGAGCCCCTCTGGAAGCTCTTTCAACTTTCTGCAATTATCTATAGTCAAAGTACGGAGACATGGCATCGACCCTTGCTCTACTCTCCACTCTTCCATTTCTTTCTGATAAGATACCTTCAGTGCACATAACCGAGGAAACCCACCTCTCGAGCACACCATTCTCCTCCCCAAGAAAGCGCCAGATGAAAAACAAACCGACTTCAAATGAAGCAATTTCTCTAGAATCGGCATTGGATCCTCCTCCATGCGGCATCCGATCAGCCATATGTGTGCAAGGTGGGGAGGGAAACGATACTCATCCGGAAACCTTGGCATATGCATCGACAGTGTTAACTCCTTCAGATGAATAAAATCCATCACGATTTCACCCCCATGAATACGATCAGCACTGATTTTTTGGCCATCATATATACTAAGCGTCTCTAGATTCCTCAGTTCATGAAGAGATGACGACAGAGTCTCAAAAGCACACCGGCCACTGATATTCAAACTGAGAACTCTTAGCTTAGGCATCCCGAGGAGGTCTCTAACACGACTGTGTTTCGTTGAGAAATTCGTCAAGGACTCCAGCTTCACTAGATCACACAGTTCCAGCTTTGTTTTCTCATGCATTGAACGAGGTAAGACAAGGTACCTCAGCTCTTGCATCTCTTTCAAAACATTCGGCACATAAACAAGGTGTAACAGATCAACGACACCTAAGTTCAAATAGAGCAGAAGCTTTAGATTTCGCAGAGAAGAAGGGAGATGAGATACTCCAGCCTCGTGCAAGCTCAAGAATCTCAAGTGGATGAGCTCTCCTATGCTGGAAGGTAGCTTCCCTCCTTTAAACTGTAGGTAAGAAAGATCCAACACCCTGAGCAATGGTAAACTTTGGAAACCTGGAAGCTGCCAAAAGTTTTCCTCCACCCCAAAAACCAAAACAGATCTGGCTGTTTTATTGCTTTTATTATCTCCCAGCAAATCAAGTGCATTGCCGCTATGTATAACGAGCCTGCGAGGTCTTTGAGCATTGATGGTAAAGGTGGAAGTTGGAACTTTGATGAATTCAAGAAACTTCTCTTCTTTGGCTTTAGATAAACATACTTCCCTCATCATGTCATGCATTTGACAATGTTCCATTCTCCAAGTCAAATAGCTTTCTTCCACAGTAACCATATTTCTCCTCACCAACTCTTCCAAGTAGCCTTCTCCACTATCTTGAATGGTCGATCCATCATCATACAAGGACGTTATGATTCCTTCTGAAACCCAATAATTGAACAATGTCTTCACTTTTATCTTGTAATCTTCAGGGAAGTGGGCCAAGTAAAGGAAGCAATGCTTTAACTTCATAGGCAAATCCTCATAGCTTAGAGACAAAACTCGGTAAACCGAATTGGGGTTGTTGTCATTAAAGCTAGACTTTCCTACGATCTGGGTTCCAAGATTGTCATATACTCTTCTCCACTCGAGAAATGTATGCTTCTTAGCTAATAACCCTCCTAGCACTTTAACGGCTAACGGTAATCCTCCACAATAAGCAACCATTTCCTTTCCCAGAGCTTCCATTTCTTCATCAACCTTTAACCCTAAACAAACTTTCAAGATAAAAAAAAAATGTAACAAGATTCTTGGTCTTGATTTTTATATCTGAGAAAAAAATGATGTACCAGTTTCACATAGCTTCCAACTTTCTTCCCGAGTAAGGATTCTTGGCCTAAAGGCAAAACTTTTCGGATCTGCATGTAACCCGACGCTTTCATTGCGAGAAGTAAGTAGCATCCTCCAACCTGCAAAATAGGGACCCAAAAAGGCATTTTATGACCCAATGTGTCACACACCTCATATACTATATGTCTGTACAAACAGAGCTCACCATCACCTCTTTTCCGTGGAAACACTGGTTTGATTCGGTCCCAGTCTTCTTCTTTCCACACATCATCGAGGACAAGCAAATATCTACCAGTTTCCAGCAATTCAAAGAGTTCACCCTGGAGTGTATATTCATCCATATGTATTACATTCTCATCATGCGGTCTGAGGTCTTGCAAGAGTCTCTGCCAAACGTGCTTCCGCGCAAACTGCTGCGAAACACAGACCCATGCGAACCCATCAAAGTGGCGCCGGACAGTGTCGTGGTGAAAAACTTGTCTGGCGAGTGTGGTTTTACCAATACCGCCCATTCCCGATATAGAAACCACTTGAATGCTATCATTCTCCACCAAACGACAAACCAACTCTTGCACACTCTGCTCAACCCCAACAAGATCGCTTTCACGGCTGTTGGGAAACGTTTGCCGGATCTCCAACTGCTCCAGCGACAGTGAGCGGCCACCGTCGACGATAATCTGCTGTAGCCCAAAACTCTGCATCCCCTCAATCTCCTCAGAGATCCTCCTGCTTGCGCCTTGGATATCTAAAGCGAGTTTCCGGCGATCCACTAGGAAGCAAGCAAGCCTCTTCACACGTTTCTTGATCCCTTTTTCTTTCCCTCCGAACTCTTTGAGAAGAAAAGATTCGATTATATCCTCAGCGTCATAGACAAGGTCCCTGACATGTTCCAAGAAGTTTCTCACCCTTTCACTCTCATATCTCTTGGCGTATGCATCTTTCAACAACGACTGTAACCTTCCAAGCTGACGTTTTAATCCAGAAACTTGCTCCTCAATTCCAGTCAATCCTTCGGATTCTCTACTCAGGAGCTCCCAAAGCTTCTCAACTCCAAATGACACAACTGCTTCTGCCATAACCCTTTAGGAGAAAAATCTTTGAAAAACAGAGCCTGTAATTAGTTTTGACTAAACAATTCAGGTGCGTCGTTGTTTATACATAAGAAAGGGAACAGATTCAAATTCGTGAAACAAGACGGATCAAAGCAAACTAAACAGAAATGAATCATTTATAAACTGTATAAAAGAACAAAATTTACCTTCTCCGAATGGACCGAATCAGCTCTGCCGCTGGTTACGACAATCTTTGGAAGAAGAAGAGATGATTTTTTTATAAGTCTAGTGAGAGAGTTGACTCAAAGATGAGTTTTTTCTAAGTCTAGTGAGAGAGTTGACTCAAAGTCAGCTTTATCCAGCTACCACTCCTTCAGTCCTTTGGCTAAGGCGTTCTCCATAAGAATAGTATCTCTTGTGATTGCCACCTGGAATTATTCTTCATCGATGATCATATAAAGAGATGATATTCTTTTATAGGACAGAAAATTAACATGAGCATAATTCACTAAATGGAAGTTAAACTGATTCGGTCTGTTCTAAGTTCTGACAAATACTTTTAGCCCATTTTGATATTAAAACTATTTAATTAAATTAAAATCTAATTAGGCGATTTATATGGTATTTGTTTGGTCAAAATTATAATTCTTAATTACGTTTTAACAAAATATTTTTGTTGTTTATTTGTAGTAATTTTTGAAATTGTTTCTTTCCAGTATTAAAAAAAAAATCTTTTCTTGTAGTTTTGCATTTAGTCAAATTTCCAGTTCTGCAACTTTTTTAGAGGATGAGGAAGTACAAAAGACTGTGATTTCACATATTATTTGTAACTTTTTAGTTCAGTTTTTGTTTAATATTTCCTCCGTTTTTTTATATATGATGTTTTAAAAGTTTATTTTTGTTTTAAATTATATGATATTTTTATAATTCTATACAAAAATGATGATAATTGACTAGTTTTATCCTCATATTAATTAGTAAATGAAAACTTAATAAACAATAAATAGGGTCACAGGGTCACAATAAGTATTATATTAAACTTTTTAATTTGTGTGCATAGTGCTAAAACATCCTATATAAAAAATGGAGGGAGTATTAATTTTGAAATCAAATAAATTTTATACCATATATTACCAAATTATTAATTTGTGTATACCCTATATTACCAAATTATAATAAAATTCACAAATATCAGATTTTTTTGTAACTTTCACGTGATCTGTGAATATACTAAATGATACGAGCAAGTATTCAAATAAAATGTCAATTTTGCCAAAAAAAAAAACCTTTCTTTGACTAGCAAATATAGAAAATGAATTAATGGTAAAATCTTTATAAGACCAATAATAGTTATATATATATATATATATATATACATGTGTAAAAGTAAAACTTCTCTTTAAGATCCAAAAAAAAAGATTTGTAGATTTTATACCAAAAAAACTATTATGGGTATTACAAAAGCTTTGATGACTTGTTTACTCGTAGTAGTATTAACAGTTTCGTTGTTCAATCACAACGTTTTGACTTCAGGTATGTTTAGAGTTTCATTTAGTAGTTGTTATGTAATATAATCATGTAGAATTTGCAATACCATATGTTTGTGTGTTTAAACTTTAGATATACACATGCATTTTAAAAGTTCTGGTAAAACTTCTATCATTTGGACATGTTAGACTGTTAGAGAACTTTTTTTTTTCTTTTTTCACAAAATAATAATAACCATATATAGAATTTTTAAAACCATGCGGTGTGTGTTTTTGTGTATACATATGTAGACATGCATTTAAAAGTGTTGTTAGAAAATTCTATCATTTGGAGATGTTATATAACTGCTTTTTATTGATATGTTATATCGAATAGAGTTAATTAATATTTATGTTGGTTTTCGTAGGTGCAGAGATAGAGAAAATTTCATTTGACCACTGCAATAATTTGTGCACGGATACATATGGATGGTTTGAATGTCAAAATGATTGTGGTGAAGCAGGCTACGCAGGTTGGGGAGAGTGTGCTTCTCGTTCTCCTAAAGAGCCTAAGCGATGTTGTTGTCAACCTAAAAAATAACATAGATTCATCATTCCCTTAAAAGTTTGATGGTTCTAGACTTCTAGTGTTGCATTTGTTTTCTCTAAGATATTGGATCTAATTTGTCTGTAGTATTTATTTATGACAAATGCGATAATAGATAAATAAAATAGTATTTACTATTATGATTGTTTTTTTTTGAAATTATTATTTTCGGTTTTCGAATATAAGGTAATATAATTAGAATGTAATCTTTGTTAATAATGAATGAGAAAGCATTCATATTCATATGAGTTTTGTCAGAATACAAAAAGAAGAAACGAAACTAAACCAGCAAAAACAATTTGAAATAAAAAAAAGGGATATAAAAATATATATAGTCCAACCTAAGATCAGCTGCTTTTGACTTGATCAACTTTGGTCCTCCATAATAAAAATACGTATCGTTGCTCCTAACTCGAGGGCTTGAAGCGATTGGAAATCATTTTCTGATAGGGCAATCTCCAAATTGCGCATGCAAGCGACTTTTTCAAATATATATATATATATTATTTTTTTTTGAAAAAGGGTTTTTCCAAATTCATTACTAGTAAAACAACCAGATCATATTTCAGTTGATGTGTGTCAGCCCAAAGAATTCATGATCGTGATCTCCACTTTTGTTGGTCTGGAGAGTAAAAAGAAATGATGGCAAATATCTAACCGGCTCAAGGATGCTACGGTCCATAACGACGCCCAATCACCAACTTCCGAATTTTATCACATATTGGTTAAAAACCATTTTATTAATAATCATAATTTTTGAAAACATAAATACTCTAACCTTTCATATTTTAATCGTCAGGTCAACTTGGGTGCCTCCTACAATGGACGTTTGAGAAATAGCAACTTCAACCTGTTTGTACAAAACCGTCGCAGGTTGTATGCATCGGTCTGGACAATATTTATACAATACCTTCCTCTAAATAAATTTTATAAAAAAAAATATTAATGGAATTTTATACAACTTCTTTAAGTCATTGGCCAACTATATTTTCAAATTTTCATAATTAACTAATAATTACTTATGATATAAGAATCGAACATGCATGTAACATATCTAACTAGTTACTCAATATTTTGATTCGACCTAATACTGACTACTGAGTATAATAAATGCATTTCATCTGCCATTCCTAGCCAGTATTATATAAATATCAATGCTTTTTTTTCAATATTTATTTATATTTACTTTATTTTTACTATACTTTTGTTTTATTTTTACTTTATTTTTGCTTTACTTTTACTTATTTTTTTTAATAAAAAATTTGGTGTTTAGACATAAAATTCCTTTTTTTTTGGGTTTACATAATTCATGATTGAGCACGATTCAGGAAATCAACAAATACATTCAGCCTTAATGAGAGAGCACTTCAACAAACTATAAAGAAAACTATAAAGAGCGAATCATTTTCCCGGATAGGTAAAGATCGAGAGATCATTACGATCATGAGGTTGATTTTGTTTTGGAAATTGTTAGTGAACAATCCAGAGAGAATCGAAAGTTTGTTATTCATCTTGGTATAATCTCAATTACATAATTCTCTTATATAGTGAGAAATAATTACAGGTTTACGAGTTTACATGAACTAATATCAATCTATCATATCTAATAGAAATACAATCATGTAGGTGATAACATATCCATCATTCCCAATATTTGTAAATACAACGGGTATGATTTGTACGTGTAGTACATCTGTATTCAACTTGTTTTTATTTCAGATTGAGAATATATGTGAATGAACGTTAATAAGATCATAATATATCCATAAACATAATATAACGGAAGACGAATGTATTAATTAATCGACAAACTAACTGGTGTTTTTTACGCAACATTTTACCTTAGAGAAGGATAATACTTTTGAAGGGAGCCCAATTATCCGAACTAACGGACTAAGCCTAGAAACTAGAGATAGATTTTACCTGGCATATATTATCGAAATCCTTGAATGTCAACATAAACCTGTGAACAAAAGATACATAAACTGAAAGAATATAAAAAGGAAATTACAACACACGCACGTGCCACGGCATGTGTCAGCCTGAGAGATAACCCGTTGACGCGCCTAAATATATATGTCACCCACTCACCCGCCAATACAAAATTAGCCCTAAGCGTTCCCAGTTCTCTCTCAAGTGCTTCAAAAACCTTATACCAATTTTTTTTTTTTATAATTCCTTATACCAATCTTCTCAAAGTTGAATCGTTGCTCTCTCTTTGTTCTCAGTTAGATTCCCAAATATCTCTTTCCTATCTTTGGATATGGATCCTGGACTTCGTGTTGACGTGCATGAATTAAAGCTGTCGCCATCGGAAGGAATGGAAAACACAGTCATGTTGGCGTTTAAAACCATTACCCAAGAGATCCACCAAGATCCGGCCACCGGAATCCAAACCCTTGTCGACTCCATCCTGGATCCGTCGCCCCGTATCATCCACTTTAGCATCGATAGCACCAGTCACAGTCACATCTGCGATCATCTCCATCGCCTCAAGAATTGTCGTTCTTTAAGTGAATCCTTAGCCCCGCTCATTGCTTCGGCTGCAAACGACTCAGGTTTTGGGATTAATGGCTTCGTCCTTATGCTTGTTCTTACTCGAACACTCCCAAGAGAATCGCCTGTGCTTCAGAGGCTTGTTTGTCAAGGAACAATCGATGGTGACGAGGAGCTTGAGAAATTGAATATGGAAACGGAACCGTGTTCTATCTGTCTGGGGAGTCTCGCCCGTTGGAAGACTAGTGTTGTTCCCACACGCATGCCGTGTTCGCATGTCTTCCACGATCGCTGTCTCTTGAAGTGGTTTCGCCGCAATAATACTTGCCCGATGTGTCGGACGAGACTTGTGTCCGAAGCAACAGAGGATGAATGTGTTTCTCTTTTTTTTGTTTTTTTTTTTTTAACAATTGAAAAGTCAGATCATACTTTTTTGTTTCTTCTTTGTGTCTAGGATTTCGAATCGATTCAAATTTCAAGGAGAAGATTTGGAATAGTTCAAAGGCTAGCTTACATGACTCCCATTATTTGTGTTATAACATTCAGAAGTACACAAAAACCATCCATATATAAGATGCCAAGATATTATATATTGTTCCACCAAATAAGAAATCGAGTTTTCAAAATTGTGATCGAACTTGAATCACAAATGTATAGAAAAAAGAAAAAAAACTCCAACTAATAATACTAAATTAACAGATACTGTATAAGTAAAAAAAAAAAAAAAAGCTAAAAGTCTAAAATCTTGATAAGTATTCTTCAATCCGTTCAACATCTGCATATTCTCTGCCTGCAAGAATCAAATACACCAATATTAATCTCTCCTTTTTCAGAATCCAAACCACAATATCAAATTTACTATTTTGATCTAATTGGCAAAAGAATAATTCAAAGTCGTCGTCACAAAAGAAAACAAGGAAAGGACATAGAAGCTTGATACAATAGAGAGAGGTGCGTGGCTTAAGAGTTTAATAAAGAACAACCAATGTACCTTAACTATTATTGGTCTCAACGCCTATGAGTTTTACCTTTCCCCCTTTTCCCTGAAAACAAGTGTTTTGGTTTCAGAGATAGTATAACTCTGTCAGCTTCTCCACGACGTGCATCTTTGTTTCTCTTTCTGTGAGACTTATTACCAATCATAATTGCTCTCATCTTCTGGCAAGAGTCCTTGAAGCCTTCACCAGGCAAAACCTCATGTGGAGGCCGTGACACTGATCTCGATCTTGACCTCAGACAGAGCTTCTTCTTCTTCTGTTGCTCACCATTCATATCCACCTCCATTGCATCTTCACCCCAATCATCATCTCTCCTTCTTTCTGCCTCTAGATTTGCTTCTTACACGGTTCATAGCAGAAGAAGGATCAAGACCAAGTGATGATAACTCTCTACCCAGTCTCTCCCTTGTAAACTTCTTATCCTTGTCAAACTTTCCTCGAACTGTTGCTCTGTTTTGTGCATTGCTCTTCTTGAGTCTATGCTCTCGAATAAGGAAAACTTTCTTCTTGCGAATATCAGCCAACTGATTCTTCTGCTCCTCTGTGAGTGTTTCGCCCTCAATCTCAAAATCATCCTCTTCATCCTCAGCCTCCCTGAGGTCTTCTTCACTTTCCAGCTCCTCAAGCCTGTTCAAAATGTCTGGATCCACAAAATCAGCAACATTATGACCATCACAAATCTCAGGTATAATGTCGTTCTTCCATTCTTTATCAGCCAAGATGTAGTTCTTCTTTAGACTAGCAGAATAAACCCCAGCTCCACCGTTTCCATCTTCCAAATCCTTCTCTGTCTTTCGCTTCTCATTTTCGACAGCTCCCTGAGGTATACAAGGGAGCCTTTCTTTGTCATCACGAAGCTTCGGCATCGCCACATGCAACCTGTTCAAGTGCTGATTAATATTTTTCGATTTCATCTTTGCCTCAACACTTTTATCTAACAGCCTCTGACAAGCAGCATTCTTCACTGACATCACACCTTCTTCCGTATTAAAAAGCACAGCTTCTTCATCTGATCCCATTTCAGCCTTCATAGCTTCAGCTTTCATCTCTTCAATAAGTTTCAGATCTTCATCAGACAGGGTTTCCATGGACACAAGATCAGTCTTGTTGCAGACAATTAACAACGGTTTGTTCATGAACGAAGGCTTTAAGCTGTGGAAAAGAGCATCCTGCTGAGCAATGCTGTAACCACAAGAGCAGCCTGCTGAGCAATGCGAAAAGTCTATGATATAAAGAGTAATTAGAAACATAGTTAATGAAAACAGAGTTTGCAGAATATAGTTTTTTCAGGAAAAAAAAATTGACGACAAACAGAAAGAGATGAAAGCCTAAAACAAACAAGATAGAGTCATGAGAAGACATACAAAGAGATTTCGAGTTCTTGGAAAACTGGTTTGGGATTGATTTAGAGGAGACGAACGCCGTCGGCGTGAGAAGCACCAGACTAACAGAGGAATGTTCTCCAAGCCCTATATTTAATCAATGTCAGAACCGACTAAAAATGAATTAAAGGGAATGATTATTTTGACAAGTTAATACCGGGTTTTTATTGTTAGCGGATTTTAGCATTCGAACCCGGACCTGGGTTGCCAATTTACTGGTCCGACCGGTTCAGAAGATTAAAGCGACGGTGTCGTTTCGACTAAAATTGCATAATGAAAGTAACTTTTCCCCATAAGTATTTTTTTTTTTGAAATAAATCCATAATTACTTTACCGAATAAAATTATCCCCAAAATTTAGTGATTTAATTAAGTAATAATCAAAAAAAATTATTAATAAGTGACATTATAAGAATCTCCAAAAATTTAAGTATAGGAATTCACCCAGACGATTCAGATTCAGAGGAATCTCAAATACAAAATTCATTATATTTGCTACAGTATAAGGAGCTCAAAACAATAGATGCCAAAAAAGCTGAATAAAGAAGGAATAAGAACAAAAGAGATTCAAACAGACGTCGACTCATGAAACACGTGTGTGATAATATCTACTATCTACAAAGAAGACAAAACAGTAGTACAATCATCCAATCCCTTTCTTAAACTAGAAAGATACGCGTAACTTCGTCCCAGGAAACGGGACCCAAACCCCAGAGAAAGAATCAGTCTCCGGTTTTTTTTCATCTTTCAGGTTTCTAATACCGGGTCGGTGGTGGTGCTGGTGGCAGCCGATTCGGTGTGGTGCGGCGGTTGCTACCAGAGCCTGGTGATGCAGCATCTCCGTTCTGAGCAGGATCGCTGTAGCGGCGGCTGTGACCACCTGATCCGTACCTTGACAATGAATCTGACTGTCCATTAGCAGCGGCGTTGAAGGCATTCATCCAGTCATCCCCTGAAGAACCTCCACTGGTTCTTGGGCTACTTTCTGCGGATCAAGAACACCACAATGAGATTTTTAAGTATATGAACAAATTGATACATATACATGAAAAAAGGTGGATGAATTTACCGGTGCCACCATTGTCGGACCAACTTGTAGCAGCAGCAGCAGCTCGGTTGTCATGAACGCTAAGCTGCCTCGTGAGCTTAGAAAGAAGAGAGGATTGCTTCTGGTAACGCTCTCTTCGTCTTTTGACGTTCTGATCCTCTTGAATCAGTGACTCAATCCTCTCATTGCCTATTGCACTAGAGATCAAAAAGACTGCAAATAAGCACACCGCAACTGAAATGAGATTCGCCACAGGGGAGGGAAAGATATTGAACCTGATAGAACTGTATAGCTGATTCAGCATGTCTTCTTTTGCTTTCTCCACTTGACAAAGAACAACAGCCTGTTAAATTCTCGTTGGTTAGTACCACAGCATATTTGTAAGAGAAAAAGAGATGGAAAAAGGAAGCTTGGAGCTATTAATAAAGAATACTCCACCTTTGGAACATTGGCTGCAAGACTGTTAAGGACAGCTTCAACGTAACCTCGTACTTCTTGGGACATCCACCGGAGTTCCTCTTCTGGATCGATGGGTTTCCTAACCATTTTATCCTGAAATACAAACAAGATAACGCCATAAGTGTCCAATATAAGGAATATAAATGTTAAACGCCTACTAATGCCAAAATCATAACTTCCGTCAAGTGTAAAATAAGCATAATGTCTACCCATAAACTTTTGACCCGTAGTGAGAAGTTTCAACAATAAACAACTCGACAACCGTTTCCATGTTCAATAACAGGTTCTTGCATTCAGTGTTTCAAGCCACATAGAAACCTTTGTAACATAGACTTGGACGTTCGTCAAAGTTATAATTGATATGCATATGTAGAGTAAATTTTAAGGAAGGGGAATATGAAAGATAAAAGCTGGCAATGATGACTCACAAGTGAACCTTCTGAAAAACTCTGTCTCATTGAAACATTGCCCACTTGGCCTCCTCGAGCCTGAATAACCTTTTGCAACTTATTAATCCACTCGTTTTTATCGACTACACTCTCAGCCTTAAGTACAAGGGCATTGTGGGCTGCAACATAACAGTTTTGAGGAAAAGCTCATAAAAAAACGCATAGAGGATTAAGAATTTGAATTCTGATAATGATTGGTTCACGTACCTTTTAGTACAGTCTTATAGGGAACCTTGCAGGTTATCTTAAATACAAGTCCTGGTCCTTTTGAATCAGGTCCGTTTGCCTTCTTGTCCTTCGAGCTCTTTGACTTTTCTACTTCTTCCTCGGGAATTTCTTCAATAGTGCATTCCTGAGTGGATTAACAAAGTTCATGAGAAAGTACAATTAGAAAAGCATGGAAGGAATAATGTTAACTATAGAGCAACCACATTTTCTCGTCGATATAACAGTACTATATAAAACTTGAAGCATGAGCTTTACAATACACAAGTAAATTTCACTGTCCATGTAAGAACCAGTGTGGGAGGAAATAACAAGGTAAGTATGAAACCATAGTGGAAATAAAAACGTAAGTATGAAACCATGGTATTAGGCTTCTCTAGTTTTTTTCTATTCACTGTCTTCTCTAATTATAGTTCACCGTTGACAGGAGAAACGAAAGCACGGGAAGAGAATAATACCTCCAAAGTTATAGTGCCCCGGAAGTTTCTTTCTTCTTGCTTTTTGGTATATCCCAGCTAGGAAAAAGGTAAATGGTTACGTCAGTAAGTGATTACAGTGCAGATATTTGGATCAACACCGGAAGGATATACACCTTAAATACTAACCTTTCCAGTTTTCTCATTCAGAACAAACCATCGCCTACTCCATCCATTAGTTTTTGCACTTTTCTTCATCAAATACCCTATATGAAAGAGTAATTATTTAAAATCGACCTTGGAAATTGGCTTAATCAAGGTTCGAGTGACGAAAAAGACACAAAGAAATCGTGCACTTGGACTAAGAGAAAAGATTTGCAGGTGCAGCAATTAAATCATGCAACGCAAGGGAAACAGATAGGGAAAGAATGAATTCTTTAGACAGCAACTGGGTAGACGTATATTAGGATAACAACCTGCTGTTATCTCCCCCTCAGGTCCAGCAGTTTTCAGACCAGAGACCTCCGGCGTCTCTTTATCTTGCGGACTAGGTTTGTCTTTCATTGATTTCATGCTACCACCAGCCATTGGCCCATCTGGCTGAGGACTAGAAGCCTGATATACATGCAGGTATAAGGATTTTTAAATAAGTACTTTCCACCAATGTAAAAGCATTTTCCACTAAATTGATTTGGAATGAAGACAGACCCTGCTTAAAAGGGACTGTTCTGCATCTTGTCCCTTTTTAGAAGACCGTCCTTTCAGCTCTTCCTCGCGACGTTGTCTTTCCATTCTGAAGAAGTCAATACAGTGCATCGTCAGAAAAAAAAACATTGTTTTCAGTCATGAACCATGGAAACAACAAGCATGTAATATTGTAAAATTTTCTGCAGCTACAGAACTCTGAAGACTTGGATACAAAAGTTCAGCCATAGAACACAGAGATCCTAAATATGCATATTGAAGAGACCTGAAAGCATTGTGGCTTTAACGTCGAAGGTATTATAATAGCTCACAATGGAATATATTAATGTCAAAGTTGGCCTAAGTAAATACTTCTACAGAGAGGTACAAAATTTTCTTGTAATGAAAGTATCAAACCCTTAATGCTCAATTCACAAACAAACACGCAAAGTTGAGGAAACTATGGCATTCAACAATGGTCGATCCAAAAAAATTTACAAGAAAAATTAGGATTAGATTAGTAAGTCTGAGTATTTGAGTAATCAACCATCAAGAATACAAAAGAAATAAAAAATCAAAGAAAGGCAAGACATTATACCTCCTTTGCACAAGACGGATAAAATGTTGAGGTGGTACAAAAGCGCGTTCCATATCAACTAGTGCAACCACCATTTTCTTCGCTTCAGTCTTGAAACCATCAAGTGCTGCACTTGCTATAGCTACAACCTGGTTGTTGATTAGTTAGTAAGGATCAGCTATGATCGAAATGATAAGATGCTACTGAATAAAGCACCACAAAATATTATTACCTCTCGCTTAAAAGGAGGATATCTCCCGAGTCCAGGTGTAGCATTGGCTGAGGCTGAAACTATGTCAACAAGAACTCGGTGAACCTAATCAAAAGTTAAGACAACAGAGAAATAAGATAAAACAGAAACCTGGATGCATGATTTTTAGAGTAGGAAACATATGTTAAGACATAAATAAACCAGATAAGTGCACTAGAACCAAACAAAACTCTCAACAGTCAGAAGAATTGAAATGTCAAAGTGAGACGAGACATGCCCAGTTCACAACGCAGTAAATTGCTGAAATTCAATACTACTGAATGTACCCCAAACAAAAGAGTTATATAGGCACACCTCATCAACACAAAGACGTGCTGGATCTTTAGCCAACTCAAGAACAATCTTTATCAACGATCTTAACCCTTTCTCTGGAGATATAAGATAAGGTTGATAACCATCTGCCTCCAAAACAACCTGATAATTTTTTTTAAAAATATATGTCATGTCCAGTTCAAAACTTGTTCGTGCAGAACATTTTAGGAAAGAAACAGACACCCACTCTTTTAACATTGTTCAAGTCAAAATGTCTATCCAATGGAAGCTGCTTGATACGGTTGGGGAAATTGCCTTCAAAACTTGCAACAACTTTCCAACCACTTCCCTGAACAAAAAAAAGATTGTCAGAGAAAAACGTTCACCCAGCTCCGAACGGACTTCAGCTCATGGACAGAAAAAAAAGACCAGAACAAAACATGTGATATAACCCCTCAGTCGGCTTATACACATACCAAAAACTTCAACTATCAGATTCATGAGATTTTTAACAATATGATGTGATCTTACTAAACGTATGATTGCAAGATAGTTTCCATTACACTAGCATCAAATCTGAAATGGCTGATTGCTAATATTGAGACAGATTCTCTCTTTCACTATAGTCTTCAATTTTCGAATAACACTTAGTTTACTTGTGTATGAAAGTACTTACTTCACCACCAGCCAAGTGGAGAAGAAATTTGTCCTCAAACTCACGGCAAAGCTCCAAAGCTATAGCCCTTGTACCTTCAGCACTATTAACTAGTTGTTCACCAAGCCTCGCTAGCTCATCCTGCACTATTTGAGACTTACCCTGGAGCCTGTACAAAGAATAATTTTTAAATAAAAAATAGCTGAGCATCTACAAGTGATCTTGCAGAGAGTAAATAAATGGAGAGAAGCAATACCCAGACAATATATTTGGAAGCCTGATCTTCATTCTGCTACGAATCTGGCTAGCAAGGGTGTCCACCAAGGCAATTCTGCCAAGCTTGCTTTGTGGTGCCCCAGTCAAAATGGACTTTAGACTTTCACTCTCAGCGCGCCATGCAGTTTCTAAGGAGTTCTCTCCACTTCCAGATTGTGCTGATGCAATGGAAACGGACTGGCCAATAAGAGCAACCCATGGAATGTCAGTTGTTTTTGGAGGTCCCTGATTCGAAAGAAGAGCCTGAACTGCTGCGAGGGCTTTCGGGTTCTCTGCAGCCTGGTCAATTTTGCCGATAATGCCTACTGTCCTAGTGCCTATAAGCAGGGAGGAGTGGTGATAGCTAATAAGTATTGTAAGCAAATTGAAGTGATGATTAGCTAGTATTTCAAAAATACAGATGTACTCACTCTCTGGATCATGCTCCTTTGCAATCTTGAGGGCTCGGGATGATGAAATTTCAGATGCCTGACTAGCAGGGACTATCACCAGCAGTATGGCATCATTGTGTTGTGCATATTCAGCAATCTTGCAAAGAGATCCAAGAAACAAACGACAGTTTCAGTAAGGAGAAACATTATAATGAATCTATGTTAGAATTTCAGCGGGAAATCTGAACAAAATTGTTGAAATCATAAGTTTCATGGTCGTTCCCATGGCTCACCATTGAATCGTCCACAATTCTTTGGTCCAGTCCAGGCAGATCAATTAATTTCAGTGGTGGAGCTGATATAGAAAGCGTACAAGTAATATGTTAGGATGATCAAAGAAAATTTAACACTAAGACAATGCAGGTCATATGTCATTACACATATTCAGAAGAGTACTACTACTTATTTTAAATCTCGAGTAGATATATTATTTGATACCCACCAACTTACAGCTTTAATCTCTAAACCAGTGCACTAGATTGTATATGGGATGGGGGTGGAAACATATTACAGCTGACCAGTTCACAGATATATTCATACACCAAACCTAGGTTAGCTGCCACTTATGATTAAGCAAGTAGAAAAGGACTTGCCTGTGCTGGTACGAAGTTTTAAGTATATTTCATCACGATTCTTCCCTGAGGCTCCTTTGCTGAGTCTATCTTGAAGAGAGTGTCTCAGGGCACCTAAAACAAACCCATGTGGAACACAACGGTAATATTACGAGAAGGTTGATAAATGCTATATCATACATGTAGAAAGGACTTCATGCATTTGTTCATAGAGAGAGACTTACTCGCTGAAACTTGCTGAGATTTACTGTCGATTTGCAAGATAATTGACTTGCTGCTCAAAGAACTCTCCCTGCTCAAGTCAATTATTATAGGAGCCCGTGTAGCACCGTTCTCCCCCGTCGGCTGTCCATTGTAAGCGTAGCAAACACAATAGGCGTCAGTATTATTTCAAGAGAAGGTATCGCCCAATAATAACTATCAGAAACTTTCATCGACCCATTGTACTACTTACCAGGACTGGATGCCCAATTAGACTGTTTAGAACTGCAGACTTTCCAGCTCCCTGGTTCAGTATGAAAAGAGAGATAACTCAGGTCTGAACAAAGTTACACAATACATCATTTCATTTCCAAGCTACCCTAGGTTATTGCTACCTCCATGAAAGCAATTTCTTCTTCAATCTTTCAACAAACAACCTGATAGATTATCTACTTGGAATAACTTAAGAAACTTCCCGGCTATCGATAAGCGTATTTCGCACAGTTACAAATATCAAAACACATCAGCCATTTCTCTGGCACCAGTCGCTCTCGGATTTCGATCCCATGTAAACAATACAAGCTCTAAACAATGAATGCGTCCTAGCAAAATTGTTCCACGACAATTCAAAACAAACCTAATCGAGATCCAGAAGATCCACGATACTGCATCCAACATCAACACTCGAACCCAGCATAAAGCCCACACAAGCCTAAACACAACCAAATCGAGGAGCAGTGAGAGAGAGAAAGAGAGCAAGGAACTCACCACATTTCCTAATGCTACAACGTTTAGGAACGTGGCGGGGCGCCTGGAAGAAGAGGTTTCGTCGGGATCTTCGTCGGCGAGCAGAGACGCCGCCTGTTTCATCGAATCGGAGAGCTGAGACAACTCATCGATCGCCTCCATCACGACTTGCAAAAGCCCCTCCGCGAATCGAGATCAAAGTAAGAGATCTGGAGGAAGCAGGGAGACACTAGATTAGATCTGACCAGAACCGAAACCGTCGGCTACAGGCGGCTTCTTTTCCCGGCGAGACAAGGGCCGGAAATTCGAATCCGGTCGTGATGTTATTAAGCTAAGATTTTTCGTCCGTCTTCGTTGGGGATTTCCTTAGGGGAAGGCAGAAAAGAGCGAAGACGAGGTCATATAGAGAGGAGGACGTAAGAATCAAAAAGACACGGGACAAGATTCAAATTTCAAAATACTTACAAAAATCCATATCTTTCTGATTTCTCAAGTGCTTCTTCTTTTTTTCTTCGCCTTTTAAATTTTCCACCAAATGTGCTTCTTCTTTTTTTATTTCATTGTCTCTGAGAGAGCTGAGTAAATAACTTTTGTAATAAACTTACGTAAAATCGATACTTGGAGCAAGCGATAGTGTAGTAGAATATCAAACAATTAACATAACATCTATAAACAAATGCACATATGGGTTTAATAACATAATCTTTAAAAGTATACTAAATCAAAAACCTTATATAACGTAGAAAATGATAGTGGGATTGAGAGCTCAAACACCAATACCCTCGTTGATGACCCAAAAAAAGACAAAACAACTTGTTAAATTGAATGACAATGTGCTAAAAGTTGCACTACCTATAAATCTAGAAATCATTTTTTCTTTCTCTCACAATATATTATCATAAATATCTGGATGAGTTTTTTCACTACCTACATGTTCTCTGTCGTTCCAGAATTACACACACACAACAAAAAAATTCTTAAGCTCAATCGGAGTTTGAAAGTAACAACACGTAGGCACAAAACTAATCATGATAGAATTCACAATACCATTAATATGAAGGTTTTTGAAACTTTCACTTCGTTGGGTGACACTCAAATGATCTTCAATGGTGATAAAATCTTTACATATTAATATCATCAGTATACTTGCATTTTCTAATTTCTATACATAAAATAAAGTTTAAATATGTTTACATAATTAATAAGTATACCATGAATTATCTTGACAGAAAAGTAGATCACGATTTTATCTTCTTCTTCTTTAGAAATGCTTGATAAAATGCAACAATCATACTTTCCTCTAAAGCAGAAATTTATACAGTAAAAAACATCAGGATTGGAATATATAGTTAAAGCTTATATATACTCAGAAATTACTAAAAGAATGTAAATTTGATTATTACAATAAAATAAAGGAACAGTTGTTGTATCTTTTCTCTGAAACCCCATAGTTTATTCCTACGAGTGATTTGGTTGAGTAACTAAATACAAAAAAAAATTAAAAAAAAAACATAAAGGTTTCGTATTTTTTTTTTACGATTTTTTAAAAATGTATTATAAAATAAATTATTAAGGTTACTCCAAAAATGAGATAATTTATATAAGTTTGACTAACTATATCCCGAAACAAAATTTAAAAATGAAATGTCGGACCGAAGAGTTGACAAGCACTAAACCACGTCATTATGGAACCTGGGCCCATGGCCCAATAACTTAGAACCTATAGGATCTGCCCACCTGGCAAGATCTGCGCAGTTTGAACTTTGAACTCGTTATGTCCTCAACGTGGAGCTTAAACTCAATTAATCTAATTAAAATACGTGTGAAATCCACTTAATTTTGTTTTTTTTTGGTATAAAATCAACCACACATGGATTCCAACTAGAAACAAAAGACCAGATTTGTTGATGTTTCTTCCTCTCTGCAGCGAATTTAATTTCTGATCTGTTTCACTCATCGTTTCTCTAGCTCTCTCTCTCTCTTTCTCTTTTTTTTTTTATACTCGAAACTGGTTTTCGATTTTTTCAAGATTTCCAGGAGATCCAATCCCAGTCTCTCTTGAGCAGTTCCCATATATTTTTGGATTGCCTTTTCGTTTATTTTTCTTCCCATAATTGTATGATCCTTGGATTTGAACATTTGTAACAAATTAGGGAAAAAAAATCGGGGCTTTGGAAGAAATGAATATTGTTTTGAAACGATCAGATTCTCTTTGAAGCCTGACGGTGTTTCCCTGAAACTTTATTTTTGGGGAACAGTCGAATTTACCCGAGAGATCATCACTGTGGTCTGAGTATCTCGATTTTTTTTGTAAAAAATATGGCGAGAGGAAGAGTGGGAGAGAAAGAGGAAGGGGAAAAGCACATAGGGTTACTAAAACTGGCCCAAACGCTATCGTTTCTGCTCATATTCATGGCCGGAATCATCATCGGCCTCGCCGCAAGCTCCCACATCGATCGATACTTCAATTCGTTGCCGAGGATGTTTTCACACACTACCAATCTACAGACGATTCCGTTTTCGACCCCTGACTACTCCAATTGCACTATCATCCACCGGGATTGCACAGGGGACGACGAGAACGACGACGAGGGAAGAAGGGCCAAGGCGGAGAAACCCAAGGATCGGGATTGCTGGAGCATCGATGGGTTTGTTCGGCCTGAGAATCTGAGCCACGGGATGAGTGACGACGAGCTGTTCTGGAGAGCGTCGATGGTTCCGGTGAAGGATGAGTATCCGTACGACAGGGTTCCGAAGGTGGCGTTCATGTTTCTGACGCGAGGGCCTTTGCCTATGCTTCCGCTCTGGGAGAAGTTTTTCAAAGGCAACGACAAGTACTTGTCGGTCTATGTTCATACGCCTCCGCGATACGACATGAATGTCTCTCGTGACTCACCGTTTTACGACCGGCAGATCCCGAGCCAGGTACGTGTTGTGTCTTACTTATGCTCTTATGTGAATCAGAGCAGAACAAATACTTAAAAGTTTTCACTTTTCACCACTGATTTACCTTTGAATGCAAGAACAGAGTATCGGATAAGTAGATGAGATTTATAGTTGGAAAATTGGGAAATTACGGAAATTAATTGGAAACGCTGATCCAAGATGCTCCGAGCTCGTATCTATTGACACATATTTTTCTCTACCGATTCTCAGGGATCTTTTAGTTTGTAGAAATAAAGGTCATTCTGGATCATGAAGATGTAGATCTTTTGAAGAACCATTTGTAGATCTAATCGTGGCGCTTGGTTACGTATTTAAGAAACTATTCGAGGTTCATTGAGCTACTCTGGTGCATTGTTTGTGTTGGCCATCTGTGTCTTAGGCAGCTTCAGGTGTTATTATGTGGAACATAGCTGATTTTCGAACAAGGATTGGGAACAGTTTGATCCATAGGGCTGAGAGTGAAACTACTTAGTTGTGAACCAGGAACCGAAACCTACTAGTTCATAGAAAAATTATACAAGCTTCTCTTGTTGCTTTGAACCTCTTTTGTTGTAGTAATCTCTTTCATTGTTCCTGGTAAAATTGATTTAAGGCTTCACTTTTTCACGACACTAAAATCACTTTTGTTAGGAAAAAAATTGGTTCTTGAACCTGGTCATATCCCATACTTGCACAAAACCATGTTGGATCATGGATTGTTTTTGTCGTTTTTAAGCTAGATCTCGATGTTTCTAATGTTTTTTCTATACTTTGGTGTTTCAGAAAGTTGCATGGGGATCCGCACTATTGACAGATGCCGAGAAGCGTCTTCTGGCCAACGCATTGCTCGACTTCTCGAACGAACGTTTTGTGCTTCTCTCTGAGAGCTGTGTCCCTGTCTACAACTTCTCAACTGTCTACAGTTACCTAATAAACTCTGCCTACAGTTTTGTGGACTCTTATGACGAGCCAACACGTTATGGCCGTGGCCGTTACAGCCGCAAGATGCTCCCAGACATCAAACTCCACCATTGGCGCAAAGGGTCTCAGTGGTTTGAAGTTAACCGTAAACTCGCCATCTACATCATCTCAGACTCAAAATACTACTCATTGTTCAAACAATTCTGCTTACCAGCTTGTTACCCAGATGAGCATTACATACCGACTTTCTTGAACATGTTTCACGGATCAATGAACGCCAATAGAAGTGTGACATGGGTCGATTGGTCCATAGGCGGTCCGCATCCAGCTACGTATGCTGCGGCTAACATCACAGAAGAGTTTCTTCAATCAATTAGGAAAAACGAGACGGATTGTCTTTACAATGAAGAGCCAACCTCGTTATGCTTCCTTTTCGCTCGGAAGTTCTCTCCTAGTGCCTTAGCTCCTCTTATGAACCTGAGCTCTACAGTCCTGGGGTTTTGAGAAAATAACTGATTTCTTTCTCTTCTTGTTTTTCTACTTTGATAGGGGATGAGATGAGATTCTTCTTCTACGAGATATATACATAGGACCCTCTTCTTTTTTGTTATTAGCTTCCTCTGGTTATCATCTCTTCTTTCTTTGAGGTTTCATAGAGACAAATGTAAAGGTCGAGCCTTTTGTATGTAAGAGTTTTGCTTCTGCCGACCTGCAGAGCTAATCTAGTTATAGATTACCAATACTTTCTTTTTCATCAACTTTTGGAAAAATAGAAATTATACATTTGATCGATTTGCTGATTTTGAATTCCATTACTCTCTATAAGCTTCAGGAGACCTCAACGAACTATACATACAAGTATAAAACAACGAAAGTCAGGGATCGGAAAATAACGTATCAGATTATGATGTCGAACCATAACACAAATAAATACCAGAGTTTGCAAAAATTGCGAACAACAAAGCAAAAGGAAAATTAGGGTGATGGTGCACAAGAACTGGCGAGTTTGTCGAACTAGTTGCTCGATTCAACTACCTTCGTCTCTTCTTCATCTTGCCACCCATGGGAGGACACTGGCTCCTGTTGTTGAGGACGATGACCGTCCACAGAGTTTGACCACGGCGTCTGATTAGCCACCTGTCCTGGCCCGGGATTCGACCACTGTGGCTGCTGATGGCTACCTGTCTGATTAGACCATGGTTGTTGTTGCTGCTGCCCTGTCCACGCTGACTGCTGACCAGCTGTCTGATTAGCCCATGGTTGCTGCTGGCCGGTTGTCTGATTCGCCCACGGTTGCTGCTGGGTGGTTGTCTGATTAGCCCATGGTTGCTGCTGGCCAGCAGTCTGATTAGTCCACGGTCGCTGCTGGTTAGCCCACGGTTGCTGATGACCATTGTTCTGATTAGCCCATGGTTGCTGTTGACCATTGTTCCGATTAGCCCACGGTTGCTGCTGGCCAGTTGTCTGATTATCCCATGGTTGCTGCTGACCTGAAGGACTTGACCACCCCTGTTGCTGAGACCAAGACTGCTGCTGTTGATATCCCGGTGCCTGATTCGACCGTGATGGTGCCTGTTGCCCTGCCGTCTGATTAGACCATGTTTGCTGCTGCTGGTTCACCGAAGTGTTGGACCAAGACGGACTCTGGTTATTATTTTTGTAAGTGCCTCCGGCTGTTTGACCTACACTTCCATTGGCCCAACCTGAATTAGGATGGCTCTCCCATGGGGCCTTCTCTCTAGGCTTATGAGGAGCTGCGAATGCGGTTCCTAACACTGCGGATACACTAGGTGAAGTGTTACCCGATGGCCCAGAGTTTCTAACCGGCCGGGTAACCGAATTCAAGATTTTCTCAATCTCCTCACGACGCCCTGCTTTCTCAAATGTCTCGATGATGAATTCCCGCAGCACAGGAGCAACCCCTACACCATGTCCAACCATCTCACCGATAGTGTCCTTGGCTTGGTCAAGTGCACCACCGTCACAAAGACCTCTAACCACCACATCGTAAATCGAAGGGTCTGGTTTCGGTTCCTTTTCTCCCATCTTAGTCAAAACCTCTGCAGATTCCGTGAGCTTACCATTCTTAATCAGCTCGCCAAAGACCCTCGTGCCGAAATCAGCAACCACCCTTAGATTCACATCAACCATCCTGTTCAACATCTTGAGAGCATCGTCGATTCTCTCTGCCTTGAGATAAGCATCAATCATTGCTCTGTGGCTTGGAGCATCAGGGGGCAAGGATTTGGCTATACTTTCCGCAAAGAACCTTTCAGCCTCTGGTAACATCCCTTGTTCACAGAATCTTGTTACTATGTTACAGTAACCCACATAATCCATCACAAACGCCCTCGAGGTCGGGTTACTCCCAACTTTCTTGAATGTATCAATTGCTTCCGTAAACTGCCCCATCTTGAAACATTCATTTACCATTATACTAATCGTCTCCGAATTCACGGAAAGGATGTTAGGAGGGGTGTGATTATCCAACATCTCATTGAACAGAGCCCAAGCTTCAGTCTTTTTACCATACTTGAGAAAAACTTGCAAAAGTACATTTCCAGTTGGCGGATGCATTCTGAATTTCTTATCTAACAAAGACCTGTACGACTCCATAGCTTCCTTATCCTTACCCTGCTCGAACCAGTACTCCATAAAGGTCGCATTCACAATCCCATCATAAACCGTACACTTGGTTTTCAACTCATCGAAGAACTCGTTGGCCTTATCTAAATCGCCAAGGTCCAAGTACCCTTTTATCAGATTGTTGTACACCATGGAATCCGCAGCTTGGCCTTTGCTCAACATCTCCCTCAATAAACTCGCAGCATCTTTGATCCTTCCAGCTTGAACCAAACCTTTTGTCAAATGTCTGTAAGTAACCGAGGATGGAGCAAAAGGAGCATTTGCCAATATGTGGCGGTACACTTCAAGGGCTTCGTCTACATGCCCTTCGTCACAATGGGCGTTGATGATCTGATTGTAGGAGACGACATTGGGGACGATGTTAGACTGCTTGAAGAAATATTCGAAGAGAGAAATCGATTCACTGTAACGCTTGGCTCGGTACATGGCGGCGATGATGGCGTTGCAGGTGAACACGGTGGGTCGAGTATTGGAAAACACAGACTGGCGAGCGAGCCGTGACGCTGCGTCGAGATCCGATGCTCTGATCAGTGACTGAACTCTGTTGTGCAGGTTAAGCCGTGGGCCGACGAGTGAAGACGTTGAATCCGGAAGCCGTGGCGCGTTGGGATCGCGTTTCGGAGGAGGAGCTGAGGGATCTCTTCGGAGAGCGTGGAGAGGAGGCTCGATCCGGAGCCGGCGTTTGCGACGGCGACGCTCGGCCGCGGCTTCCTCAGCTGATGAGAAAGCCATGGTTCGCTGCGGGATCGGTGGATAGGAAATTGGAGGTGAATGATTCGGAGGAATCTGGAATTGGGAAGTATCATTGGCTGGAAATGATTTAGGGTCTGGGCACGTCTCAGAATCTTTATTGTCAGTGTTCGTCTCCGGATTATCCGGGGAAATTGAGATGTTGTAGAAGCGTTGCTGGATGTGAGAGATCGGAATAGGGCTTCGGCTTGTGGTGGTGGCGGCCGCACGGAGGCGGTGCAAAAGGGGGGAACGACGGAAGAGGTGACAGAGAGACATGGCCGAGGAAAAAGGCTAGGGTTTTAGAGGTAGACGAAGCCGAAACAAGACGATGGCTTAAACCCTTAAAGTGAAATGAAAATGGGATATTTAACGACAAACAACCAAAGAAACAATAAATGAACTGGGTTTTGATTTTATTTGTTAATTAATTTGCAAATACATATATATATTTTTTTTTTTATTTATTGCAAATTAAATTAAAATAATTTTTATCATTTTTACTTATTCCTAGATAGATGATTGGCACGCATGTGCGGAAAAAACCAATCACTTCACTATATTTAGAATAGATAAAAGTTTTTTAAAAATTATAAATTGTATAATAATTAAAATAAAAATTAGACTGTAATCAATCTTAACAAAATACATGCACGGAAAAGTTCGCATATGACTTCAACTAATATACAATTAATATTTATGTATGTACGCGTATTTTAAAAAAAAATTGAAATATAACTCTTACGTGTTAAAAAGTTTTTAAATGACTTTGTAAAACAAAGTGCGAGAGAATTATTTTTATATACTTTTATTTTTATTTTTTATTCATATTGTTTCATCTTATTATAATTTATTCTTTTATTCAGTTATTTTTTATTTCATTTATGATCTCATAATTTTGATATACAATTAAAATAAATTTTTATATATATATATGATATGAAATTTTATTTTTATTTATAATATGATAAGAGATCAGATGAGATGGTAACATAAGTTATGTATATTTTAAAAAACAACAATAAAAAGATGATAAAAGTTATAGACAAATATATGGTCTTATTAATATTATAAAATACTAATTAGTATATACTTTATTCATTTAGTAAATATTGGTTTGAAAAGAAAAATTATTTAAAATTACGTTTTTAAAAAAAGTTCAATAAAAATTAATTATTTTTTTATTATTTTTAACATTTTATTCTTTAAATTATTTTTATCATGATTGTATTTTATTTAAAATTGTATTATTTAATAATTTGTTTATTTAAAACTTGTTATATGTTATTAATATATTATGTAAATTAATAATTTTCCGAAATAAAAATATATCACACTTCAAGTATTATTAATAAATAGAATTTTTACTATTCTATTGGATAATTTAGTATTATAATTTCGTTTTATATGAAATTGTATATATATATATATTGTTGAAAAATATTTGTAATTATATTTTATGAAATTATGAATATATGTAAAAAATTGAAATTATAATAAATTTTATTTTCTGTTAAATTAATTTTTTAATTTTAGTGTTATAAATGTAATCTAGTTTATTTATGTTTTCATTCCATAATTTCTATAATTTTAATTCAACCATCAAAACATTTCGTTTATTTTAGAAAGTTTGACATGTCACATTTACATGTCATCAATTAAAAATACTAATTTTGGCTGTAGTGTTGACAAATCAGTTATTTTCAATAATGTTATTTTTCAAATATTATGTAGTGGATATCTATCTTTTTACAAACTTGCCATTTAGTGTTTAATTTTTAATTAATTGATTGATTAATAGATTGAAATTATTACAGATGTGAGAACAATTTACTTTGTACAGTAAAACCTCTATAAACTAATAATGTTGGAACTCTCAAATTTTATTAATTTATAGAGTTATTAATTAATCGATAAATTAATAATTATTAATTTATCAATAAATTAATATTTTATTAATTTATAGAGATATTTTGAGTTTGAATTTTTAATATTTATCAGAAAAACAAAATTAATATTTTTAACAATATAAAATTCATTCAAAAATATCATAATAATAAATTTAGAAGATAAATCAAACAAATTTTATAAACTTGAAACAATAATATTATCATAGTTTACTATATTATATTATTATTATAATTTCGAAAAAAGTATTATCTTACTATCTTATCGAATTTTGATAATTTTTACACTGGCCTGACTTTGGACCGGCAAAAATTATTAATTTATAGTGATTATTAATTTATCGAGTATTAATTTATAGAAGTTCTACTATATATACTCTTATGTTATGTTTTGGTATTTTCTCTTTATCCAAATCTCTATTTTAATTCCATCATAATTTTTCGTATGTAAAGATAATAATAATAATTTTATATGTTTTTTGGGCGAACGAATTCTTCATATGCTAACCGTGTTTTTTGGCCAACGGATTTTTCAAATGCTAACCATTCTCTTCTTCTTTGGCTCTTTTCATTTGTTCTTGAACCAATTCATCGGTCTTAATTTTACTATACTTAAATGCGTTTGCAAACCTCTAATAAATAGATAGGAGAAAATCAAATAAATACATCTGAGAGTTAATGATGCTAGATTCAAATTGGAAAGTTCCTGGAAAAATATTTGTGAACGTTTTTTAACCGTAGTTTTTTTCTATTTCTAAATCAATCTGTCTTTTTTTACCAAAAAAAAAAATCCATTTGGTTTTTTTCTGTTATTTTAAAATGTGCACACGTAGATTTTCTTTTAATAATCTTATAATTTCCTTGAGTAAAAAATCTCTCTCATTCTTCATATTACCATTGTTTTCTATCTGAACGAATAACACAAACCCAAAAAATTCTGATAATTGTTGACTTGTCTCGTCTCCATAATATGGGAAGACCAAACAAAACAAAATTCACACTAAGGACCGCTAATGTTGCTTACTTCCTGCATGTATGTTGTAGTTGTCCTTTCCAATAGATTCAATGTAGCTGCTTTCTCTCGGAATTTGAAGCATCCATTTCAGTAATGAAATAACCAATTGACTTAGCAAAAAGATAGTAAAAACAACTATTAAAATAAGGAGTAATAATATCTTTGACCAGAGCCACGTTGGAAGTATAAACCTTGTGAGAGAAGGTAAGAACGGCCTAAAGTATAAACCTTGTGAGAGAAGGTATGAGATTGACTCTCTGAACTCACTGACATCCTTCAATCTAGAGTACAACATCTATAACACTAATATAACTGAAATGAATTTATACAAAACAGAACAGATGATTAAACTGAATTTTATCAAACTTTGACCAATTTACCAAAGTTGTTTGTATTAGTAATTACTATGCTAATCCTTGTATCCATTGAACTTAGACCTAAAATAAAATATTAGGTAAGAAATGTTAAGCAAAAAAATAACCAAACACAAAGCAAAGATGTAAATTAACACACACAATACCTCAAAATTAATCATGATGCGCATACTTTCTTTTCAGGGGCCACAGTATATATCAATGCTCGCTCGGACTTGCTGAGGTAGAACGCTCAATCCAAAGTCAGACAATTTCAGAGCACCATTTGCATCCAAAAGCAAATTCTCTGGCTGCAACAAGAAGGTGCAACTCGCTTTAAGGTCTCTGACATCGACTCATTCACAAGAACTCAATGCTAAGACCACAAATTAAGAAACCTGAACCTTAAGGTCTCTGTGATAAACTCCTCTGCTATGGCAATAGTCCACAACATTAATAAACCGTTGGAAGTACTTCCTCGCTTCATCTTCCTTTAATCTTGCATTGCTTGACTAATACATATGACAATTCTCAGAGAATCAAGTCTTCACTCGTGATGATCTCATTACTATATAAGTAAAACCATATATTCAATGGGATTGAAAGCTTACAATTTTATCGAAAAGCGCTCCACTAGTAATGAACTTCAAAACAAAGTAGATCTTAATTTTTCTTGCCATCACCTGAAGAAGAGAGAATCAGTGAAACTACAAAGATAACCAAAAGCAATACCATATGATTGTCCAGGGACCACACCTTTAAACGAATCTTAAATTATTATAGAAATATCGAACAACAGAAACAATTAAACTTATAGATTCTAAACATGCAAGCAGCAAGTACAAAAAAGAAAGAAAGTTTTTACACATCGAATCAAAATGTTCTAACTGATGTGATTAAAAAGCACCGGATTTGCTCAACTCGTTTACATTCCTTACGTCCCTGTCTTCGTCTCTTCTCCGTCATTGATCTCTCCTGCATCAGCAGCATTATTTTCCTTATTGAACTTATTAATTGAATTCTTTATCAAATTAGGATTCGCTTCTTTTGTAACAGCATGTTTGAGATTGTCGTAGAATAATGGGTTCGTAATTTTCTTAATTGGATCGACTGGGTTTCATGATTTAGATCGATTTGATATGTAGAAAACAGAAAAAGGTTGCACATTGCAGGAATTTGCGTTATTTCTTCAGTGAGTTCTAAATTTGAAATTTTTGATTTGGTGTACAAATACTTCGTTTCGAAAGATGTATCCTAAAATTTGATCAAACTGTCGAATATCCCCAGTAAGTGTACACCTGTATATCTTAACCTAGTGGCTAGTGGTGTAGATATACTCTATATCAGATTTATGAATGAAAAGGAATTATAGTTGACTTTGAATGTAAGAGAGTCGGTCTGTAACACTAACTTCACTTTGGATAACGTAAAAATCTATGTGCTGGATTTTACCGGCTGTTTTAATTGGGTTTTGTTTTATTTTTAGGCCATATATAATCGAGATGTAATAGCAAATAGACGACAAAATAAAAAAATCTTAGCTATGAAAAGATATAAAATACAGTGGTAAAATGTGTATCCATATACATTTACCCTGTATTAGCCAATAGCCAATGCGAAATTTTGTTTAAAACGTTTAGACAAAATGCATTTTTCTTCTATTTGTCGTTTCACATCAAGTAATTTGTTCACTCTTAATTGATACCAAAACATACCAGACATTTTAATTATACAAGTTATCAACCTTTTGTTAGCTTTATTCTTTATTATATGCCAATAATTAAACTGTTAATTAAACATGAGCTTTGATTACTTGTCAATACAATGCTAACATTATTTTTTGACAAAAAACGGGTGTGAGATTGAACCCCCGACCTCTATGAGAATTGGACAGACGTTGTGCCAGCGGAGCTAGTGAAGCAACAAGGTGGGTTTTTCGATTTATGACAACAGCGACAAAACTTATATCACTCACTCAGAAGTTGAGTTAATTAATTAGTGTGTTGTAAATTTCGAAACTCCGACTTCTCGGGTTTGAAGGATCGAACCTGTGATCTTCGAGACAATTGGAGAACCGTTTGACAGCAGAGCTAAGTAGGTTATTCAATTAAATATGAGCTTTGATTACTTGTCAATACAATGCTAACATTTTTTTTTGACAAAAAACGGGTGTGAGATTGAACCCCCGACCTCTATGAGAATTGGACAGACGTTGTGCCAGCGGAGCTAGTGGAGCAACAAGGTGGGTTTTTCGATTTATGACAACAGCGACAAAACTTATATCACTCACTCAGATGTTGAGTTAATTAATTAGTGTGTTGTGAATTTCGAAACTCCGATCTCTCGGGTTTGAAGGATCAAACCTGTGACCTTCGAGACAATTGGAGAGCCGTTTGACAGCAGAGCTAAGTAGGTTATTCAATTAAACATGAGCTTTGATTACTTGTCAATATAATGCTAACATTATTTTTTGACAAAAAACGGGTGTGAGATTGAACCCCCGACCTCTATAAGAATTGGACAGACGTTGTGCCAGCGGAGCTAGTGGAGCAACAAAGTGGGTTTTTCGATTTATGACAACAGCGACAAAACTTATATCACTCACTCAGATGTTGAGTTAATTAATTAGTGTGTTGTGAATTTCGAAACTCCGACCTCTCGGGTTTAAAGGATCGAACCTGTGACCTTCGAGACAATTGGAGAGCCGTTTGACAGCAGAGCTAAGTAGGTTATTCAATTAATTTTACAACAGGTAAAGATGTATATTAGAATAAGTTGTTGACTTAATTAACTGAGTCCAGATTTTAAAAAGTGGGTTTAATATCTCTTAATGCTTTTGCTTCCAACAAATAAATTAATGATAACTTTTTCTCCAAGTCTTCTAATCTTCTCCATAAATTAGTGATAACTTTTATTTGCTAAAGTCTTTTAATCTTTTCTATAAACTAGTGATAATTTCTTTAACCATTTTCGAATAGAGTGTTTACACTATTCATAATAATTGTCATAACAATAAGATACATAATTGATCATTTCAGTAAGATAACTCAAAATTTTGTTTAACGTAATGGGCATCAAGATTTAATAGGATAGAATTATGTACTTTTTAAATTCTTTTTAACCAAAATTTTGCACAAGTTTTGAAAAAATGACTTTAACTAAACATATTAACGAGAATGAAGCTTCGTAGAATAAAATATTGTGTTACTCATTTAACAAATAATCAAATTATATGGTAACAATGTTAATATAATTACATGGTAACAACGTCTCTACTACTATTTGTTTAATATAAATTGTTACTTAATCCGATAAAAAAGAAATATTATTTAAACCTAAAAGAATATAGTGAAAGAATATTTCCTAAGACGGTTTAAGACGGAAAAATAAAGGGACTATGACGAATATTCCCGAGAAACAATGTCTTAAACTATAAGAAAAAAATTATTCTACAAATAGCAAAGAAAAAAAGCAAAGTGACTGACAAATATTTCCCATGAAACAATGTCTTCTTAGAACACAAAAAAAGTTTATATGCTGTCGAGCCATTTCAGAGCTTCATAGAGTCCTTAGCTGGTATTTGCCCATCCAGTTTGACTATGCCTGAAAATTTCAAATGTAATATAAGTATACAATAATAGGAATTAGTAAATAGTGAAGGTGATCATCATAGAGTTATAAAATCACCAGTGGCGTTGTGGGATAAGCTTCATGGTTCGCTACAATCCTCCTGATTATGGTGGAAGTTGTGATATCAAGAGGGCTTTCCAGAATCTGGAAGATTCCCATGGTTTTTGGTACAGCATACAGATTATCTTCCTCCTGTGAAATCACCAACCACATTCTCAGAAAATACAACTCTTTGTCTTTTACCTTAATATATACACGTTTACTCATATCTGAATCTCGTTTTACCTTTTGAAAATTACCGCTCTCAGCTACTGTCCCATGAACCACCAACGAAATGTCACATGACGTGATCTGCAATACCCAAATCATTGTCAATATATACATTTTCATGAAAGCTATTTAGGCATGCCAGAACATTTAAACTCCTATCATGCAGATTCATGATTGGACGATGCGCACCTCTTTTAGCACTGCACAGTGATGTATAACAAGCACAATTTGGTCAGACGAGTTTAAGCAGAGATAGATTTTAAGCTTACCAATACAAGCATTAATAAATAGAGCTTTTTTCAACCTGACAGTCTGGTAATCATGTATTCCAACAAGAAGGAAGCCTCTAAGCTCTCAAGCACGCCTAAGAATCTGTACGAGTTGAGTAAATCAAGAACAATAATCAATATTGGCCGAAGTAATCTGGATAACATAAAGATTTGAAATTTTTGTTTTATCAACTAACTTGCTATACCTCAACATGTCCAGCATGGAAAAGATCAAAAGCCCCATCTATGTAAATAATGCGTGCATCAGGTCCTGGCCCCTGTCAATCCCTGATACAAAATGATATCAAAATTTGGGGGAAAAGTGAATATACTTGTTCAGAGCAAGATATCAAAACAACTAAGCTCAGAGCCACTTGCATAGCTATTGGAAATCAAGGGTAAGATAACTGACAGAAACACAAATACGCAATACGTAAACTTGAGGAGAGGACACTCTTCAGGACTTGCATACCTTGCCATTAGAGGACTGAACAATCCTGCAGGAAGTAGGAAGGAAATGCGAGACGCGAGTATCAGCAGAAGAACCTCTGTCCTCAAATTTTGGGCTGTTATGCCCATGACTGAATTGCCTCTGCGGAGAGGAAAGCCCCAACTTTATGTTTAATTGTTGATCCTGAAATGCCAAAAAAACAACAATGATCACACCAAACTCACGTTTCTGCTCTGTTCCTAAAAAATATTCCTTTTCCGATTTCTTCTAACACCAAAAAATTAGATCAATCGCATATAAAACCGAATCAGTCTACACGATCAAAGGGAGCAAGCAAATTACCTTTTTCTTCTTCTGGACCAAACAAAACGAAATCTTTGGCCTGACCGAAGTTGGACTTAACCTAACTGGGTTTCGGTCAGGCCAAAGATTTCGTTTTGTTTGGTCCAGAAGAAGAAAACGGTAAACTCGCTGACCCGTGATCTGTCTTCACGTAAACTCGCTGGCGAATGATGCTTCTGGGCCGATCTTTGAAAAAAAATTCTATTTTTGTTGTCCATACTTTACGCGTTCCTCGTCGATGGAGGCGAAATGTCACGGCCCAATCCGCACAACATCTATTTGGGCCGGACTAGCGAGTAACTACATGAGGTTATCATCTTGGACGACTTTAGAAGATTTGATGGCATTTATAAGGATAGAAGCAATCCCTAAGAATCTGCTTAGTCAACCCATCAATCCCTACAAATCCGCCCAAATCCCTACAAATCCGCCCTCATTAGTTACTGATTTTGTAATTAAGGCCATATCTTCAATATTGGCCCTTAGATCAAGTTGATCCTCACCATCCATCTTGGAGGTGTTTTTGTATAAATAGGGGTGGGATCCCTCATTTGTAATCATCCACTCATTCTTGAATAAGAGAGCTATTCAAGCATTTTCCTTCTTTCTTTCAAAGTTCTTTCCTAAAGAGTTAGGTTCTTCTTTGTGAGACAGGCTGCCTAGTCTATTTGCAGAGGCAAAGAGAGGCTAGGGCCGCACGGAATTGATCCCAAATATCAAGTCCGTGACAGAAAGCCATCTTCCTCCTTCTTTCTTGAGAAGAAAAGAAGACGAACAGTTGATAGGAGAGTGTCCAAGAGCAAGAGGACTTTGAAATACCGTCGGAAGTACGTCTGGAATACCGGTGAGTTCCTGGTATCTTTTCAGGCATTCCTCGGTCGTACTTCCGGCGGTATCGCTTCTGAAGTCCTCTTGCTCTTGGACACTCTCCGATCAATGGTCTTTAGAGCAATTGCAGAAAAAAAAACCAAAAGAAAATCGATTTCAACAAAAAGGTAGAAAAACAGCAAATTTTTAGGAAAAAAATGTGGGGATTTAGGGATGGAGAAAACCCTCAAATCCATCCCTAAATCCCCAATTTGAGACACTTCTTTCTGGTTTGCTGTTCTTCTCCCTTTTCGTTGAAATCGATTTCCTTTTTGTCTTTTACAAAAAAGTGTCTCAAATTGTTTTTCCAAAAAACAATGAATTGAGAGATATTTGAAAAGTAATTTTATATTTTTACAGAGGTCGAAGAAAGCCAACTTAAAACGGCGTGGTATTGTCAAATGGGATGTTTGGCAATACGTGTAATAGTAATCTACAGACGAGTAGAGAAGGCGTAAGATAACAAGGTGCGCAGGAGAAACAAAGGGATTGTTGTCATCTCCCTGCGCAAATTAGGGCTTCTCCTTCGCAAGACTGTGTTCGTCACTCTAGCTTAAATCAGTACTCTCTCTCTCTCTCTATCTTTGCAACTTCTCTGTCTATTTTCTTGTCGCATTTGTATCAACAGAACACTATTTTAAATAGATGAAAAAAATTGGATTTTCGGATCATGCGAGTCTTAATTTATATTCTTCTGTTGAATTCAACTTTTCGAAAACTGTGATTTTCGAGCTTTAAAATTCCTTCGGAAATTTTGAAACCCAACTTGCTTGTTTTGATTTATGGTGATGGCCATCCCAAATGTGCTTGATTTTTTCTTTCGAATTGAAAACTTCAAAATCTCTAACTACTTTGATGTTCCCCTCTTTATGTGAGATTTTTGGATTCTGAAACTTTTAGCTTCGTGCGCATGAGTTAAATATAAAAATTGTTATCTATGTGGCAGTGGCATCGTTTCTTCCTAGTGTATTGAATTGTGTTTACGACTTTCTTGTTATGAGTAGATTTTAAACTTAGATGACTCTGTCAACGGGCTATTATAATAGCTGTTGTGTCATGTATCAGCTTCCTGTACCACAAGGCGATAACTTTATTCGAATCCATAGTCATCTTTAAACATTTATATAGCATTTTCGTTGGAGATTACCCGGTTTATGGCATCTTTGAAAATGGATTATTTTTCACTTCTATGATGAGATAATTGGTTGTAAATAGATGTTTTTACCCAAAGAGATGTTTTTGCCCAATGCATCTTGGTACATACTCAAGATGGTAATGTTGCAGAAGTAAAATTTAAGATAACAATTCTTGATGTTATGTGCTTGGCAGGCAATATTACTGACCTACGAGTGCTGAATATACGCGAGGAGCAAAAAATGTCGGATGATGCTGGACAGATGTTGCTCATCTATGATGATCCCTCAGATCATCGGTCTCTGTCTTTGGACGATGCTAGTAGTACCGAGGAATCTCCAGACGGGAACAGCCTCTCTTTAGAAGCAATGAACGATGCGATTCCATATATAGGACAAAGATTCCTCACACATGATGCGGCTTACGAGTTCTACAGTACATTTGCCAAGCGGGGCGGGTTCTCAATACGTCGTCACAGGACAGAAGGAAAAGATGGAGTTGGCAAGGGACTTACCAGGCGGTACTTTGTTTGCCATCGCGCTGGTAACACACCCGTCAAAACTCAAAGTGAAGGCAAACCACAGAGGAACAGGAGATCATCTCGGTGTGGGTGTCAAGCATACTTGAGGATTAGTAAAATTACGGAGTTAGGTTCAACGGAATGGCGTGTTACAGGTTTCGCTGATCACCACAATCACCCTCTCCTAGAACCAAACCAAGTTCGTTTCCTTCCTGCATACAGGTCCATATCAGATGCAGATAAAAGCCGGATTCTAATGTTTTCCAAGACGGGGATATCAGTTCAGCAGATGATGAGGCTCATGGAGCTTGAGAAGTGTGTCGAGCCTGGCTTTTTACCATTCACCGAAAAGGATGTCAGGAACTTGCTTCAGTCATTCAAGAAACTTGATCCTGAGGATGAGAACATCGATTTCCTGAGGATGTGCCAGAGCATAAAGGAGAAAGACCCTAACTTTAAGTTCGAGTTCACGCTAGATGCAAACGATAAGTTGGAAAATATTGCCTGGTCGTATGCTTCTTCCATCCAGTCATATGAAATCTTTGGAGATGCTGTAGTTTTCGATACAACACATCGCCTTAGTGCAGTCGAGATGCCGCTTGGAATATGGGTTGGAGTTAACAACTACGGTGTGCCTTGCTTCTTCGGCTGTGTACTTCTGCGGGATGAAAATTTGAGATCGTGGTCGTGGGCATTACAGGTAATAAAATGGCACATGAAAGTAATCAACTTATTTTTCCACTTACTCCTCTGTAAACGCTTCTATGTTGAAAGAAACAATCCATTTCGCTTCTATCTGACATTCGTTTATCTTTGTCTCGTGCGGAAGGCTTTCGTAGGGTTCATGAATGGGAAGGCGCCTCAAACGATACTGACAGACCATAATATGTGTCTCAAAGAAGCCATAGATGGAGAGATGCCAAGCACTAAGCACGCACTCTGCATATGGATGGTTGTTGGAAAGTTTCCATCCTGGTTTAATGCTGGTCTTGGAGAGCGTTACAACGACTGGAAAGCTGAGTTCTATCGCCTCTACCACCTGGAATCAGTCGAGGAGTTCGAGATGGGTTGGAGAGACATGGTGAACTCTTTTGGACTGCACACAAACAGACACATAAATAACTTGTATGCCTCACGTTCTTTGTGGTCTTTACCATACCTGAGGAGCCACTTTTTAGCTGGAATGACTTTGACTGGCCGATCCAAAGCCATTAATGCCTTTATTCAGAGATTCTTGAGCGCACAAACCAGGCTCGCTCACTTTGTAGAACAAGTACGTTTTCTTATCCTGTAACAGTGTTTATTCATTGCTGATCTAGATGATAACTTTCTGAATTGGAACTGAATTCTCACAGTAAGATGAAGGATATGGATAGTAAAGTGAGCTATTTCAAGCTCTTAGGCCTTTTCTATTTATTCCATAGGGTTTATGCGTTTTATCTTATGAAATTGTATTTTAAAACGTGTTGTGTTTGCTATATTGCTTATTTGAGTTACGGGTGAATATGTGTAGGTGGCTGTTGCTGTGGATTTCAAAGACCAAGCCACAGAACAGCAAACAATGCAGCAGAACCTCCAAAACATCAGCCTGAAAACCGGCGCCCCCATGGAATCTCACGCAGCGTCAGTGCTCACTCCTTTCGCATTCTCAAAGCTCCAAGAGCAGCTTGTGCTTGCAGCTCACTACGCATCGTTCCAGATGGAGGACGGGTATCTCGTGAGGCACCACACAAAACTCGATGGAGGAAGAAAAGTCTATTGGGTCCCTCAAGAAGGCATCATAAGCTGCAGTTGCCAGCTCTTTGAGTTCTCTGGGTTCCTCTGCAGGCACGCACTCCGTGTTCTCTCGACCGGAAACTGTTTCCAAGTCCCGGACAGGTACCTTCCTCTGAGGTGGCGCAGGATCAGTACATCTTTTAGCAAGACGTTCAGAAGTAACGCTGAGGATCATGGAGAAAGAGTTCAGTTTCTGCAGAATCTGGTTTCTACACTAGTCTCGGAATCATCTAAATCAAAAGAGAGGCTAGAGATTGCAACAGAGCAAACCTCCATCCTCTTATCACGCATCAGAGAGCAGCCTATCTCTTCACTTACTCTCCGAGACATATCTTCTGTGCAGAGACATTTTTGATACCGCAATGCGGATGTGTGTCTAGCGATTGTTAGATAGGATTATTACCACAGTTGAGGCAAGAAGTGATTAATTGCAACGGTGCAAGTAAATAAGAATGGCTTGAGAGAAGCTTAGCTGATGTTATGAGCAAAATATTTTGTATTTAGCTGTTTTCATACTAAGATATTTTCTTCGATTATTTGAGAAGGTTGTTGTAGAAGAGAGATCCCAACACTAGCTACGAAGAAAACGAAAAAGCAGAGTGTAGAGAGCTCGTCAAAATATTGAATATTTTTCATTTCACTGTAAAACAATTTTTTATATCACTCTCCAGCCGTAACGTACCATCATTTCCTTAGAGAAAACCCAACGTGGGTATAATAAACAAATATGAAATAGTATAGGTTGTCCAAATACACAAGTAAGCGAAATTCCAAAGCCAAAAAAATCCCATTTATGTATATGATCAACTCGATGAAATTTGTACATAATTGAATCAACAAAAAAGGACCACGACCAAGAAAACCATCTGTCTGAATAATTACATAGTATCGTTTAGAAGTGAGGGAAAAAAAAAGAAGAGGTTACAGATCTTTCTGTTTCATAATTAACAACTATGAACAAAACAAAAAATGAAGGATAATGTCAGATGAAAAGAATAAAAGAACTTTCACGAAAAGAAAGAAAAAAATTCAATGTTTCGTCACCGCGTTTTTCCATGAGCAGCCAGATGGTCACGAGACGTTTTCTGGTTAAACGATGCTTTGTTGTCGATATTCGATTTCTTCTTATTATTTTTGGTCTCGTATTTTGACCCTCTGTTTCTGCTCTGTTCCTTGATCATTGGAACTAAGTACCAAACGATACAAGTGCACAAGATCGAGACTGTTCGTCCGAAGAACACCAAGAAGATTAGAACCAATATCGCTGTCACGGGCAAGAAATGGTTCGGTCTTGAAATCTTCTTCAGATTCTCGTTCAATATACAGCTCTGTTTTTGCTCTGTTTCTGACTCTGTTTTCTTTATTTCTTTCTCTTCCTCTGTTTTTGTTTCGTTATTGACCTTGAAATCATCTTGAGCATTCTCCTTCTTACCTGCCTTCTTTGTCTTGATCATGATAGGGACGCATTCGCCGGAGCTTTTGAACACAAATCGAACAAGAGGCGGCCCATCTGAGTCGAGCCTCTTTGCGTAAATGCTCTGTCTCTTCTCATCCAGCTCAGAGAGAAGTGCAGAGAACTTGTCGAGTCCGCGATTTGAATAAGGGTTCTTGCTTTCTTTGCTTCCTTTCCTCGATCTCTTTGGTGAAGAAAAGAGACTAACCATTTTGATTCGATTGATAAATGAGATCCTCTGGGTTTTTTTGTTGTTCTTACTGGTTCTTCGTGTGAGGATAGGTTGTGAGAATTAGATAGATTGAAGGTTTTTTGGTTATGGAGGAGTTGTCAGGATTTAGTATTCGGACAAGAGAGACGGCTTTATTGTTATCATTATGAGACTTGTCTTAAATATTAATACTGTGATTTTTTCGGATAAACAAATAGATTGGTGATTTGACCAGATCTCATTAAATGTTACAAATTGATCGGATCACGTATTTTAGACACTTTTTTTTTTTCCTGGGACGAATAGAAGATATAGTTTCAACACATAATATACGTCATCGCAGATGTATTTTGGCTGATCTTGCTGACTTTCTTGCGGGAGAAGCAAGAATTTTTTTCCATGATGGTGTAATCGTTTTTTTTGTGTGTGTTTATCACTAGTGATTGTTAATTTTGACTGAAAACAAAAAGATAAGAATTTCACCCATAGTCTACTTGGGATATTATTTTTTATTGAAATTTTGGTTGGGTTCAAATAATTTGGATCTAAATGCCATTTTATGAGAGAAAGTGGATTTTCAAAGACAAAACATAATCAAACCAATATAAGCAACAAATCACGCGTTGAAGATAGCAAATCATGTGATATAGGAGGGTAACAATTCTTTCAACTCGTCTAGGACTTTGAGGATAACATAGACTGATGTTTGGTTTATATTCGGTAAATTAGGTTGCAACGACCTAGTCCCTTTTCTTCTATTCGATCATATGAATGTGAAATGAAATCACATGAACAGATCAAGCATTTTTGTCGAAAATAAAAAATGCACCAATCTTTAGAGTTTAAAGCATTTCCAAACTGAAAACAGCTTTAAAGGCTTTTGAATTTTTGAGGAAGGTTCAAGTAAATGAAGACTTTCGTAATACGCAAAACCCCATTGCCTTATCGAATTTGATTTATGACGAGCCTTGGATTACATCAGAGGGTTCGAAGTTCTGAAAGAAACAAACAAGCAGAGAAACAGAGCTCTCTCTATGTACATATGTTACAGTCTTACAGGCACACTTTAAGCTTGTAATAAAAAAAAAGAACACAGCTTCCATGGCATCACGACTCGCTTAAACTACAAGTTATTCTTCTTCTGCATCAAGACTATATAGACAAGACAACATGATGAGAATTAGACATAAGTAGAAGAAGACCTCTGTACAAATTACCTGTAGAAGACTTGCGGTCAGAGCTCAGTGTTTAAGGCTGAAGCTTGTGGGTGGTAATGAAGCATCTCATTCCACATCATATCTCTTATCATCTCCTCTCCCAAATCCTCATCTACATCGAGATCAACAGGAACTTGAGCCGGAGGGTTTGCATTGGGATCATATAGAGGCGCCATGTAAGGATGCTGAAGCGCTTCGGTGACACTAATCCTCTTGGACGGGTCAAAAACAAGCATCTTCTGAAGAAGGTCGATGGCCAAAACATGAGCGTTCGGGTAAATCCGGGAGAAAGACATCCCTGGTGAGTACGGGAGCGATCTGATGTATCGTTTGGCTTTCGGGTTATCGATAAACTCAAGATCTTCTTCTCTCTGGCTTCCGAGAATGTTGACAATGAGTTTGAGTTGGTTCAGGCATTCTGTTCCTTGGAAAATGGGTTTTCTACCGAGAAGCTCGGCGAAAATGCAACCCACGGACCAAACATCAATGGATGTTCCGTAGTTGTCACAGCAGAGGAGAAGCTCGGGGGCTCTGTACCAACGAGTCACAACGTATTCAGTCATGAACTGACCCTTGGTGTTGCTCGCCCGCGCAAGCCCGAAATCGCATATTTTCAAGTCGCAGTTTGCGTTGACAAGGAGGTTACCAGGTTTTAAATCTCGGTGCAGGATGTTGGCTGAGTGAATGTACTTGAGCCCTCGAAGCAACTACACAAAAAGAACAAAGCAAAGTGAAACTTGAGCATAAAGCAAGATACATACACAAAGCTAGAACCAACATTCTCAAATGAGATCCATGTGTTGACATAGGCTTCAATGAACAGACATAAACAAAGGTGAGAGGGATCAATCACGTAACCTGGAACAAGAAGTACTGGCAGTGATCATTACTAAGAGATTGAGAAGACTTGATAATCTGGTGGAGATCTGTGTCCATTAGCTCATAAACAAGGTACACATCCTTGAAGCTCCTCTTATGAACTGGCATCATGACATCTTTCAAAGCAATCACATTCTCATGTCTGAGATGGCGTAGAAGCTTGAGCTCCCGAAGAGTCCTCAAAGAATCGATCCGGTTCTCATAGACATTGTGAATCTTCTTGATGGCCACTTTCTCGTTGTTATCAGTGTTGACAGAGGAGCAGACCACACCATATGCTCCACGGCCAATCGGTTTGATTGGTGTGTATTTAATGTCGATCTCGAACAGATTTTGCCACATCGAGAAGTAATGCTTCCCTTCGTTCCTAATCCCGTTAGGAGGATCAACCGGAGTGGCCATTCTGTGTTCTTCCTCTTCATCACAATTCACAATCAAGTAATCAAATCGACACACATAAGAATCTAGCTTTTTCACAACTATTTTATCCAAAACGCTTATTATTCCACTTGAAAAGGTTGTCAAACATATTCGTAAAACTGAACAACAAATAACAGAAATTTAGCAAAATTCGGAATTGATTTTGTTATATTTAACAGAAATTTTGATTTTGTTTATCTGTAAGATTTCTTGTGCAGATAGATTGTTCCGTTGATAGTGAAAAACGAAAAGATCAAATCTTAAGCTTGACTCCTCTTGATCTTATGGGTTATAAAGTCAGACTTCATCTGTGCATATAACTATGGAAATATATAAAGAAAATAATGTTTTCATCTCTCGAGTGCATACATAGTTTAGCTTCAGCTATCTACACAAAAAAGATACGAAACCAACAAAAATGAAGTTTTGACGATTATGTGAAGGACCTTGAAAGATCGGAATGTGAAAAGAAAGTTTACCGGAAAAAAGGGGACAGACGATGAGCAGGCGGAGATCGCCGGAAAGAGTGAGTTAGATAAGGCCGGAGAGAGAGAAATAGTTGAGATTCGGAAGGTGGAAGTGAGAGATTTGGTCAACGTTCTGACAGTTGACTCGCTTGTTCGTTCGTTACCTTTTGGAGGATAGTGGTGATCTCTCCGTGATCTTGTCTTTTTATTTGGGCTTAAGTTTAGCCCAAACCGATTAGGATATTTAAATTGGGTTCAGTAATATAGTATTCGTATTGTTTTGATGGTAATTCATCACCAAACTAGCATCATCGTGTAATTGGTGAAATGTGTGTCCTATTAATCTCATCTATTTTATTTATTTTTTTCTCATTTTTCAACAATATGTTGGGATAATTTGACGACGATACTGTTTTTGCTTTACATAGGAAAACGAGAGAAGAAAATAGAAGAAAAGAGTCAAAAATTTCCATAAAGTAAGATAATATAATATAAGAGAGGAGGCCCATGCAGGCAAAAGGGGAAGGCCCATCAATCTAAAAACAGTATGAATGTTAAAGAATTGGTGGTAGTCTGTTTAACAAATAGAATAACGTTAGGTTATTGTGATTATATAAAGATGTTAGGTATCATTATGATCACTCATTCCCTTCAACCAATTATGTCAATATAACAGCTCATCAAAAGCCTTTATGTAAAGCATGTTTCAGATATTTTTGATATATAAACAATTGAACACAGTATATAAAAAAGTGTATTTAGAGATTTCCAACGAATTCACCATAACCAATACAGCTCTTAATCATTATCTAAAACCAGACAAAGATTCTTTCCAGTTGTTTCCTCTTTTCTTAGTTTTCTTGCTCCTTTGCTCAAACCCAAGAGAGTAAAAGTAAAACTAATTTTACAGCCACTTGACAAAATATTGAGCCAGTGTCTCTCACTGTTAAAAAATGGTGTAAATGTTAAGCATCATCAAGCCATCGCATGTGATATACCAAACTATCTAAAATGGATTTAAAATCAACTGAGTTAAATGTTGAAAATATCTAGGCGACAGATATTGACGGGTGCTTACTTCAAGTTTGGACAAAAATCATTAAACAAAAAAAAAAAGCCGTTGGATCTTCTTTTTTTGTACTAAATTTTTTATTTTTTACAACGTTTATCTTCTTTTTAAGACAATGACAAAAGTCCCAAAACCAATGATAGAGTTGTCAGAAAAACCCAAATATTTGAATTTGAAATTAGAAAATTAACTGAACACATATGTGCATATGTTATGCTGTTTATTATAACCTGTTTTTTTTTAAAAAAAAATTTGAATGCAAAAACTTTTTCTTCCACAACTAAATTTGAAAATTTCACATTTTATAAGAAACTTCAAAATTATCCAATATTTATTTGTTTAAAAATAAAAGAAGAGGGACATGTTCGTTTTCAATATATCTGGTCCCCATATTGAAAAACCAAGCAACAATAATTGACAATCTCTTTCTTTCATCTTCATCCTATTCCTCTTTATCTCTCTCTCTCTCTCTCAGCAACGATTGAGCTTGTCTTCTTCTTCCGACTCTTGGTCTGATCTCTTACAAGAAACAACACAAAAATGGCGTTCGCAGGAACAACCCAGAAATGTATGGCCTGTGACAAAACCGTTTATCTCGTCGACAAGTTAACCGCCGATAACCGGGTCTACCACAAAGCCTGCTTCCGATGTCACCATTGCAAAGGAACTCTCAAGGTTTTTTTTTTTTTTTTTTGGTTATGAGTTCTTGTTCTTCTTACATTTTGTGATAAACCCAGAGGTAGATCTAGTAGAAGACCAATCAACTAAGTAGAAATGATCTTTGATTTTGTGGAAGAGTGTTTTAAAAGATGAATCTGATTGGATTAAATATTTGACTGTCTTTGGCTCTTCTTGTTGATGTAACAGCTCAGCAATTACAACTCTTTTGAAGGAGTTCTCTATTGCAGACCACATTTCGATCAAAATTTCAAGAGAACTGGAAGTCTT